GAAAATTAATAAGATAGCTGAGTTCCAGCAGACTCATTTCCCACTCAGGACTTTTCAGTGCTCATTTGCTCTTGGTCTCTGTGGAATCCCATGGCAGGGAAGATGGATTATGGTTCCCTTCCTAGACCACCCATATCCATCAGAAGACTGAGGTCAGGGTCAAAATCCACCCACACTGCCCACCTGAGTGCTGATTGACTTGGCTCAGTCCTCTTGGCCCTCACTATTCATGTTTCTTCAGAACTACTACTCCACCACATTCTCCCAAACTTCCTCTTGCTGTCCACAAAAAATGGACACCCGTAGATGAATTAGATGAGATGAAAGTATCCAGTATCAGGAGTCAACTCCTCTCCCAAGTCTTCCCTCCAAGGCTGATTTTATTGATAATCCTTCCTAATGCCGAACTACTGCTTTTGTCTTGAGCCAACTTTTTAAGATCCTGCTGTGCCTTGTCAGCCCGCCCCCATCCCCTTCCATTAGCCAACCTCCCTATAGTCTCTATCACTTTATAGCTCCTTCTGGAAGCTAGGCATTTGTGGAGGAACCCTTCCTCCCTGGCAGGCCTCCTTCAAATACAGGCCATTGAGTTGTTTACAACCCAATGCCTCCGGGTGAGAGGCAGGCTTGCTGTTCTAAGGATGAGGTGCACAGTAACAATTTCCGTCTCACTGCAATTCAATGAGAGAGTGTTGTCATTCCTCCTTTACAAAGGGGCCAGAGAGGCTCAGGTTAGTAACCGGCTTCAGGCAGCAGAGCTAGTTTAGTGAGAAAGCCTGGATCACAACTCAGGTGCTGTAGTTTGGTTCATCTGCATTTGTAACCATCACTCCACTGTGGGTTCCTTTGAAAGGCCTGGTTCAGTATCACTATCTGGATCCTCTATATCCTCTTCCAATCTTGTCAGCTGCCACTTGCTGAACATTCCCATGCATTCACCCAAGACTTCTTTTCCCAGCTGGCAATTGTCTGCATCCCACTTTTTGCCATTATCCTGGATGAGTGAGGCACACAACAGAGTCTGTGTGTATCACCATCTGACTTCATGGCTACCTCCTCCTCCCTACCCTACCCTACCCACCATCAGTCCAATGAATTGAGACACTAGTCTCTCTCCTCAGCTTCCAGTTTGCTTAATGAATTATGTGGCATTTCCTCTGGGGCTCAGCACATTTCTGTGAGTTTCTTCACAAAGCTGCTTTCCAGCTGGCCCAATACTTTCTTTTTCCTGCTCTATCCAGTCACTCAGACATGTAGAAATCATCCCTGAGTCTCCCTTGCGTCTCCATCGAATCAATCACCATGACATGTGGGATAAACCCCAATGACATCATCACTCCATCCATTTCTCTCCATTGCCACTGCTGTCACCCCATCTGGCTGACGTTAGCTGCTGATACTCTGGGGTCTCAGGGTCTCCTCAACCTAAGCTCTTAATAGTAGTGCTTGTTTTTGTTCTGGTCCTGGGGCTTGGACTCAGGGTGTCAGCTATTCCTGAGCTTTTGCTGTCCAAGGCTGGAACCCTACTACTTGAGCTACAGCTCCACTTCTGGCATTTTTTTTTTTTTTTTTGTGCCAGTCCTAGGGCTTGAACTCAGGCTCAGGGCCTGGGCATTCTTCTTAAGTTTCTTTCACTCAAGACTAGTGATCTGTCACTTGAGCTACTGTTCTACTTCTGGCTTTTTTGGTAGTTGAGTGGAGATGAGTCTTATGGGCCTCCAAAATCTAGGCCAAACCCACCCTTCAGGGAAAGGAACTTGTTTACCCCCAGGTTCCTATCCTGAGCTGACTTAGGGTCCATTATTTGAGTATCTGAAAGTTTTACTGTGATAAAATACATGACAAAAACTTACTATCTTAACTTGAACAGTTCAGGAGTGTTTAGTACACTAGAGTGCAACCAATTTCTAGCTCCAGCTTACCACATGATCCAACAAATCTACATCTAGATGTATGCCCAAAAGAATCAAGAAAGTTGGGTACAAAAATATGTTTGTAGCTGAGCGCCGGTGGCTCACGCCTGTAATCCTAGCTACTCAGGAGGCTGAGATCTAAGGATCTCGGTTCAAAGCCAGCCTGGGCAGAAAAGTCCATGAGACTCTGATCTCCAATAAAGCACTAGAAAACCAGAAGTGGTGCTGTGGCTCAAGAGGTAGAGTGCTCGCCTTGAGCTGAAGAGTGCAGGTACAGCGCCCAGGCCCAGAGTTCAAGCCCCACGACCACCACCAACAAAAACAAATGTTTGTAAGCCGGGCACTTGTAGCTCATGCCTGTATTCCTAGCTACTCAGGAGGCTGAGATCTGAAGATTGAGACTTGATGCCAGCTTGGACAGTCACATCCATGAGACACCCATCTCTAATTAATTAGCAAAAAGTAGCTCAAGTGGTGCAAAAGCCAAGCAGGAGCTTAAGGCTTCCAGTTCAAGTCCTTGTATCATCAATAAAAATAAATAAAATGCTTGTAGAACGGTGTTGATAGTACTGCCAGTCACAATACCCAAAGGTGGAAACAAGCCAAATGCCCATTAGGAGATGAGTTAATAAACAAAATGTGGTACATATATACAATGAAATATTACTCAGCATAAAAAGGAAAATAATTCTAGTACACAAATTAACCCTGAGGACATTCTGCTCCATAGAGACAAATGCTGTGCCACTTACAAGAGGTCCCTAGAGCAGTCATATGCATAGAGAGTAAGATGGAGAATAGAGGTTACCAGGGGCTGGGGGAGGGAGGAACAGGAAGTCACTGTTCAAGAATTGCTTCAGAGCTTCTGTTTTAGAAAGCTTTGCATGTGTGTGTTGGCCATTTATGTTTCCATTGGAGAAATGACTGTTCAAGTCTTTTCTAGAATCTCTTTATGCATCCTAAATATTTCATATATTTAGGATTTTGAATATTAATACTCTATCAGATATGTGATTTGCAAATGTGTCCCCCATCTTTATAGCTTGCCTCTCACCTTGTTAACTGAATCCTTTGGTGCACAGTTTTTATTCTTTTTTTTGGGGGGGGTGGATCTCATCGTGGGGCCTGAACTCTGGGTGCTGTCCCTCAGCTCTTCAGCTGGCGGCTAGCGCTCTACCACTTGAGCCACAGCACCACTTCCGGCTTTTTAAATTTTGCTTATGTGGTGCTGAGGAATCGAACCCAGGGCCTTGTGCATGCAAGTCAAGCGCTCTACCACTGAGCCACCTTCCCAGCCCATGGTGCACAGAGTTTTTAAAGTTTGATAGTGTCATGTCCAGGAGATCATTGCCAAGTCTACTGTCATGAAGCTCCTCTCCCTGTGTTTTCTTCTAAGAAGTTTATAGTTTCAGGTTTTCTGTTTAGGTCTTGATCTGTTTTCAGTTAATTTTGTATCAGGTGTATCTACTCTCTTTGCTGAGCATTTATCATGTAGCTGTGGTGAAACGGTACAGACAGGAAGGGACTTCGAAGCTGTGTGTGTAGTGCAGTGTAGGCCTAGCAGTCAAGAGGCTGAGGATGGGGGATCATGAGTTCCAGTCCAACCTGGGATACATACCAAGACCTTATCTCAGAAAAAAACAACAAGCAAAAAAGAAAGAAGACACTTCCACATGTCTGGCTCCATCTACAATAAGTCTTTCTTCCTTTTCCTCAACAAGAGCTACCCCTCGCCATGGAAGGAAGTCATAAAAATATAAGAAAAACCAATGCAAAAATTTATATTTTATTTGAATTCAAAAAATTTAAAATTGCTTTCAAATTCAGGAAAGTACCATAATGCAGAACCCCAGGGGAGCCCTCATATACAGAGACAGATAAATTAAATGTATATACTGCAGACAAGCCGAGAAGGTCTATACATTACATATTTACAGTGTCTCATGTGTTCTGAAAACTGTATTTATACATTTTATTACATTTACAAAAAAAGGCTTCCACTACCATTTACCTACAATAATGAAAAAAAAATTTACACCTGTTTTTCTCTCTCCTTTTTTTGGTACTGTACAAACTTTGTATAATAAAAATATATCTCTGTACAAAAGATTTTTTTTTGTTTTTGTTTTACTTTTTTTTTGTGGGAGGGGGGATGGCGGTGGTGGGTAGATGGATGAATGGCAAGTGGAAGGTCTCATCTGGCCCTGCTCCCCTTCTAAGAAGCCTCTGGAAGTGGAGAGAAAACGCCAGAGGTGGGAGAGGGCTATGCACGGCAGAGTGCTGGGTGTGAGGCTCCGCTGCAGTGCTCCTTGGGTCTCTCACACTGGAGCGGGAAGGGGTGAGGCTGCAGGAGGAGCTGAGAGGTCTGAGAGTCGAGGGGAGAGCCAGCAGGGCGTCCTGCCTTTGTTTCCAGAGATGGAAAGGGGGTGAGTGTGAGTGTGTGTCTGGACTGGTACTCTCCCACTTGGCCCCGGGGATGCTGCATCCTGGCAGAGGTTCACAGAGGTGGGAATGGACTCCTGCCATTGTGAAACTCCATTACAATCTGCTAGAAAGGGATGCCTGCATTTACTCTAGTCTGTCCTGACATCAGTGAGTCAGAAATTGAAACTGTGCCAACCAGAACTGACTTTAAGAACCAGGTGGTCCTGCCCCTGTGCTCACATAGTTTGAATTCTTATCTGAATGTGCCACATGAGCATCAGAGGCTGGTGTGACATGCTGGCACAGGGAGTGAGCCCATGGGGACCTTCCCAAGGACAGACGATTTCCATTCTTAAGCTCCCAAGGTTCTCAACAATGCTCATATTGAATTCACTAATAACCCAAACACAATGAAACTTAACACAAGTCAAAACTGAGAGAGAGAGAGAGAGAGAGAGAGAGAGAGAGAGAGAGAGAGAGAGAGAGAGAGAGAGAGGTTGATTCATTTGCTCAATTCTTTTGCATTGGGAGCTGCCATTGGCTATGGTCAGAAGCTTCCAGGAGCCCAGAGGCAGCACCAATTGCAGGAGGCTGGTTGTGCTGGGTCTCTGTCTTGATGCTGCCCAGGTGGAGCAAGCAGAACTCAGACTGGACCTGGGTGGTCCCCTGTGTGTCCTGCTAGACCTAGCCACAATGACAATGGAGGGACTACCCTGTTCCTCCAGCCTCTGGTCTCTCTTCCAGACCTAGGTTTCTGGCAGCAGGTGGACTTCGGGGTGAAGGAAATTTGAGTCTGCATTCTAGCTCGATTCTTATTTTGTGGCTCATGCCTCTACCTTCCTGGGCCTTGTTTCCCCATTTGTAAAACAATAATAACAAATCCAGCTTTGGTGGTGGTTTACAGACTAGAAATGATACATGTGAACAGTGTCAGGCACGGAGGAGAACCTCAGGAAGAGGAGGCCATTCCTTGTTGGGTGCCATGGCAGGCTTGTTTTCCTTTCCTGTCCATAGTCATCCTATGCAGATGGCACAGGCCCCCATGGGACATGGGATAGGGGCAGGTCGGTTTCAGAGCTGATGGGCCCCTCCTTGCGTCACCTCTTCTTTGTGTTTATGGGGAGCAGGGCACAGGGCATCGTACACACACACACACATACACACACACATTTTCTTTTTAGAAAGTCTCTTCCATAGGACACAGCCTGCACACACACATGTGCACATATGCACATACATACACACACATGCATACATATCTACCAGTTGCTCTGCTATCTTAAATCCATAAACTTCTTCCTGTCTGCAGCCCCTCCTCTTCCTTTACTGCCCCAATCCAGGAAACAGAGGGAGTCCTCTCCAGGGTGGCAGGCGCAGATGGTGGCGGGCAAAGGCCCCAGTCCAGCAGCGGCAGACACAGGCAGAGAGACAGACGAAGATGGGCACTGGGCACTGTGCTCAGGGGAGCTCCTTCCTGCCCCCTGGGGAGCTGGAAACACACAGACCACAGAAGAATCATGAGAAGAGAGGAGGAGGCAGGAGAGGTTGGGGACTGGAGGAGGCCGGGGAAAGTGGCCAAACTAAGGCATGTAGGGGAAGGTTACTCAGCTCCATTTGCAGAGGAGATTTCTAGTCTTCCCGGAGGGAGAGTGGGGTAGGCAGGGATGACACACACAGAACATCTATGTTCCTATCTGTAGTCTTTTCTCCACTGTGGGCCTACTGCTTCTTAGCTGGGTTATCACTTTTTTTTTTTTTTTTTTTGGGTCCAGTCGTGGGGCCTGAACTCTGGGCCTGGGTGCTGTCCCTCAGCTCTTCAGCTCAAGGCTAGCGCTCTACCATTTGAGCGACAGTGCCACTTCCGGCTTTTTTCTTTTTGCTTATGTGGTGCTGAGGAATCGAACCCAGGGCCTCGAGCATGCAAGGCAAGCGCTCTACCACTGAGCCACCTCCCCAGCCCCTGGGTTATCATTTTTTTTTGTTGTTGTTTTTTTTGTCGGTCGTGGGGCTTGAACTCTGGGCCTGGGCACTGTCCCTCAGCTCTTCAGCTCAAGGCGAGCGCTCTACCACTTGAGCTACAGCGCCACTTCCGGTTTTCTGGTGGTTTATTGGAGATAGGAGTCTCATGGTCTCTCCTGCCTGGGCTGGCTTTGAACCGCGATCCTCAGATCTCAGCCTCCTGAGTAGCTAGGATTACAGGCGTGAGCCACCAGCGCCCGGCTGGGTTATCATTTTTATGGGCTCAGTTTTTCCCTTTTCTCATCTGCCACGAGAATGCTAACAGTATCTACCTCCCAGGTGAGGTGAGGACACAAGGGGATCTGGCAAGTGCCCAACTCAGTGCACAGCACTTCTCTTTGTGCCTGAGCTGTGTGTATGGGTCTGTGTGCATGTACAGGTCCCTGCCTGCCTCCTACCCAGCGCCCAGCCCCATCTCACCAGCTGCTGAAGGCGGGGCTCTCGGTGGCGGTGGCGGTGGCAGCCAGCTCTGGGGGCTATACTGCAGTACACACTGTGCTGACTGTGAACTCCGCCTCGCTGGCCATGATGTCTGTGGGCTGGATGTTGCGATCGTACATGGGGTTCTCAAACGTGGCTCGCACATTGGTGTTCTCATGGCCTGCGTAGCCATTGAATGGGACTTTGGGTCTTCTCCTGGGAAAAACCAACAGTGAACTTGACTGATAGATGCTGAATGACAGAGGTCCGAAAAGGGAGGGGAAGAGGAGAAGGGGGAATGGGAGAAGAGAGGACCGAAGGGAAGAGGAGGGGAGAGGATAGGAAGGCAAAGGAGAGAAGAGAAAGGTAGTGGAGAAGAGAGGAGGAGAGAAGAAGGGAGAGGAGAGGAAATGACTAGAGGAGGGGAGAGAAGAAGAGAGGAGGGAAAAGAAGGGAGGGAAGAGAGATGAGGAGGGCAAAGAAGAGAGGAGGCTCATTTCTTCTTTTCTGAAGGTTAAGAGGGTGGGGTTGGGGTGAGGATAGGGCCCTGTACATACTTGCTGCCCTCCCTGCCCTGCCGGGCCTTCTTGGTACCTGTGCTTGTACAGGTAGAGCACGAAGCCTGCGATGATGAGGGCAATGAAAGGCACCAGGATGGCGGCAGCCACGGAGCTGCTATTGGAAGCAAAGTGGCGGCCGATGGACTCGTGGTCTGACTCCAACAACCGGAGGTCTGCAAAGTCCCAGAAAGAAACAAGTCATAGAGAGACAGTTTGATGGCACAGTCCCCACTGGCCACGTTACTCAACCGAACACTCTTAGGAAATGTCACCACAGGGCAGAGGCCCTGTGCCGGGAAGCTGGTGCTCAGATCCTAGCCACCTGCCATCTGCACACAGACACACAGCTCAGACATCACCTCCCCTCCCCAGGGGGCCCTTGCCATTCCTCTGTACTGCTCAGATGGTATCTGAAAGTGTCAAGTCCAAGAAAAGACAGTCTGTGGGTAGACCTGAAACCGTGTCTCTGAATAAGATCTTAAAAGAATGCAGCTTTAACACAGGTGCTGGTGGCTCACACTTAAAATCCCTAGCTGCTGAGGAGAGTGAGATCTGAGGATCAAGGTTCAAAGACCCTGAGAAGAAAAGTCCCTGAGACTCTTATCATTGGTTAACCTGAAAAAGCTGGACATGAAGATGTGGCTCAAGTGGTAGAGCACTAGCCTTGAGTGCAAAAGCCGAGAGAGTATGAGGCTCTGCATTCGAGTTCTAGTCCTGGCACAAAACCAAAACGATTGCAAAAATGTAGCTTTGTAGACATTTCTATACTTCTGGCAGAAGCCTTTTTATCAGATGAGACTTTATATCAGATGACAAGGTAGAGTTGTTCTGGTTGCGGGGGGGGGGGGGGGGTTTAGGGTAGGCTAAAGCTACCCTTTGTCCCCTGACTGTGAAGTTCAGATGTCCTCAGCTCCATTCACTTATCCCTCTGAGTGTCCACTTCAGGGAGGGACAAGAAGCTCATTTTCTGATCTGCCCCAATTCAGCAGGGACAGTAGTGTGTATCCCTGTATTTGCAGGGCTGCTGATGGAAGAGCCCTGCTTTGCTTCAGTAACTGTGGGGAGGAGCTGGGAGGTCAGGGAGCCACAGGGAAGTAGATTCTGCTTAATAGAGCTTTGGGGTGGGGTGGGGTGGGGAATCAGAGCTAGGAGGTAAGGGGACTGGAGGTGCTGACAGGGCCTACAGTACTCTTCCTCAAGGACCTCGGACTGCTGTTTCTTCCTCCACTGCTCCTCAGGCCAGGGTTCCTCCTTGCATCAGTCTGTGCTTGGCTTGGATGACCTGGCACACAGGGTCACAGAGCCTGAGTGAAGTGAAGGAGACATGCCTTCTTGGTGCCCAGGTTTCTCATCTGACACGGGCGCAACAGCAGCCTTCTGGGACTGCGCTAAGGAGGAGCTTCTGCTGAGGGCCCACGCGTGGGTGCCTCAGATCTCTGTTCCTCCAGGCAGGACTGATGCCGGAGGTACCCGATGGCCAGGAAGTCAATTCAAAGGCTGGTAAAGGTGAGGCTCTAGGCATAGGTGTGAAAGCTCAGAGGTGTCCTAGGCATTTTCTCCGTCAGGTATGAACTCTGCCACTTCTCTCCCGCCCTGTCAGCTCACACGTTTGGGGGGACACAGGCTAGTTACCAAGTCTTTGAAAGCCGAACTGCCCGAAGCCTTGGCCCTTGACGGAGCCTTGGTAGATGAAGGTGCCTCCAGAGGATTCCGAAGAGACCTGTTTGGGGCAGGGATGGGGGAGAGGAGACAGCTCAAGAATAAGGGTATTTAGAAAGATCTAGAACTCTGGCTGGCCATGCCATACCATACCATACCACAGATACAGTCACAGGTAGGCTGGTATTGCCCACTGATCCCCTGCTCTGACACACAGGCATATTTGTCTCTCCACCCACACCCAGGTGAGGGGCACAGCAGGACTGACAGAGCAGAGCAGGGAACCTGACAACCTGAGGAAAAGACATGTTCTCTTCTGCAGTCAAATCATCATTCAAGTGCCTGAGCCTCACTTGCCAAACAGGACACACGATGGTATCTATGTAGTAGACTGAATGAGTTCCTCCAGGTAAAGCTCAGAACTCTTCATTCACAGACCTTAGCTACGTGAGCTTCTGTTACTGTGTTGAAAATCATCTTGGAGCATTGTGGAGCACCCAGAAACACGGTTCCAAGGTGCAAAGCAGACTCAGCATGTTTCAGAGAAGTCGTCCAGCCCAAGATGTTGGCTTTGCAGGGTAGCTGGAAATACTACTCTCCCTGGCCCCTCTGCCTCTGAGCCTCCATGATGCTCCAAGGTGTCCTATGGCATTAGCAGCTGAAGCATGTGGTTGGAAGATGCTCAAACCTGTGCTCCATCCCCAGGGACGCCCTCTGTCCATATGCTCACCTATCCTCTTGCACAGGCCCTGGCTGGGTGTGCAAGGGCCCCCCATGGTTGCCCATTGTCCTAGGCAGTGACCCAAACTGCTTCTGGCGTCACTGTTCCCTTCTCATCTTGCCCCTGGTCTGTCTTGCCAGCTCCAGATTCCAACCTTGACCCTTATCCTCTCACACCTGGCCACTCCCCTGGCATGCTGGAATTACTTGCTCCTGCTCAGCCGCAACTGAAGCTGGCTGATATCTGGGTAAGTATGAGGGTCCTTAGATAGCCTTGGGCACAGCATAGAACTAATTGCATGCCAGTCCTCTGGAAAAGCCCCTTGGTTCTTCTAATGGGTTTATAAAGCAAATCTGGCTCAGTTCCACTGTTCCTCCAGAAACTCTTGTCTCTATGAATTCCATGACTCCTCAGCTCTCTGCTACTCTGGCCCATCATGACCTCTTGCTCTCTTCTTTCCTTCCTTGTCCGACTCTGGCAATCCCAGTCAGGGATGCTGATGATATGGTGGGCAAGACTATGTTCAACTCCAACACCTACGCGATAGGAATGTATGGGCAGAGGAGCATCGCCAGGGATAGCTTCCACCCCAAGGATGCCCTAGAAGGTAGTATCTTTCCCAGAGGGAATGCAAGGAGGTTCAACCCCTCCCCCCTGTCCTGGTATCCCAAGTTGTGAAAAATCCCTCACAGCCCTCCTCAAATATGAGTAGATGGTTGAGGTAATCATTTGGGATTCACTTTCTTCTTCCAGCCCACACCACAGAACCATGACCTTCACCCTCGGATTTGCTCTCACAGCCATGACCTTCAAACCCTGCTCCTAGTTCTAACAGCAGAACATACTCATCTCTCTCAGACATGGTGGGCCTCTTGACTCTGAATCTTTGGGCTCTTTTTATCTTTTCCTCTGTCAATTCATTAGCAGAGAAGGAATCCCCTGCTTCCAGGCCTGGTCCCTCTGGCCTCCTCCAAACTCCTATGGGATCCTGGGAGTTGCCACATCCTTTGCTTTCTCTTTCCTGTCAGTGGTTTGGGAAGTGGAGATAGGACAGGGCATGCCAAAATTGCTGAACTTACATGCCCATCTAGAGCCCAGTGGTCATCTTTGAACTTATTCACAAAAATCTCCACAGGCCCTGTGATCTGGTAGACCTGGAGTAAGAGATGGAAATCTTCTTTCTTGTAATGTCCTGAGTAAGGAAAAAAAGTTAGAGGGGGTATTCTTGAAAGAGTTGCAAAAATAATCTCCAAACACCAATTGCTGTGCCTGAGAATTTCAAATGCTGGTAGAAAGTTTCCTGTACATTTGAATGTTCCTACGCACCTGTAAATAAGTACGTAAAGAGTTATGTGTGTGCTGAATGAGAATCTTTGCAGGAATGTGCATGGACATGTTAGTAACTGCAGTGCTGGGCAGACTTGGTTCATGCACGCATCTGGGACAATATGGTTTTGTGTCTTTTGATCTGATTGCTAATGCACAAGTGTGTTTACAGGCTGGTTGGTGCAGGAAGGTATCAGGCATGCACACAGGTGTATGTCAGTGTGTTTATGGCTGCCTGGAGCAGCGTGAGTGCTTTACGCATGAATGAGTGGACCTCATTTCCAGGGCTGTGATTTCTCACGTTCACTAGGCATTCATTCATCTAACCATCTACTCAAAACAAACCAAAACACTTATTTTCTAAAGAAGTCAGTTTTTCCGATAATACTTGAACTTTGAAAAGTACAGAGATGAACAGAGAAAAAAATCTCCTCTGATTTGCTACTAAGTAATAACAACTGTATTCCTCAAGTATGTACAATTGTAAAATGTACTAAAATAACTATTCCTAATGCTTGGTGTAAATACTTCCTTTTCTTTCTTATGAGTACATTTTTTCTTTCTTTCAGAAACTAGAGTTGTATTTTAAATGTAATGTGCAAAATTTCCCCAAATTGGCACGATATTTATCTAGCAAATACAACATGACAATATATATGCATATATATGTATACACAGACATATGACTTTATTTGGGGAAAATTCTAAATAGCTCTAGAAAGTGGACATTCTTTATTCATAAATGTTTGACTCCCTCCACATCAATTTCTGATGATAAAATAGAAATGTAATGAATAGACCCAGTTATTTTCAAGACTTGATATAAGTTGCCATTTTCTAGAGCTGTATTACAATTGTATACTTTGCCTGTTATGGTCAAGCTGGACCAGCCCTGAGGATTATTGTTTTTAAAGCTGTGAACAGATGAGCAAAGTGGAAAGTGATACTTTGCGTTTACTTTGATTTGATTGCTGCTGGAAAATTATTTTTTTCATTTTTAAGAATTGTATTGGGCTGCTGAGGGCTCTCTGTTCCTATTTGTGGTTAGGCTTTAGAGCTAGCAGTGTCCAGTCTCTCTATATACAAGAGTTCTTCATACATTTGAGTTTTTGTGTTTGTCATCCAGTATTTCCCTTTGCCCTTGGTGATGTCTTTTTCCCCCATGAAAATAACAATGAATAGACACCTGTTCTTCCCCATGGTCAATGAACTGGTCTGGGTCTTCCATGACATGAAATAACATGACATCACGACAAATGACATCATGATTTGCAACATCATGATGACCTATGACATCATGATGACAAGAGACTCATGCTTACAAAGAGGTGTACCCATGGCCTGTATCATCTGCCCTGCTTTCATGGTTATGGCCTCCTCCTTACCAGCCAGGTGCAGCTCCACACCACTGTGATCAATCATGGTGGCATTGACCTTGCTGTTGGCCACCTGGAAGCCAGTCACTCTGAGCATGGCTGGCTGCTTCTTCCCCTGGTACTCATAGGCTCCTTTCCATAGGGAATTTTTGGCAAAAACATCCCCTGGAACTAGAGAAGTGGAGAACCATATGTGAGAGAGAGAGAGAGGGACTTTGTGTGTTGAAGGTGCATCAGGGCCATTTGATGTCAGTTCCCAGCTCACTCGTGGAAGCAGTTTCCCTTCCCAGTATCTAACTGGTGGTAGAGTGGTAGAGTGCCCTGTGCCTCTTTCAATCCTTTTGTGTCTCAGGGCAGGTGCATGGAAGGAATTGAAACCAGGATGTTGATGAGATGTCTCTGGGTTCCTGTTTACTGCAATACTAGTCACACAATACTCAAATTATGGGATCAACCAAAGTTTCCACCAACAGATCAATGGATAGAAAAAAATGTGGGATGTATAGACAAGGCAGAATATTCTCCATTTGTCTCAAGAAGGATAAATTGGTATGACCTTATGGTAAGTGAAATAAACCAGGGACAGAAAGATAACACAATCTTACTTCTAGGAGCAAGCTGAAAGAGTGAAGAGTGACAAGTTTCTCCTCGACAGGAGAAAAAGGTATAGTGACTGATTGTACCTCAGGATGATGGTGGGTGATAATAGAATAATATTTCAAAATTGCTAAAAGAGCATATTTTAAATTTTGTCTCAAGAAAATAACACAGAGGGTTAATGGCTATCAATTAGCTTCACTTAGCTATACTGCAACACAGAAACACATATATGCCTGTTATAACTTCGCGTTGTAATCCATAAATACATTTATTATTTGTTAATTATATATATAAAAGAAAAGAGAAAGGGAACTGTAAGGAAGACAGAGGAGAAACAAGAAGAGAGGAAAGGAGAGAAAGAGTTTATAAAACAGAGAGGGGAAAGAGGGAGACTGATGGGAAATAGTGTGCTAGGAAGACGAAATGTGGGTCTATGAGACAGACAGTCTGGATTCCATCCCAGCTCTGTCACTTGCCAGCTTCTTCCCTGTTCCTGCCACACCTGTTGTTCTATAAGTGAAACCATTCCACCTGTCTCTTAGGGTCACCACAGGGCTCCAAAGATGAGTACTGGGAGCTGCATGAGGCTCATTGTGGAGGGCATAAAAGCCTTTGGTGATTCACAGCTATTAAAGTTTCTTATTTGTCCTGGAATAATTTTAAGGCAAGAATTTTGATCCCAATTTTTCAAAAAATAAACTGAAGCTGGAGGTGAAGTTTGTTTGCCCAAAGTCACAGGTGGTCAGGGACCAAAATGGCACCAGAATTGAGTCTGAGATGCCTAATCTACTCTTGCTTCCTGTGCGATGCACATGCAAATGTACAGCTATAGTTTGAATGTTTTCCAAAGGCTTCATCCCTAGTATGGCACTATTGGGAGGTGGCAGAAAGTTTAAGAGTTTGGGTGAAGTTGGAGGTTTTAGGGTTTGGGACATGCCATTAAAGGGGACTGTGGGCCCCAGACTCTTTCTCTTCCTGGCTATGAGGTGGACAGGCTTCCTCCACCACATGCTTTCTCCATGATGTGCTGCCTTGCCACCAGCCCAGAAGTATCAGGGCTAACCAATCATGGACTGACATCCAGAACTGTGAGCCAAAATAGACCTTTCCTCTTCATAATGATTATCTCAGGTATTTGTTATGATAATAGAAAGCTGACTAAAACATGTGCTAAATGTATGTAAGTGTGTATAATGATGTGATATTCTGTAATAGTTTTATTTATCAGGGTAATTTGTCCTTCTCTGGACAAATTTGAGACACCTGTCTCAAAGAAGTAACCACTTCCAGGGACCAAGTGGATAGAACCTGGGTCTCTGTGTTTGTGTGACCACTGACTGGCTGGGCCTGTGTCAGGAAGGGTCAAGGATGATTTTTGGGAGGAGCAGCCTCTCTCTTCTGGATGAGGTTTCTGATCTCTCCCTTTAGAAGTCTTCTTAGCTTGGGAGCTGGGTGGGGACATCTATTGGATGTTCATCTACAGAAGGTTCCAGATTGTCCCATTGGGCTCTCAGTCATCCTATCTGCATGGTTAATTTGGCAGTAGAGCCAATGCCCATCAATTTCTTTAGCCCACAATCTGAACAATAGCTACCTGAGGCTTGAGTGAGCGGAGGCTCCCGTACAGTGTTGATAGGTCTCCCACTGGGCCGGACCTCTGCTGGGGAAAGAGAATGGAAGGTAGAAAACAGAGTCAGCTTCTGATTCACACTGTTTGAAAAGTAACGGCCAACGGATCGACATTAGGTCAATGGGCTCTCTGATATAAGAGCAGGAGGTAGACCTGAGTGAGATGATGGTCTAGTGATATTAAGGACCCATCTCACAAATAAGACCCATCTCACAAATAAGAAAAGGACTAAGAATTACAAAGGAAATCAGTTACAGCAGTTACACCCCTTGAAATGTTAAACATTGTCTTAGGATATACTAGTAAATATAATCATTACTACATTAAACAATTAACAGGAGCTACTATAATCTTGAAGTAGCCAAGAGAAAAACCTAAAAATGAATATAAACCATCATGATCCAGAAAAATCCCACTTCTGGAAAAACACACAAAGGAATAGAAATTGGTATTCTGGAGAGCTGCCTGAATTCTTGTGTACACTATAACATCATTCACAATAGCCACGATATGGAATCAATTTATTCGACTGTCCATCATTTCTCTGTGCCCCTTTCCCCACAGTGGAATATTATTTAGTCCTTACAAAGACAGAAATTCTGTCTTGACAGAATGAAGAAATTCTGTTTAGTGAAGTAAGTCAGGCACAGAAAGACAACTACTTTATGAGTACACTTAAAGTGGCCTCTAAGACAATCAGACTCAGAGAAGCAGCCTCTGGTGTTGCCAGGACTGGGCAGGGTGGTGTGAAAGGTACAAAATTTCAGTTAGGCAGGAGGAATAAGCTCCACATTTATTGGCCATAATAGTGAACATGACTGACTACAATGTAAGATGTAGTAGAAACTTGCTAAGAGGGTAGATTTTAAGTGTTCTGACTATAAAATGTTAATTATGTTGACAATAGATATATTAATTAGCTCAATTTAGCCATGCTACAATGTTGACATAAGATGAAACATCATGCTGTAGTGTGGTGTATCAATATTTGTCAGTTTAAAAAAAAGTAAGTAATTAGGTAAAAAGGTTGAGCAAATCATGAGGTACCACTGTACATCTGCTTGGGGAGGAGGTACTAAAAGATGGCTAATAACAAGGATAGGTGAGGATGTAGAGGAATTGGGACCCTGAGCCATTTCTGGGAAGACTGAAAAATGGTACAGGCATTGAGGCAGAGCTCCTTAAATTGTTATACATACCTAGGGTTATAGCTTTACTCCTATATAAACCCTAAAGAACTAAAAACCCCTGTGTCTATGTATGGTCACAGCTGCACTAGTCACCAAAGTCCCAAATGTCTACCAACTGTTGAAGGGATAAACAAAATGGTATATATGTACACACTGGAATATTATTCAGTCATAAAAATGGAATGGAATTCTGGTACTTGCTAAAAACATGGAGCCGGAACAGGTGGCCTGGGGCTGGAGCAAGATTCAGTATGAGTCAAGACCATTATACCAAATAAAATAAGCTTGACACAAAAGGACAAATATTGTATGGTTCTACTAACTCAAAGTACTTAGAACATGTAACTTCCTAGAGACAGAGAGAGTAATAGAGGTAAGGCAAGGGAGAAACAAGGAGCTGTTATTTAACAGGTAACAAGTTTCTTCTCTGGATGATGAAAAAGTTCTCAAAATGGATAACAGCTACTGACTAGTACACCCAAAATAGTCTATTATAAAAATGAATAAAATATAAAAAATGAATAAGTGTACTTTAAAAAAAGATCCTTAGGTTATTACTATATATGGAAAACACAAAGATACCGCAAGTGGCAAGCCAGGTATCACCATACATGCCTATGATCCCAGAACTTGGGAGGCTGAGTCAGGAGGATCATGAGGCCAGCCAGGGCTACATGGTGAGATCCTGTCTCAAAACAAAACAACCACAAAAACAACAGCCTGAAACAAAGCAAAAAGAAATGCTAAATGTTTGACGAGCTAATTGCTCATTATACTGATTTGATCATTACACTGTTGTGCTATGTGCATAAATATGCACCAGTGTGTCAATTAAAACTTAAAAATTATCATTAAAAATAAATAAAACAATGCAACCCTTTAAAGAAAATTTATGACAACTCATACAATGAAAGTAAAACAATGAAGGGAAGGGAAAGAACAAAATGCTTAAATAGGGACACAGGTTGGCCCATTGTAACAATGAGATGTACAAGACACTATGTTGAAAAGGAACTTTACAACTTTGGGGGCGGGTGGTAGTTGTGGAGGAGGGAGGGAAGGGATGGTAGGGAAAAACAAAGGAGGAGGCAACAATGCTCAATAGGAAATGTACTCCTTACCTTGCTCATGTAACTGTAACCCCTCTGTACAGTATTTTTACAATAAAAAAAGGTAAAAAAATAGAAAGTAAAATAATGAATGCCACTTCATGTGAGCTCTGATGACAGCTCTGATTCTGGCCTTTCCTCGGAGGGGCTGGATGGAAAGCAAGGGCCCTAAAAATTAGACTAGTCAGTTCTTTTCCTTCTCCACCTCTCTATGCCTGCTTCCTCAAAGTCTGACCATGAGGATGAAGAGAGTTACCCAAGGACTACAACAATGCCTGCACCTGTTAAGAGAGGACTCATGACTGTTCTAGTACCAACATGATGCGTCATCCTTCATCTACACATCACCTTCTCCAGGAAGCCTTCCTTGGTGGCTCCTCTCCTGCTCTTTAATGCCCTTCCTCTTCACTCCCCAGCAGTCAGAGCATCTCTTGATTCCTCCAGATGACTGCTCCAGCTGGTAACACCTTTGTCTTCACAACCCTCTCTTTGCTCTTTCAGGGCAGAGCTGTGATTTGCACCTCCAAATCCCCAGGGCCCAGGACAGGTACGGTAGGGATGATCAAGGCACAATGAACGGAGAAGTCGCAGATGATGAAGATGGAGAGGTAATGACCACTGCGAGGAGGCAGGCCCTCGCCCAGATTTGAATGTTACGCAGTGTGTATGTGTATTAGAATGTCCTGTATGCAGGTGCAGGTCTTATATATCCGCTGGAAAGAATGTAAAGAGAGGGAAGGAGGTCTGGGACATGGTCATGTCTTATCAAGGTTCTAATATGCCCCTGCCCGATTGATTGCAAGACCAGTCTGAGCTTCTCTCAGGAAGTACACTCCCATGAGAGCGTGTCTAATGCCAGGCAAGAGAAAACAGATGGGTCCACCTTGGGGTCTTTTTATACTGCTTGGGTTTGATCTCCTGGAGACACAGCAGCTCAGAGAATCGGAGGACAGGTCTACCCCTGCAAAGCTTGGTTTCTTGCTTTTCCTTTTTTCAGCTCAAGCCCAGCCTCCCTCCTGGCTCTGCTCTGGAGCGGCTCCCCCAATGTGCTCACTCACCCAGGCAGATGGGCGGTTTGCCTGTCCAGCTGCCGTCCGCTTTGCAGGTGCGGTGCTCTGAGCCGCCCTTCAGGGAGAAGCCCTCCTGGCAGGAGTAGATGAGCGTGTAGCCCATGGAGGGCAAGTCCAGGGCCCCAACATTGGCATGTGTTGGCGTCTCTGGCTGCTTGCAGTGGTGGGCTGGGGAAGAGGAAAGGCATTGCAGGACCTGAGGGGGCTGAGCCCTTAGGGGGATCATTTCCTCCCTTCTCCTGTTCTTACATGGAATTCTTCCTTCCCCTTCTGGGTCCTTCCAGGCCCAGTGTCCCCCTTCCTCACCCCATCCTTCTAACCGCAAGCATGAGGTCCCTAGAAAGGAACCCATGTAGCTTCTGGCTTGTTGAGTTCTGGTGAACTTAAGCCAATGGCACTTTATCCAAGGGAAGATGAGTAATCGTGGCCGACACCTGCACTCTTCCTAGAACTCTGCTGCCACTGCATAGAGTTTTCTTAGCTAAGACCTAGGGATGGCTTTCAATTAACAACAACAACAACAACAACAAACTTTCATGTGGAGACTGTCAGTGAGGCTCCGGGTGTTGGTACACAGAGGCCAGCTTTGTTTTGGATGGGAAGGTGGGAGCTGCCTGCCATTGCAGCCCTCGGGCTGGGGGATGTGGGTGACGTCTGGGGTGAGCCCCACACTCACGGACACAGTCGGGTGGCGTCCCGCTCCAGGTCAGGTTGGGGAGGCAGGTCCTGGTGGTGGAGCCCTGAAGCAGGTAACCTTTCTGACAGCGGAAGAGCACCGTGCTCCCAACCTGTGGAAGGACAGACAGGTGTCATCGCCTTCCATCAGGCCCAACGTCTCATGGTCCAACCAGAACTCATGCCATTGCCTCCGCCAGTCTTCTCTGCCCAGATAAATCTTACTGATCCTTTGGGGGCAGTGGATGGCAAAGGCGGCACTTGGCTTCCGAGCTACATCAGGGCCCTTATTGGATGGATTACATCGTGAATGAAATCCTAAACCATGGCTTCCGAGCTACATCAGGGCCCTTATTGGATGGATTACATCGTGAATGAAATCCTAAACCATCGTCGTCTCACATGTGAAGGTGTGTGTGTGTGTGTGTGCATGCACGTGTATGGGTGACAATTACTCTGGCACGCTGTGCCACTCAAATGTGACAGTGGGCTGGAGCATTTTATAAAATGTGACAAGCTGTGTAAAATTAAATGATCACTTCAGTTTCCCCATACCAGGATTTGAATTCAGGGCCTCATGCTCACTGAGCTTGCTTGGTTAGCTGGTGTTCTACTACTTGAGCCATGCCTCCAGCTTGGCTTTTTTCTAGTTGGTTTTGGAGAGGATAGACCTTTTCTGCCCAAGCCACAACAGTGTCCTACTTGTCTAAGAGCTTCCTCTCTTAACCCCAATTCTCCACTCAGCAGCCAGAGTAGTATTTCGAATGCTGGATCAAACTGAGTTGCTTACAAATGACATTAGAAATAAAATCTGAACTATTTCCTCTGGCCTCAGGGTCCTGTGTGACCTGGCCCATACCTTCCTCTTTGTAAAAATTCATTTTGTGATCATCTGAGGCATGCAAAAAAATATGAATAGAGATAACAAGAGTAATAATAAAATGAGCTCCTTAAATGGAGCACTTCAGCACAGGAGTGTGGGGCAGGGCTGCATGTCTATGCATTCCTCCCTGCTTCTATATCTATGCATTCCATTCCTCAGCTTCTCTCTGTCTGCAGAGTGACCATCACCTGAAATTTTGTGTTCTTATTTTCTTTTTTTTGTCGGTCGTGGGGCTTGAACTCTGGGCCTGGGTGCTGTCCCTCAGCTCTTCAGCTCAAGGTGAGTGCTCTACCACTTTAGCTATAGCGCCACTTCCGGTTTTGTGGTGGTTTATTGGAGATAGGAGTCTCACGGTCTCTCCTGCCCGGGCTGGCTTTGAACCGCGATCCTCAGATCTCAGCCTCCTGAGTAGCTAGGATTACAGGCGTGAGCCACCGGTGCCCAGATTTGTGTTCTTATTTTCTTGCCTTGATAAAAACAAATCTTATCGTACACATGCCCCATTCATCTCTAAACTAGTTAGTAAGTTTTCTTTTTGTTTTTAGTCTTTATCTCACTTTCGTTATTCAAAAGAATGGTGATGGTGGTGGTTCCTGTTCATTCATTTGCGTAGCTGTATAGTAACCTGTGACTCTACCACAGTGTTGTTCTTGTTCTTGGTGGCACTGCTAGACTATCTCAGGGGTATGTTTGAGGAGTAAAACTTCTGGGCCTTTGAGAGTGTGAATGTACAACCTCACCAGCCAGAGCCTGATGTCTTCAGACCTAGCCTAGTGCTCAGCATTCCTCACCTCCCCTGCTCTACTGCAGAGTCAGGAATGCAGTCTTGCTCTAAATAGTGCTGACCTTTCTTGTTGTGAAGGCCACAGTTCAAATGCTATCTTTAGAAAGCTATTCCTTAACTGCTCTTCCTAAAAGGACAACCCACCCTGCTCCCGCCCCCTTTATACCACACCCATCACTTGCCCTCTGTCACCCGCAGGGCAGCTGCTAGAACAGAGCTGGCCCCATCCTGCCCTGTCTTCCCTTCTCCCCATTTCCTGCTCCAGCCCGAGTGCAGACTGAGGAGTCATGACATCATGTGACTGGTTCCAGCCTGCCACTTGCAGGTTAGTTGCTGATCTCTTCTGGGGCTCTAGCCCACCTCCCTGCCCTGAGATCATTCCAGTGTCTCTGCTTCCTTGACTCTGTTCAGAGTGTCCCGTCCAGGCTACCCAAGAAGGCTCATTCTGAGAGGTGGGTGCAGATGTGTGTCTGCATCCCGACAGGATGGCCGGCTGGTGGACCTGACCTTCCTGCTGTGTCCCTTGTGGTTCCCACTCTGGGCCTGCTGGGCGGCGTTTAAGGCAGCACATGGTCTCCCTCATCAATCTTATTGGTGTTGGCGGACGGAAGAGCTTTACTGGCTCTGCAGGGAGTTCCAGTGGAGCATGGTTCCGAGAGGTAGCTTCTAGGTTGACCTCCCTTTGTGCTGCCCCCAGGAAGGACCCTGAGTCCCAACACTGACGGCGACTGGAAGGGGGATGGGCACTGAGATCTGGTCTTGGCTGACCATATTACCTGGTAGCCCTGGGAATTGTTCTGTATCCCGAACTGCGGCATGCCGGGGTCCGCACACATGGTCAGCGTGGGATCTGGAGGGACAAAACAAAGAAGCAGACCCTATGGTCCCTGATCTCTCACTCCATATTCTCCCACACTGAGAATCAGGCCTAGGAAAGAGAACACTCCCCCTTGCGGCTCCCCTGCCTTCTGAGATCACGTCCTGCCTCAGGGATCCTGACTGACTGTTGATTCCCTAGAACACATTAGCTCAGGGGAGGCCTCATTCCCCAGTGCAGATGAGACCACCCAAGCTAGGCAAGGAAAGCTAGCATCTTGCGCCCACCACCGGGCTGGCCAGCAGCTGGGACACTTTGTCCACGTGCCCTCTCACCTATGCAGCTGGGCTGCGTGCCGCTCCACGTCCCATCAGACTGGCAAAACCTCCGTGGAGAGCCCACCAGCACCAGAGGAGGATGGCAGGAGTAGGACACAGATGACCTGTAGGAGAAGCCTCGGTCCTCTCTCCTCCCACGGGGAGGAACACCAGGATCTCCGCAGAACACAGCTGGAAGAAGGGGAATGAAGGGAGGATGAAGGGTCTAGCTCCATGGCTTGAACCCAGTCTTCCAACCTCCTGCCCCTCCCCGCCTTTGTTCTTTGTCTTTGCTGCTGGGATGATGGAGAAGGAATCTCACGAACTTTTATGCCATGGCTAGCCTACAACTATGATCCACTTTTGCATCCCAAATAACTAGGATCATAGGCTTAAGCCACCACACACACAGGTCACACACACACTACTTCAGTTCTTTTAAAAATAGGATCTCATCATTTTGTCTGAGGCCAGTCTCAGGCTACTATGTTTTTACCTTCATCTACTTTGTAGCTAGAATTATAAGCTGATATCACTTTAACCAGCTTGTTGGCTGAGATAGGAGTCTTGACAACTTTTTTTGCCTGGGCCATCCTGGAGCCTTTAACCTCTCCATCTCTGCCTCCCAAGTTGCTGGGAGAACAGGTGTAGCACAGAACGCTAATGTGCAGGAAGTGCCACTCCATCTGGAATACTTGTATTATTTTCTTAGGGGGTTTTCTAGGAGTGGGCTAACTATCTTCAAAGGCTTGAGTATGTTCTCAGCTCTTGATATGTGCTGTGAAATTTCTTTTGAAAGAGTTCCATTGACACTCTGGTCAAGTTCCCATCACAGAGTGCCATAAAAAATTCAGTACCAGTCAGGCACTGGTGGCTCACGCCTTTAATCCTAGCTACTCCAGAAGCTGAGATCTGAAGATTGAAGTTCTAAGCCAGACCAGCCAGGAAAGTCCATGAGACTCTTATCTCCAATTAACCACCAAAAAGCCAGAAGTGGCACTGTGGCTTAAATGGAAGAGCACTAGCCTTGAGCAAAAGAAATCTCAGGGTGCCTAGGTTCTGAGTTCAAGCCCCAGGACTGGCATAAAATAAAATCACTACCAAAAGCAAAGCTCCCTATGATAACACTACAATTATTGCAAGTGTGTGTGTGTGTGTGTGTGTACATGCAGGGTCTTGAGGTACCCTGAAAGCTGGGAGTCTAGGTGACTGATTAGAAGCCAGTTTAAAGCCGAGCTGAACAGAAATAATCATATCAAGGAAGGCTGGCAAGGCAAGAAGGAGCAGCTCAGCCTTTCTAATTAGCAATGGAGGCCATTTATTAAATAATGAGCTATCTCTTGAAACTCTTCAGATTTATAGATATTTCAAAAAATTGGCAGAACCTATTGTTGATGAGGGTGTGAGCCAAGAAACATCCTCACAGCTTCAGGGGAGAATATAAATTGAGCCATTTTCTTTTCTTTGTTTGTTTCTTTCTTTCTTCCCTCCCTCCCTCCGTCTCTCCCTCCCTCCCTTCCCTCCTTCCTTCCCTCCCTCCCTCCCTCTCTCCCTTCCTCCTTCCTTCCTCCCTCTCTCCCTCCCTCCCTCCCTCCTTCCTTCCTTCCTTCCTTCCTCTCTTCCTTCCTTCCTGTACCAGGCCTTACATTCTTGATTAGCCTTCTTACTCACAGCTGATATCCAACCATGTGGAGATGGGGTCTCCAGAAAAGTCTCAGATTTTTTTTTCATGGAAGAAGACTGGCTTGAACTGGGATCCTTCAGATCTCAGCTTCCTGAGTAGCTAGAATTATGGGCATGAGCTATCAGGTAGGCTGATAGGCAATTGGGCAGCATATGTCAGAAAATGCAGACTTGCTGCCCACTGGTTGAGCATTCTCTTTGAGAACTTAACCACAGGAGAGAACAATGCCATTTCAGGGATATTTATGACACAGATGCTTTTAACACAAAGTGGGGACAAACTAAACTCATCCCCAATAGGAGAAGGATAAACAAAGTGTGAGACGTATAACAAGGACATTCTTTAAAGACATTATAAATGGTGATGCATGGGTCAGTGCATGCTGATGGAGAAGGATTGGTGGCCTGTCAATAAATTTGTCATGCAGTACCACGTGCAGCACAATCTACTGTCACTTATAAAATCATGTACATAGTTGGCTAGACATGCAAAAATGCATCATGATCCATGAGGAGGCAGAGTGCAAAGCAATACCATGGCTATCTTTGGAAAGTCTTATTTTTCTCTTTGTACTTTATAATATGGAATATTTTTTTGTGTGTGTGCTGTACTGGGGCTTGAACTTAAGGCCTGGCACTATCCCTTAGCTTTGTCACTGAAGGCTGGCACTCTACTACCTGAGCCACAGTTCTACTTCCAATCTTTTTCCTGATGGACTTTCCTGACTAGGCTGGCTTCAAACTACAATCTTCAAATCTCAATCTCCTGTGTAGCTAGGATTACAGGATGAGCCTCCTGTGCCTGGCATACAATTCTCTTTTTACAATGACCACAACTCATTTCATGTGTATATGTCCATGTGCATGTGTGCTGGGTAAGAACTTGGTGCCTCATGCATGCTAAGTATGCTTTCTAACTACTAAGCCACATCCCAGCCCACACAATTCTTTGTTAAAAAAGCAATCCAGCTATTTCTCAAGAGGAAAAGCATCCAGACAATCCTGAGACTTAAGAGGTGTTAATGTGAACCACTTGCTTGTGTCTGCTTTTGAGTAGGTCATCCTAATCCCTGCTGAAGTTCCCAAATTGGAGCCAATTTACAGAGATATTTAAACAGTATCAGGAGTGTGTGGGCAGTTTTCTACAGACTAATATAAATATACAGCAAAAAGGAAAGAATAGGTCCTATTGTCTGTCCAACCAGGAGCACTGAGACAACCTTCCAGAATCTATTCTCCATGTGGGTCACAAATCCTACAGCCTGCTTCTCTGAGGACCTCAGTACAAAACCAGGCCTGGAATGGACTTGGGCTCATCAGAACACAGCAGACACTTTTCCAGCTCTGGATGTACTTAGAGCCAGTTCACCATCAGCTCAAGAAACCCCTTCTTATTTCTGGCTTCATCTCCTTCCACTGAGACCCCAGACAGTGTCTATAACCAGGGTTCAATTAAGGTATGATCATCATCTTCTTTTCAACTTCTTTCTTTACCAGTGTCTTGAGGAAGCTTTTCCCCAATCTGGATTGAGATCTACTTATTCTGGGCTTTCTGGCAGTAGAGCCCTGAGGAGGAAGGGAAGAAACCATGACACAGGATGTACCCAAAGCCCCTTGCAAGCCACTTACGGAAGCACTGAGGTAGCTCTCCGGTCCAGGATCCATTTCCCTCACAGGTGAGCACCGCAGGCAAGGACAGCTGGTATCCCTCAAGGCAGGCATAAGTTACGCTTGAGCCCCACATGAAGTCAGAACCCACCACTTTCCCATTGGGGACGAGCTGAGGGGGCTTGCACATGATAGCTGGGGAGGGGAGAGGCAAGAGCAGATGTCAGAGTTCTGGAGAAACCGTCCTGGGCAATGCCTCCTACTGCCTACCGTGCTCGACCTGGAGTCTGAGCCAAGTAGGAAGAACCAAAAAGAACCTCTTTACTGTGGTGGTTCTGATCTCTTTTGCACCTTATAATGAACCCTCTGAAGTGTGGCAACCTCATCCTCTCTTGGCTTCGATGTTCAAGGTCCAGGCCCTACCTTAGTGCTTTCCAACTCCCTCCTCAGGACCAGCCCTTCTCCTGCACACTCCTGGTAAGACATTAGGGCTTGCCCTTGTTACCTCCGCCTATGTCCATTTGTGTCGCTTCTTTGGCTCTCTGTCTACACCTTCCACCCTCAGACGCACCTTTGCAGACTGGCTTGGTCCCATTCCATGTCCGGTCCTTGGTGCAGCTCAGCACAGACACTCTGTGTGACTCCATCGTGTAGCCAGGGACACACTGGAATGCCACTGTTTTGTTATATCTGAAGTCGTTGCCCAGCCGGATGCCATTGGCTGGAATCCCAGGGTCACCGCAGTTGATGACTGGGGTAAAATAGATGCAGTATTCTTCACTCACAGCTGGACCCCATTTCTCTTCAGGACTCCAATGTCATGCATACTGCTCCCCCCACCCATCCAAGGAAGAACACCTTCAGATTGGGGGGGTCCTTATTGACCCCCATTGGCACTGCCCATTCTAAAGTCAGTTAGTTAGGTCAGTGCTTCCTGCCTCTCCTTCCCCACAGTCGCAACATCCGTACGGATCCCATTCTTAAGTCAAGAAGACCTGGCATTCACCTGTGCACTCTGGGTCGCTGCCTGTCCAGGTGCCATTGACGGAGCAGTGTCGGCTGAGCAGGCCTGTGGCGTAGTAGCCTTCCCGACACGCATAGACGATGGAGCTGGAGAAAACCAGGCCGTCACTGAACACAACGCGGGCATTGCTTGGAGTCCCGGGGTTCCCACAAGAGATCACTGGGAAGCCGAAGATCACATTATTTACCAGAACAATTAAAAATATTTTTATTATTACCTTTTTTTGGTGGAGGAGGCTAGGGGGACTACTGGGGCCTTGTGGTTGCTAAGCAAGTACTCTTCCTTGTACCAAGTACTCAGTCGATGACCCTAGTCTTTACGGCTTTTAGTTTTTAGGCAGGGTCTCGTGCTTTTGCCTTGGACCAACAGTGATTCTACTACTTACCCTTCCTTGTGTACCTGTGATTACAGGCAGGTGCCACCATGGCTGGCCTGATTTTTTTAAAATTCCTAAATAATAGTGTTTTTGTTATTTGGGAAAAGACTGTTTTTATGATCACATCCAAGATTTTACATAATTCCTTCTTGTCATCAAATATTCCAAGAATGCTCAATGTTTCTTAATTATCATTTTTTTGTAGTTGATTTGTTTGAATAAAGATCCAAATAAGGCTGTGGCATTTGGTTGGTGTGTCTCTAAGACTTTGAATTCGGGGATTATGGTTTCATCTGCTATAATTTATTTGTTACAGAAATCAGGGCATGTGTCCTGCAGAACTCCCCATCTTCTTGATTTTGTATCAGTGAGATATTGTGGAATTTGCTTCTCAGTTCCCTGTCATTCCTGTCATCATGTTCTACTTTTTGGCATCGCTGCTTTAGGTGTTTTGGTGTTTTTCCTATTGCATTGTGTCAGGAGACACAGAATGTCTCCTTGTTTTCTGCTTTGTGAGGTTGAGGCTGATCAATGGTGGCAGGCTCACCCACCTAGTCTGGTATTACAAAAATCCCATTATGTTCTCACTTCATGGTTTTAGCAATAATTGATGATCATTGGCTAGGTTCTCTAATAGAAAATTGTGATATTCTAATTCTATCATTTTTTTTTGCATTAGCTAGAGTTAAGGGAATTTCTCATCATCAAATATATTTGCTTTCCCTAAATGTAATTCATTCAGGAAGGCTAGAAAATGCTTGACTCTTTCTTAAAAAAAAAAAAAAGACACAGGGTAATGAATTCTTAGCAAGTTCCAAAGGTGACCAATGAGTTTACTTCTTGAACTCATTGACTTAAACTAACTTACATGCTGCCATTCATTATCATTTATATCCCATCTTTGGTGAGTTTGGGAGCCTCTTCATGTTGGCTCCTGAGTTCCTTCCACATGACTCCAGTTATCTTTGGTGGATTTCCTGCTGCAGGGGTTCTAGAGTCCCTGCTTATCTTGTCTATTCCCTGCTTCAGCCCTGAACTCAGCCATTTTTCCAAGGAACCTGGTTCCTTTAATGGAGGATAGATTTGGAGACCACAATCTGAGCATCAAGGGTTCTTATTAGTCATCCATTCTGAGTAGTCATTCATTATAGAGGTTTAGATTGCAGAGAGCTAGGAAAAGTAACTTTTAAATTGCAAACACAGGGCTGGGAAGGTGGCTCAGTGGTAGAGTGCTTGTCTTGTATGCATGAGGCCCTGGGTTTGATTCCTCAGCACCACATAAGCAGAAAAAGCCAGAAGTGGCACTGTGGCTCAAGTGGTAGGGCACTAGCCTTGAGCTGAAGAGCTGAGGGACATCACCCAGGCCTAGAGTTCAGGCCCACAACTGGCAAAAAAAAAAAAAAATTGCAAACACATTGTTTATGTTGATTTTATCAACTCAAATTTAGGATTAGGTTTTCCCTTAATTTCTTGGTTTTTAGATTAGAGCTCCTTGATGCTGAAAATCTTGGTCCTTAATGGTAGTAAATAATTTGTATTTGTTTGTATCCATGCATATTATGGTATTGCATATGTAATACTTTCAGCATAGTAATGTCAATATTGTTACTAACAATATGATTTCTGAAAAGAGTTTAAGAATTCTTTGTAGTTCTTTTTGTCCTTAGGTTCTAGCCACAGTCAAATTACACTTTTTCAATCAATTGAAATCATTCTCTGGGCTATTAAATTACCAACTTAATACATATTTTCTCTCATATGTGAATCTTAGACAAAAAATATAACCTCCCATATAAATATACATAAGGGCATATGTATATATAGCTGGCTAGAGTATGTGATGTGACTCCTCTGAACAATTAAAGTTTAACAAAATGAATATCGGAAGCTGAAACATAAAATATGTTGGAGGGGAAGGGGAGAGTGGGAGAGGTGTAGACAAATGGAAACAGGAATGGTGGACGAATATAGTCCTAATACTCAATGTATGTATATAAAAAGGAAAGTGGAAAGTTAATGTAATTGGTGGGGAAGAGTGTTCTATAGGCTGAACTTCTCAAAGAGAGATTTGGGGACTGGCTGCAAAAAGTTGACTCTGGAGAGAGAGATATTTAAAAATAGACCCTTCTGGGTAAAACAAATCGTTTAAATAGGGATACAGGTGGACCCATTGCAACAATGAAATGTACAAGTCGTTATGTCGAAAACGAACTTTACAACTTTGGTGTGTGTGGGGGGGGGGGGCGGGGAGGACTGGGTGGGAGGGTGGGGGAGGGGGAGGATGGGAAGGGATGGGAAGGGGAAACAAAGGAGGAGGCTACAATGCTTGATAAGAAATGTACTCATTATCTTGCCCATGTAATTGTAACCCCTCTGTACAGTATTTTCACAATAAAAAAAATAGACCCTTCCCTCTAGACATTACTATGTGTATAGGCAAGTACAGTTTCTCTTATTGGTACAGCCTCACAAAACATCAATGAAGGCCTAGATTACTTTTAAAGGTTTTTTGTTGTTTTGTTTTTCTTTTTTTTTTTTTTTGTCCTGTCATGGGGCCTGAACTCTGGGCCTGGACGCTGTCCCTCAGCTCTTCAGCTCAAGGCTGGAGCTCTACTACTTGAGCCACAGCGCCACTTCCAGCCTTTTTCTTTTTGCTTATGTGGTGCTGAGGAATCAAATCCAGGGCTTCATGCATGCAAGGTAAGCACTCTACCACTGAGCCACCTTCCCAGCCCTGTTGTTTTGTTTTTTAAATACTGCACTTGTACTTTCCTTGATACTTTGAACATTTGTTTAATGGTCCCTTCCCTTTGATGGTAAGCTCTGATTGGAGAGGTTGCCTTCTTTAGCCTGTCCAGGCTGCTATAACATAATACCATAGACTGGGTGGCATATAAACAACACTCTGGAGTCTGGGAAGTCCAGGATGAAGGGATCTGTAGAGTGGGTGTCTGGTGAGACTCTGCTTTCTGGTTTGTGGATAGTACCTCCTTGCTGGGTCCTCACATGACCGAGGAAAGGGCGCTCAGTGACCTCACCGAGCTCCCTTGTATAAGGGCACTAACCCCATCACAAGGGCTCTGATCATCTCTTCACCTCCCAAAGGTCCCACCTCCTAATAACATCCCTTGTCACCTTGGTGATTGAGTTTTACCAAATGAACTGTGGGAAGAGTGTATGACACAAGCATTCATTCAGACCATAGAAGGGTGTCTGTCTTCTTCATTAATGTGTCCCCAGCACAAACTACAGCATTTAGCACACAGTGGTTAAATGAAACTGTATGAGAAATGTATGAATTAAACTTAGTCTTTCTGGTTTCTTTCCTTATTGGGTGAGGTAGGAATATATGATCTTCGAATGACTGATGGAAATGAATCAAAGTTATATGTTAGTACCCACTCCCCACCAAACCAAGGGTTTAGTGGGGGGGGCATGGATGATGTTTTTCTGTGAGAGGCTGGAGTGGGAGGAAGATGAGAACACTAGGGTGGGGCAAAGGGGAGAAGCAGAATGATCACATACATTACCTCCACACTCAGGCTGCGAGCCACTCCAGGAGCCACTGGCCTGGCAGGTCCGTTCTGATGATCCCCGGAGCACATGGCCAGCTTCACAGCTGAAACGCATCAGACTGCCCGTGGCAAAGCTGTCCCCCAGTCGGATGCCATGGGCTGGGATCCCAGGGTCACCACAAGCACCTGTGCTGGTTCCTGAGAGAAGCAAATAAATCATGGTTTATGCATGGTAGAAAAGGGAGTGGGGGACTGGGGGAGAGAAAGATGGGGCCATCGTTAAGGGGAAGCAGTACTGGGGATTGAACCCAGGGCATGGACTTGCGAGGCAAGCACTCCACCATGGGAGCCACACCCCCAGCCTGCAGATGGCAGTTCTTTACATCGATGAAGGTGATGATGATGGGGATGGGGACAATAAACTTCCTGACATGTGGTTCAAACTCCTGAAATGTCTGCATGTCCATCATAGTCCAGGGGCTGATGGCTCAAGGACTCCAGCAATTTTGTTATACATTATGTGGTTCTTCCAATTGCACAGAATGAGGCTCAAAAAATGGACTCAGGAGCTGGGAAGGTGGCTCAGTGGTAGAGTGCTTGCCTTGCATGCATGAGGCCCTGGGTTTGATACCTTAGCACCCATAAGCGGAAAAAGCCAGATGTGGTACTGTGGCTCAAGTGGTAGAGCGCTAGACTTGAGCTGAGGAGCTGAGGGACAGTGCCCAGGCCCAGAGTTCAGGCCTCATGACCAACAAAACAAAAAAAAATGGATTCAGAACTTAAGGAGTAACAGGAGATGATGTAAAAGACAACCTAGGTAAAATTTCAGGAAAAAAGGAACTAAATCTACTTTGTCCACTGGTATATACGTAGAGTTACTTCTTGATGGTGTGTTTTTCTTTTCTAAGGCATTTAAGGGTCATTAATTTAACATTAGAGGATTTATCTTCATTCTGTCCGAAGAGATCTGCAGGAAGGCTCAATTTATGGTTCTGGTCTCCTAACTGCCTATCATCTCTGATGGATATATGAGAGATAAGACACTAAGTATTCTATAGGCTATTCCAGATCAGAGATTGAACAGCAGAATGTATGTCCCTTTGTGAATGGATACCACGTTCTCCTGAAGGGTTCCTTGTGTTCTCATGCTCTCAAAGTGACTTCTGGCTTCTAGTCTCTCTTAAGGACTTTTGATGTTGTCAAGGAAGACTGTCCACATTCTGGATGATCACTTAGGAGATCACAAAATAATGAAAGCTCACTCAATAGGGTTTTGGAGGCTTACTGGCTTAGTTCTCTATCCTAGTCAATAATCATCTTTGCAATATTTTCTAGCCTCCTTAATAGAACTCAGTGAAGGGAGATTATACTTTGGGATAGAAGAGACTTTCAGTTTCATGCTAGGTGGTTAGAAGAATAGCCATACGGTTGATCTTAGATACTAAAGATCAGAAAGCACTAGAAGCTTTATTCTGGTTTCCTTCCAACCACAAGGACTGATGTCCAGTTGGGATCTCTCCACCTGTGAGGGATGGGATAAGAGTCCCAAAGGTGTGATCCCTTCCCATCTATGGGTCATGTTCATCTCTCTCCAGCCAAAGTTCCACCAGAAGACTTCCCTGATGCCAGGCTCCATACCTGAGCAGTGGGGGAGGGAGCCCGTCCAGTGTCCATCCAGCCCACACATTCGGGTGGCATTTCCCACCAGAGTCCGCTTGCCCGTACAGCTGTAACGCACCACGGCCCCTACGGTAAAACTGTCTCCAGACATCTGGGAATGAGGTGGAGATCCTGGATGGCCGCAGGATACCACTGTGGGGAACAGCAAACATCTCAATAACTCTACAGGGATGAGTTGCCATTACTTTGCACATGTTGAGGACTCTTGTCATGGGGGCAGGGAAAAAGGGAAATCCTGGGTTTCTATTGGAGCATACATGTTCACCCGCAAATGGTGCCTACCCACCTCATGGTACAATTTCCAAGTCAACCAAGTGAAGAATAATACCGTCTTTTCATAAGGATATGTGAGGGAGTACCATCAGATGTCCTGGTACTGAGCTTTTCCCCAAACTTTCTTTCCATGTGGTCCCTATAACTTTTCCTAACGATAATTGATGCAGTTAACTACTTATGAAGTAGCTTCTATGTATCAGATAACAAATGAGCCATTTGTGCAGAATTTTTACCATTTAATCCCTTGTAGAATTAAATACTGGCATCATTTTCATAGCAGAAGGAACCATAGCTCTGGAAGGTGAGCAAAGTTCTCCCAAACAACATAGCTTGTTAAATGGAAAAATCTACAGCTGGCATTCAGGCCAGCGTGCCCTCAGAGCTAGGCATTTCTGCTTCAATTTCCCCAAAGAGAGGGGGGTTTGGATATTGTTTTTCTATTTTGTTGTAAAAGTGATGTACAGAGGGGTTACAGTTACATAACTAAGGAAATGAGTATTATTTCTTTTCAAAGAGTGTTACCCTTTCCCTTGTTTTCTACTTTCCCTCCCCCTAACTCCCCTCCCCTCCAAATTGTGGAGTTCATTTCCAACATTATGTCTTATGAGTATCACTGTTGTATTGGTTCACTATTTGTCCTTTGTCTTACCGTTTCTGTGATTTCCCCTTCCCATCCTCAAGTTATGTAAACTTATACCATACAAAGAGTACAGAAAAATAAAACAGTGACAACAGGGGGTAAACCAAAGAGGGGAAAAATGAAAGAAAAATAAAAGAAATAACTGTTTACAGTACACTAAGAGAACCCCCCCCCCAAAAAAAAATCCTGGAAGCAACTAAGTGAGGAGAAGGGGCCCTGATAGATAGCTTCCTTCTAAAGGTAAGGACCTCTAAAGTCTACAGAAGTTGGTGGCAATAGTGGAGATAGGAAAGGGATTGGCTTCTAGCCGGGAAGTGAGCACATGAATTGGTGAGGCAGCTTCCCAATAGGACTTGAAAAGGGTCTGGATGACCAAGAAGCAGCCAGGGATAATGCCAAGGGCACTCCTCAGTATGCATGCACTTATACACAAACCTGAACGCGCGTGCGTGCGCGTACACCCACACCCATCCACACCCACAGAGAGGCATGAACAGTGAGTGATGTGGCATGTCACACCCTGCCAATTACTCCACACAGGTGCATCTACTCACAGAGACACTGTGGGCGGGGTCGGTCCCAGGTGCCATCTCCCTGGCAGCTGAGCACTGGGGTGCCTAGGAGATAGAAGCCGTGGTTGCACTGGTAGGACACAGTGGTTCCGAAGCTGAACCTGTGTGGGCCGCTGGCATGGACTTGTCGGATGCTGTTTTCTTGGTGCCCGGGATCTGTACAGTTGATGACTGCAAAGGAATGGGATGATTGGAGATAGAAATGTGGATGGGAGGATTTTACTCAGCTTTCAAATGCAAACTCAGAAGTCTTGACAGACAAGCATTCTCAGCCCAGCAAAATCTCCAAAGCTGGTTGACAAGGCAGGTCCTGTCTGCAGGGATTAGGGGTTGGGGGATAGGGGTGGGGTCTGGTAGATGCAGGTTTCTGTCCACCTTAGACACTTGGTCAGGTGATTCATTTATCCTTAGAAAGGCTGGCTGGACTGGATAGCCCTGCCCTCTTTAGTGCTCTTGTTGACTGCCAGTTGGGACTGTGAGTTCTTGCTGTACTTGCATTCCTGGAAGGTACAACCATCTCAGCTCGGTGTACCTGGTCCCTGGCCCAAAGTGGCCCCCACAGCAAGCTTGTCCACTGTAAAAGTGACACATTTGAACTGACTTGAACGGCAACTGGTCTCTTTTGGAAATAGGTTGAAATACTTTTATGCATATTTTAGGGAACCATAAATGCCCTGGGAAATACAATTGATTTTAAAATGTCCAAGTGCTTCTAAAGCAGTTTTATTAAAAAAAATGAGAGTGAAATTTTTGCAGAATGACAATATACCATAAATGCGTTGGCTTTCAAAGCACAAGTCCATTTTCTTACCTGAGTTTCACATTCAGAATGGAATGAGCAGGAATATACCCTTTCCTCTTTGATAAGGCACTATCCAGTAGTTTTGCCTTTGACAAGCCTTTGACTTCACTGCCATAAAAAGCCTTTAAAAGCTTTAGAAGTTTCTTCCTAAGTAATCCAAATGAGGCCAGAATATCTTCTGTGTCGTCTGGCTCTTAAGTCTTTGGTTTCCTTTGTGTCCCTTTCATCTTAATTCTTAGACACCTCTGCTTTTTTACTTTTTAATTCCAATTCTACTGCTTTCACATTTTCCACTAGCATAGGTGACTATCTAATGTAGTTGCAAAGGAGCTTCAGCATCTATTTTGCAACCATGAGGAACCATCAAGATGTTGCTCTAGATTTCAATGAGCAGCTACAGAAACAGTACTGCTTCTAGATTTCTTGTTTATATGAGAAAAGACACTTCTGTACCAAGAAAAAATAAAATTAATGGGACTTTACAACTATGACAAATTATTTGTTCCATGAAATATAAGCAAGTCTTGAAAAATGAAACTAAGTTTTGACTTTACTATGGAAACTCATGTGGAAATTTTACATAGCTCTCTATCTAGAGGTTGGAAAAAATCCTCATCTCTGAATTTCTTGTCTGAATAGAATACCATCAGGACCGAATTCACTGGGCTTTATTCCTTGGTTACAGAAACACAGATGTCAGAGGTAGTGAGAAAAGCAGGGGGACAAGAAAGGCAACTCACTTCTGCAGGTGGGCAGTGCATCACTCCACTGCCCACTGGCCAGGCACTGGGACCTAGCAGCCCCCTCAGATATGTACCCAGGGTTGCAAACAAACTTGACCACATCGTTGAGATTGAACTGGTTTCCCTGAGTGAGGCCATTGAGAGGGTTGCCTGGGTGTCCACAGGTAATTGCTGTAATCAAAAGAGAAGATAGGTAAGCCTTGTGATTATTACATACCTTCAAGATTCATCCTCTTCTCCCTGACATGACATCAGAACTGGGTCTCCAGGGAGAGGAGGACTTGGCAATGTCAACGAGGTTGGTGGGAGAGTGAGGATAAGCTTCACAGGGTTTATGAACCCACTGTCATTATACACATGGAATTGAGTATAGGCAGCCAGTTTGGATGAGGATCTATCATGTTCACCAGATTGGCAAAGGGTCATGAGCGGCATTGTACCCCTAAAGGTTACAAAACATTCTTGAGAAGTTAGAGAAGAATTTCTGGGGATGACCTTTGGGATGCCACCTTCTTAAATATGGATAGGCAAAAGTCTGCAGAAGGACTTGAGGAAGGTTCATATATAACCCAACAAAGCTTGGCAGCATGGGCAGTGGACACCAAAGCCAGGGGGACAGTCCCCACCTCATGTTAAGACTCCCCAATAGCTCAAGTAAGATGAACACAGAAGAGCATCCACCATTGGTATCCCTAGTGACTGGAAGCATCTCTTGCTGAGTTGCAGCTCTGGCTTATTTCCTGCCTTACATTCCCAGGACACAAGCTCTGTCCAAGAAGCCTCAGGAGCACTTGCTACCTCCAGGTTCCTTCTCCCTTTCCCACATACTAGTTCCTTATGCCCTCTGGGTCCTGAGCTTGCTCTCTGCTCATCTCCAGATCGTGTCCTGCTACTCCCAGGCAGCAGGGTCCCCAGGACAGTGCATCATGCCCAGTACCAGGGCTCTTATTGCTGGGCATGTAATTTCTGGCTGGAGCAGAGAAGTGATGAAGAAAGAATTCTATAGTGGCTTTTGCTTCTAATAAAGGGAAAATGTGGGAACAATGTAAATGGGTAACTTTTCAAGCAGCACAACTGTGTCATGGCTAATTTTTTTTATCAATGGGTCTAGGCTATGGCGCCCAGATATATGGTCACACACACTCTCCATGTTCTGGTGAAGTTATTTTAAACATTACATTAGGAGACCGAGTAAAGGCGATCACCCTTCATAACATGGGTGGGCCTCACCCAATGAGTTGAAGGGTTTCACAGATATGATTTTACTTCAGGAGGAAGAGAGCTTCTTCCAGAAAATAGCCTTCAACCTTGAACAGCAATTCTCTGCTGGGGCTCCAACCCACTTTCCTCCCCAAACCTATCTGCAGATTCTCCATTTGGCAACCTCTACAGCTGCATGGCCAACTTTAAGCACACACACACACACACACACACACACACACACACACACACACACACACAATATCAGTCTATTTTTGTAGGGAATAATACCAGCTGCAAAGGGGAGGACAAGGCATTCCTAGGAGAAAAGCAGTGGTCTTACTGAGGCCTGAGTATCTAACTGGAGCTTGAGCACATGGACCTCTTGGCCCTAAATTTCCCAAGGGTGAGATCATGGCACATTCATTTCATGTTTATCTACAATATCCAGCACAATGCCTGGCTCCTGGGAGGTGCTAAGAAAGCGTGTGTTGACGATGTCTTATAGGCCAAGCTGCAGAAAGGTCAGGGCAGCAGAATAGAGGAGAGAGGTAAAACTAGACTGAGTTCACTGAGGAGGAAGGAGGGATGGGGATTCATCGGGGTCAGGAGCGAGCTTCTTTTATTACTGAGAGGAGGGGAAGAGTGGACAAGGGAGAATGCAGACAGGATGGAGGTGTGGGTACGGAAACAGGAAGTGGAAGGTCTCATTGATAGATACTATCACCTGTGCAACATAAGAGACTGAGATCATTCTGTTGTTCAGATTTACAGGCATTAACATATTTTATCCCCTTTTCTCTAAGGGTAGTACCATCCTTTTCTCAATGGGCAAACAAACTTTCAGAGATTTAAGGTGATTTGTTCAAGTGGCTCTATTTCTTTTTCTTTTTGGGTCCGGTTGTGGGGCCTGAACTCTGGGCCTGGGTGCTGTCCCTCAGCTCTTCAGCTCAAGGCTAGCGCTCTACCACTTGAGCCACAGCGCCACTTCCGGCTTTTTTTCTTTTTGCTTATGTGGTGCTGGGGAATCGAACCCAGGGCCTCATGGATGCAAGGCAAGTGCTCTACCACTGAGCCACCTTCCCAGCCCCAATCAAGTAGCTCTATTTCTAAGTGGTTCCTCTGAGTTCTGAACCCTGCTTCTCTGATTGTTGGTCATCCTTATGGTTTTTTAGCTGCATGTTTACACTGCAAATAAGGTGATGGAGTGTGGGTCTGTAGAAGACAGATAAAAGTGTGAAGCAGCTAAGCGGAGAAAGGTCATGAGAGCTCGTAGAGGAAGTATAGAGGAGAGCTGGGAGAGTGAGAGTTGAGTTGATACTGGGAACCTTGAATTTATGTGTGATGGAAGTGGAAACATAGAAAACTGCAAACCTTATTCTTTTGCTTCTGCCTTCTTTTCCAGAGAACACACAAAATCTGTGATCCAGGAGAGAATGGGGCTTGGCACAGGGATAATGGGTTCTGTGGTATAACAGGTGGCAGATAATCCTTGCCATTGTCTGTATCATCATCATCATCATCATCATCATCATCATCATCATCATCATCATCACAGTATAAGCAGTGTCATCAGTGCAGCACCAGTACCATTCTAACCATTTATACGTGTGTATTAATTCATTTAAAATCACAGTAGTCTCTGAGGTTCCCGCTTTTCAGAGATGAGAGAATGAGGACTGAGGGAAGGCGGTTGAGTTGTCTACAGTCATAAGAGTCATGGGGCTGACTGCAGGTTATTCTGGGATGTGAACTCAGGTGGCCCATACCTGAGGGTCCAACTTTGGGCTGCACTAATCATTATTACAACGTAGGCCTCAAGTTGGGCATCATTAAGTTAGGCCCCAGCATACCACACTATTTACACACAAATATCTTGATGTGACAGTTTGCTGAAGGCATTTAAGTCTGTGCCCTCAGCTGGAAATAAATGTGATTTCTTTTAAAACCACATCTAAAAGAATGACTGTACACAGATGAGTCTTGCATCTGTAAACCTAATACTTAAGTCATCAAGACCACTTTTCACCCACTGCTACAGAAAAGACTCATTATTTTATTGTCCTAACTTGCATATAAAAGATCAAATGAAAATGAAGAATTAAAAAATAAAAATCCATGTTATAAAAATTAAGAACAAGTCCTTGCATTTTACATAAAGACTCTCATTAGGGAACTTTAAAAAGTGAATAATTTCCCAAATTATTTCCCAAATTACTTCTAGGCAGCCAAGGATAATGATCACCTAAATCCCCAAAATGAAAATTAATAAGAAGAACAAACACAAGTACAAAAAAAAAACCAACAACCTCAAGTCTGCAGGATAGCTGCAAGGCAGAGAATGCTACAAACGTTAAATTACTTGGAAGCAGAGAAACAAGCATAAAACCAAGCATAGTGACCAGAACTAGTATTTAGAATTATAATAGAAGAAAAATCTTTCAGAAATAAAGCAATGAAAAGGTCTGAATATTCGAATACCTACAGAATACTGGGAAATGGTCTTAGAACAGTGAGCTTTAAGGTACATGTTTGTAAAAATATTAGGCTCTAGGGAAAAAGGAAGAAAAAAAATCAAGAACTCTGGAAAACCACCAAATAACTTATTAAGATAGAATTAGACTAATATTATAATTCTAAATGCTGAATTCACAGACACAGAGGACAGGTGGCAGTTACCTAGGGGACATGAGAGAAATGGGGAGACTTGGCCAAAAGGTTCAAAGTTGCTAATATTACATAGAATAAATGCAGCATGATGACTAAAGTTTATAATGAATGGAAATTTCCTAGGAGAATAGATTTCAGGTGTTTCTATTACATATACTCAGAGATAAGTATCTGAGAAAATGGATATGTTCATTTGCTTGACTGTTGCAATCATTTCTCTATGCATGTATACATACAAACATTATACTGCATAACTTAAATAGGTATAATCCTGAGACCAAACAAGAAGACAAATACACAAGGCAAAATAAAATGGAAGGAGTATCTTAGAAAGTCTTGGCAATAATTGGTTATATAATTATTATATGTTAGATATTCTTGCATATTATTAAATTATATAACATATATATATATATATATAATAATTATATCCAATTCTGTTGTCTTTCCAGGTTTTTATTTTGTGGTACTGGCAACTAAAACTAAGGGCCTTGAGCATGTTAGGTAAATGCTCTATGGCTGAGTACACTTCCAATACTCCTTCAAATTCTATGGTACAGACCAACAGTTTAAACTATGCAACAAGTTGGGGTACATTAGGATGTTACTGAAGAATCTTTTAAAGACTTTACTAAAAGATAATTGAGAAAACTTCAACATTTGTGCATGCTTGCTGTATTTAAGTGTAAATCCAGGAGGAGGGTAAAGGTGAGGCAAAAGGACAGAAGCATAATATGGAACACTATCATAATAAATGTCTTATGCCCTGACAAAGCAGAAATAGTGCAAGTGAAAAGGAAAGGGAAAGAGAAAGGGGAAAAGAGAATTCAATAAGCTCATGGATTGTGGTCTGGCCAATATGTGAAAGTTAAAGAATGCTATTAAATATTGATAAACTAGATAATAAAAGGATAAATAATGAAACAGGGGATATATGGCAATACAGTGTTGTAAGTATAAAAGTAAGCAAATGGAAAAAGATCCAAACCTTAAATGCCAAAAGAAATGTTTGAAAAAAAAAAAAAAAAGCAAAGAGCCAAGCCCTAGAGCTGGTGGCTCATGTCCGTAATCTTAACTAAACTACTTAGGAGGCTGAGATTCAGCCAGCTTAGGAAGGAAAGTCCATGAGACTTATGTCCAATTGACTAGTAAAAAAATTGAAAGTGAAGCTGTGGACGCGCACACACACACACACACACACACACACACACACACACACACACACACACACACACACACACACACACACACACACACACACACACACACACACACACACACACACACACACACACACACACACACACACACACACACACACACACACACCATGAGCTAAAGCTGGGCAATTTGGCTCCATGAATGAAAAGTCAAGAGTAACAAAAGAGAAACTACATACATTGGGCAGTCTTAAATAGGTACAGGACAGGGGCTGGGAAGGTGGCTCAGTGGTAGAGCGCTTGCCTTGCATGCCTGAGGCCCTGGGTTCGATTCCTCAGCACCACATAAGCAAAAAGAAAAAAGCCGGAAGTGGCGCTGTGGCTCAAGTGGTAGAGCGCTAGCCTTGAGCTGAAGAGCTGAGGGACAGTGCCCAGGCCCAGAGTTCAGGCCCCACAACCGGACCCCCCCCCCCCCAAAAAAAATAGGTACAGGACAACTTAAAAACATGGAGAAACAGAAAGGTGAAATAGGAAACAGTCTGTAAGTTCCAGCCTAGGCTCCCTGGTAGGAAGGCGAAGTTGACACACCACCACAATGTAAGCTAGAAGACAGTACACGCCTCCTGTCACCCTTAAACACAGTGCATAGCTTTGGTGCAACACTGACTTCTCATGTGCGGTAGAGTAGCATCAGACAAGAAAGATTTTTGTTCCCCATAATGTAGAGGGTTATAGAAAGATGCTGTCTTGAGCAAAGGGGCCTATGATTTAAGACAAAGGTACTCTGGGCACTTGAAAACATTGCAGTTTAGGGGGTCATGTTACATCTTGCCACAGTGTGTCAGCAAGAAAGTTTATATGGACCTGCTGAGAATAAAGAGCACAACGATACGTGGTTCTGTCCTTCCTGGTGAGAGAAAGTCCTATTACCTGAAGATCAATGGGACACAATACACTGAGTCCCTGGCTGGTAGAATACATGGCCTGGAGCTGCATGCTGGCTGCAGGTGTCTGCTACCAGTTGGGTTGAGAGTTCTGAACACAGGACCCAGGGATACTGTGATCTCTCCAACTTCTTCCTTCCCACAGAGTGGTGAACTACTAGGTTGAGTCTAAAAGCACTGAGACTGGTGGGCTGAGTGCCTAAGTCTCTTAGTTCTTTATTGTCACTGCAGACTCCCATGCTCTGCTGTTCTGATGTTCTGGAGGAACTCCCTAAGCTTGAATACTTGCTGTCCCTAGGGCACAGTTTGGTGACTTGTGCAGCAAGTGGGAACGTGCTTGACCCCAAGACTATAGACCTCCTGTGGCTAGAAGTGGCTTCTACTACTAGTGGCTTCCAGTATATAAATAAAGGAATATTCTAGGGTGAAAGCAGAACAGATTATTGATTGGTCCTACCCTCAACACATATAACAACAAACTTTAAACTATGAACTACAAGAGACTCTACCACTTGTTGAGCAAAAGACAGTTGAGCAAAAGACTCTCTAACAGTGTTATGGAAATGAACAGAAGAAACTAGATCCCTCTGTCTCTCACCTGAAAAAAAGCACACAGGTGAAACGTTTGAAGATAGAGCCATATTTGAGGATAGAATCTGAACAGGATTCTAATTGCTCAGGAAATTATGACAAGAATTGAAAAGCAGCATTTCATCAAATTAAAAAGATTCTGTATAACAGAGGCAACAGTTACTAGAATGAAAAAGCAACCTACAGAATGGGAGAAAATATTTGCAAGTTACTCATGAGACAAAGGACTAATACCTAGAATATATAAAGAACTAAAAAAATTAAACAGCAAAAGAACCAAACAGACAATTCTTGAAAGGAGTACAAATGGCAAATTACCTCATGAATAAATGTTCAACATTCATGATTATAAAGGAAATGTAAATAATAAATATTATAGAGTTCCCCCCCCACACACACTTTAGTTGATTCTCAGGTAGGATCTTCTTACATTCATAACTGGACTGACTATGGTTTGCAATCCTTCTATCTATAGCATGTCATGAAGCTAAGATTGAAGGCATGTACTATCATACCTACCTTATTGATTGAAATAGGTAGGGTTCCACCAACTTCTTGCCTAAGCAAAGCATAATCTGCCCAATCTTTACCTCCCAGACATCTGGGATGCAGAAGTAAGCTATAACACCCAGGCTGATACTGAGAGTTACCTCAGTCAGAGACTATCATCAAGAAAACAAGCAAAAACAAATCCTGGCAATGTAAATTACTGAAGTTAGTATGGAAATAAGTAGGGACTTAAAAAAACCCCTGAAAACAGAAGTACCATATTATCTTGTATACCACAGTTGGACACATATCTAAAAGAATGTAAGTCAACATATAATAGGTATACATGCATATTGTAGCACTATCCACAACAGCCAAGCTAAGGATTCAGCGTAGGTGTCTCAAAACAGATGAATGGATAAAGAAAATGTGGTGTATATACAGAATTGAGTACTCAGCCATAAAAAGGATGAAATCTAATTTGCAAGAAAATGGATGGAACTGGAGATCATGCTGAGTGAGATAAGACAAACTTGGAGAGATTAAATATCACATGGATATGACACCACAGAATGACATATTTCATGTAGATGAAATACATAGAATTGTGACCTAAAATATAATAACATGATTGAAAAATGGGGACTTTTATAAACTATGTGTCAGGGACATATATTTATGAATGTAATCTTAGTTACTTAAGAGGCTGCAGTTTGAGGCCAGTTTGGGCAGAAAAGTTTGTGAGATCCATAGCTGAGCACAGTGGTTCAGGCCAATATCCCAAGCTATGTGAGAGGCTGAGACTGAAAGGGTCTCAGTTTCAGGACAGCTGGGGCAGAAAAGTCTTAAGACTATCTCAACAGAGGGAAGCTGGATGCAGTGGTATGTGCTATCATCTCAGCAATGACAGGAGTCATAACTGGGAAAAGCAGGGTCTAAGCTTACACCTGGGTGGGAAGTCAGAACCTGTCTCAAAAGTAACCAGCCAGAAGCAAGGCTGGAGGTGTGACTCAGCAGTAGAGCACCTGCCTTGTAAGGGTGAGTCCTTGAGTTCAAACCCCAGGGTTGCCAAAAAGGGGGACTGTGAGGAGGAAGGATAGGATTTTAGAGAATGGCCAGGAACATATTACATTATATATACATGTGTGAAAGCAGCGTAATGAAACTGGTTAAAAAAAAAGTGGAGAGATGAGAAAGAATAATGGAGGAGGTGAATGTGACCAGATACATTATATGTACGTGTGTATATGTATCACAATGAAATACCTTTGTTCAATTAATACACGATAATAAAAAGGCAAAGAAAGCATGTTTTATGGAATACATCATAAATATAAGATTTTTATATTAGATAAAACATGACATAATTAAGATTGAACATTTGAGACCTGTCAATGTATATAAATGAGTTTAACCTACAAATAAGAAGATTTCCAAGTTGGCTCATAAGGCAATGCCAAATCTATTACTGCACATAAGAGTCATACTTAATTTAAGAAATTCATCCATCATTAAACAGATGGTTGAAGGTGTGACAGGAAAAAGATGGGAGTAGGAGTTTTAAGCTTAGTATCAAGAAAGTAATATTCGAGCTGGAAAGTTAAAAATGATGAGGAAGACATCTTACAAGGCTAAAAGTGACAATTTGTAATGGAGATACAGTACTTTTGAATATCTGTATGCCAAGTAACACAACAACTGCTTTTATGCATTAAAACCTACAAATATGCAAAGAAAAATATAGAACTACGCTGATAGGAAACTTTAAACACATCTTTCAGAACAAAATCACATGGGGAAAAAAGATAAGTAAGAATATGGAGGATTTAGACAACATGATTTATAAATCACATATCTTATGAATCTCTCTCTCTCTTTCTCTCTCTCTCTCTCTTCATTTATCTGTATCTATACCGTAGTTCCTGGTTTTCAGGTACACATGGGCATTCATAAAAATTGGCCAAATTTTAGGCCACAAAAAAGCACTAGTATACTCCAAGAGGTGGAAATATTGTATACAGTGCCATAAAATTGTAAATAATACAAAATAAATACCTAAATACATAAAAAAGTACATAAATACAAAAAGACCCTTCGGCCTAGAAATTTTTAAAAAGATCCTTGTATTAAAAGTATAAGTAGAAAAAAAAAGTATAAGTAGAAGGGAAAATTAAAAACTACAAAACTACAGAATTTCTAATAAATAATAAATATTCATTATTAGAAACATGAGACACAATTAAAACTGCTGACCAAAAGAAATTTCATGGTTTCTAATACATGTATCTATAAAAAATCAATGTAGTGAAAAAATGAAAATAGGTAGATTAAATACTCAATCCAAAAATCTAGAAAATGGACAGAAAAGTAAAACAAAAGAGATCCCAAGCTGGGCACTGGTGGCTCACCCCTAACTACTCAGGAGGCTGAGATCTAAGGATTGTGGTTCAGAGCCAGCAGAAGCAGAAAAATCTGTGAGACACTCATCTCCAATTAACCACCAGAAAATCGGAAGTGGTGCTGTGGCTCAAGTGGAAGAGCACTTGCCTTGAGCTGAGGAGCTCAGGGACAGCACCCACGCCCAGAGTTCAAGCCCCACGACTGACCAAAAAAAAAAAAAAAATCCCAAGGAAGGAAATAATAAATTTTACAGCAGGATGACGTAGAGACCTGAAAATAATAGATGAAATGATTTCATCTCTCAAAATAAAAATAAAAATGAACAAATAAACAAAACCCCTAGCAAATATAATCAAGAGGAACTGAAGAAAGTCCATGTTGGATCTGAGCCCACAACTAGGGAGAATGGATGACATACTTACGCACACAGAAAGGAGTCTTGCCCGACCAGTGATGGTCTTGCTGGCAGATGCGCACAGACATGCCAATGAGGCGGAAGCCAGCATTGCACTGGTACACCACACTGCCCCGGTAGTTGTAGTTTTCCCCATTGATGTGTCCGTTGACAATAGGCTCAGGAGTCCCACAGTGTCCAGCTTTGGTGGAGAAAGATGGAGGAGAAAGTAAATCAGGAGGAGCTTCTAGAAAATGAGGTACAGAGCTTGGTCAGGATAGGGATAGGCATAGACAATGGGAAAAGGACCAAGTCCCCCCAACATCCATCATTTTCCCATCTGCCCTTAGTGAGTAATTCAGGAGTGACTTCAAGAATCCTATACATGGAAGAAATGGTGTTGAGGGTTTAGCAACTTTCAGTCCCCAAACTGCATCTCAACTGGCCATCCCTTCTGACTTTTAGTTTCTTTGTATGCAAGTGGGAAGTTATCACTGTTCCTGGTCTCTGGGCTTTCCGGAATTTGGATAAGTCTCCAAAGGTCCATAAGTTAAAAGTTTGGTTCCACAGTGTGGTACTAAGAGGAGGTTGTGGGACCTTTAGGGGGTGGGGCCTAGTGGTAGGAAGTTAGGTCATGGGGGTGTGATCTTAAAGGGAATACTGGAACCTTGGCTACTTCCTCTCTGTCTCTGTCTGTCTCTGTCTCTGTCTCTCTCTGCTTCTTGGCTTCAATGCCCCATGCTTTCCCATGGTATACTGCCTGTCCATAGGCATAAAGATAGATAATGGTGAAAAGTGATTGTGGACTGAAAACTCTGAAACTGGGAGCCCAAATAAATCTTTCTTTTTTTGTAAATTGATAGTCTGAAGTAATTTCTCACAGTGATGGAGAACTACTACAGGAACTACTGCTTTCTTTTTCAAATCAAGTAGCGTTTTCTGTGCATCTATTTCATTTCGTAGGAAGCATCATGCTCTAATTACAACCATCAAAACTTACTTGTGCTGAGAATAACTATTCACCTAAATTTAAACTGTTTTTGTTGGTTCTACTAGGGTTTGAATTCAGGACCTTGTGAACTTTGCTAAACAGGTACTCTTACTGCTGTTCCATGCCTCCAGAGACGGTTATTTTTATTGATTATTTTTTAGACAGAGACTTGTTTCCTGTGCACTGGGGCAGGTTCTACCTAGGTTAGACTTCTTAGTTGCTAGGGTAATGGTGTGCATAACCACGTCCTGCTCTTGGTTACGAAGGGGTCTCCTAGATGTTTTTATTTTTTCTGCCTGGGATGTCCTCTAATCTCAATCCCAATAATCTTAGCCTTTGAAGTAGTTAGGATTACAGATGTGAGCCACTGGTTCCAACTCACAGTTTCTTAACTAAGGCAAATGTTTTTGCTAAATGAGTTGGGTAGGGCATATTCCTGGTATTCCTTTGCTCCTGACCTCCTTCTAAGACTGTGTTCTTAATTGGAGCCTGAGACCTAGGAGGGTAACACTGGTCTCCAGAGTACAACACTCAGTCTTTTCTATTAGGTTTGTGTGGCTAAGACACTTTAGATTTTAGAGGTCTAAGGCAGGAGTAAGAGAGAGAATGTAGAATCTAAGACTCAGGCAAGGAGTCTATCAGTCATTGAAGAAATAAAACTTTGCCTCTTGTGAGTCAGAATGTCTTACAGGTGTCTGTTATTTACTTAGTATAGCTGTACATTAATTATATATGTTATATCAATTATATAAATTGATGTACATCTATATTAAGCAAATTTGACCACCATCTATAAAATTATACAAATTGATATATATCTAACATATATATTTGAAATAATTCTATGTGTGTGTGTGTGTGTGTGTGTGTGTGCATGCATATTTGTGTGTATGTGGTATGCAAGTACTGGAGCTTTAGCTCAGGTCCTGGTCCCTATCTCAGGTCCTGGCCCTATCCCTTAGCTTCTTTGCTTAAGGCTAGTGCTCTATCACTTAAGCCACAGCTCAACTTCTGGCTGTTTGATGGTTAATTGGAGAAAAGTGTCTCATAGTGTTTTCTGCCCAGGTTGGCTTTGAATCACGATCCTCAGATCTTAACCTCCTGAAAAGCTAAGATTATAGGTCTGAGCCACCAATAACCATATTAAAATAATTTTCTACTATGACATAAGGGGTATTTGAAATGCATTATGGGATTGTGTCTCTGTAAGGGGGAAGCTGGAGCTGCATGCATCATGCCAGGGTCAATTCTGGTCATGCTGGTGATAATGAGAACCTCTCAGAGGTTTGTCTCCTCAGACTTGAAAGTGTTATTTTAGCTGCCCTAACAGAAACTGGTTCTGGGTTGTAGTCATAGTGGATGTCTGATAGTTGGTACCTGGCATAAGCACTTTTTAAGAGTAGATACAGGCAGCTGTTTGAAGGCATGCAAGATGGGCCTGGAGTGGGTACTCACCAAGGCAGTGGACTTCAGAGCCACTCCAGAGCCCATTGGCCATGCACTCCCGCACCCTGGAGCCCACCAGCGTGTATCCGGAATTGCAGGAGAAGATGGCAGTTGCCCCATAGACAGACAATGTCCCGATGCGGTGCCCGCTGGGGGGCACGGGGAGCTCTCCACAGGAGATGACTACAAGGATCAGGAAATACTCAGTAAGCCAGCCCAGAAGGAGGCTGTGGGCTGCTTCTGATGAGCAGAAATAGTAACAAAGGAAGGCCTGCTTAACCTTGAGCTCCTGAAACTTAGTACTATGATGTGGACTGAGACTATTTCAACCCAGGGGTCCCTAAAAACACGGGGTGGGGGACTGTTAACATGCTCAGGCTCTTCCTGAGATGCATGATCCACAATCTCTGGAGGTAAAGTGCAGGTGTATGTGCTTTTAAAAAGCCTCAGGTAGTTCACGTAGATTCTGTGGCATGCTCCCCTGTATCCAGGGCAACCAATGCCAACAATCTCCCCCTACATAGCTGAGCCTAAGTGGCAGCCTCACAGTCCTCAACAGGGCATGAGATGGCCTCTGAATGATGTATTAGTTGAGGTCACTGAGGCTACATTGCAGTGGGCTGTTCTACACTGGTGGCTGCTACTCTGCCACATACGGTGAAATTCCACCCATGGGGCCCAAGGCTTCCATTTTCTTTCGTAGGTTGTGATCCCAGGCACACTCTCTAGTGAATCTCTGTCTCTGTCTTGCTTTCTGGGAACCCTAAGCTTTGAGACTATTTCAAAGAACCAAAGATAAAACAGTTAACAGTAAAGAGAGGCAGACAGACTCAGGGTTGTCGTCTGTGCTGTCCTCATTCCCACTGTCCAGCGCTCTTCAAAGGTCTCATCACACACCACAAGGGCATTCCTTCTGTGTCTATTTCTCCCGTAGACTGTAAGCTCCCTGCAGGCAGGAGTCACCATCTTTTCTCTCTGTACTTGAATAGTACCTGACATATAATTGGGGCCAAATAAATTAATCTGTGTATGCTGACCCGGATAACTTATTAAAAGGCGATTTCTAATGAGATTAAAAGATGGTATGAAGTACTTTGTTTAAGAAATAGGCTTTTATAATCTCCCAATTCTCATTGAGTGTCCAAAAAGAGATAGCCCACGATCCCTGGAAATAACCCTCTTCTCTTCCGCTGTGCTTCATAGGCAGCACCATGCATGCAAAAGTGCCCACTCTCCCCTCCTGGGCTTACTTTGGCAAGTGGGCATAGAGTCTCCAAGGCTCCACCTGCCATTGGCCTGGCAGCGGATGACCCTTTGGCCAGTGTAGTAGTAGCCAGGGTCACAGATGAGCATCAGCTGGGCCTGGAACTGGTACTGGGTCTCAAAGATAAGCCTCCACCGGCCATGCTCCACGCTGATGCTGCTGACATCAGGGCAGGTGACAGCTGGGGGAGCAAGAAGGGAGGAAGACTGTGAAATTATAGATAACATTCCAAGAGTCCTGGGCTGGGAACTAGAAGGGCCTACTGCAGTAACCGTGACAAGAAGCTTCAGTCCCTAGGCAGCTTTGGTAAAAAAATGAAAAAGATGATTGGGGGAGTGGGTTTGGCAAACTAGGGAGTACAGAACTGCCAAAAATAATCAATAAAAATGGAGGCAGATGATATTTAGTCCATGCTGATTTTTAGATGTGTGATTGAACAGTCCATTTGTCAGATGGACCTATCTGGTTCATCACACTATAAACTCAAAAAGGATTAAAAATGTTTTTATTTTTGGTCTGCATTAAGGTTTGAATGTAAGGCTTTGTACTTGCTTGTCTGGTACTCTACCCCTTGAGTCATGCTTCTAGCCTGTCTTTGTTGGTTATTTTAGAGATGGAGACTCTCACATAGTTCTGCCTGGACTTGATTTGAGCTATAATCCTTCCTTCCTTCTTTCCTTCCTTCCTTCCTTCCTTCCTTCCTTCCTTCCTTCCCCCTTCCCTTCCCTTCCCCTTTCTTTCTTATTTTTTTTGGCTGTAGGTCTCAGCTCTTCAGCTCAAGGCTAGTGCTCTACCACTTGAGCCACAGCACCACTTCTGATTTTCTGGTAGTTAATTGGAGATCAGAGTCTCATGGTCTTTCCTGCCCGGGCTGGCTTTGAACCGCAATCCTCAGATCTCAGCCTCCTGAGTAGTTAGAATTATAGGTGTGAGCCAAATCTTTAAAAATAAAAATACAGTGTAGTCCAAACAAAAAACAAAAAAGCTTTATTTTCATTCTAAAGATAATCCAAGGTGCCAATTTGCAACTATGGTTTGAAAGTTGTCAATTCCAAGTCTTGGGATCCAGGGACACATTTCATGTGTACATTTCTCCAGCATGGCTTATGAAAACATCTTAGGTTACATTGGTTTATCTATGCTCTGAGAGTAACTCTCAATGGAGACTCAAGCTGTCTAACACCACTACCCACCCATCTCCCCTCCCGAGTCCCCTAACCTTCATGAACATGCTTTTCCCTCCTTGCAGGACACATTCCAACTGCTTACCCACCCACTGCTTATACCACCTCTACCACCCCAGGACTCACGGACACACAGTGGGGGGATGTTGCGATTGCTCCACAGGCCTGTATCCAAACACTCTGTGGTGGTCTCAGCACCTGCCTGGAGGTGGTAACCGTCATTGCAGCTGTACACAGCCTTGGTCCCCACCGTGTACTCCTTGCCAAACACTATTCCATTCTTGGGGGCATCAGGAAGGCCGCAGGAAAGAGCTAGCAGAGGAGAAAGGATGTTCTGAGCATTTCTGGTTCAAGGTCGTATTCTGAGCACATACTGTGAGCTCTTCTTTCCCCCCAAGGCACCAATGAAATTCTAGTAAAAGCCAATAAAATGGAAAAGCAGCAAAATAAAACAAAAGAAAATGGAAAGACCATTAGCAGAGATTTAAAAACGACAAATCTGAAGCTGGAATGACGATTGAGTGTGTTGATGGATTAAATGAAGCAAAAAAGGCTACGACTCAAAGTACCTGGGAAAGAGTCACAGGGTGAGACTCTTCCATTTTCCCCACAAGTACAGTGTAGAGACTTTTAAGTATCTACTTTCCAATGAAAATGAAGATTTTTTTTTTCTCTCTCTCTACTAAAAGTGAGAGGATCTAGAATTCCTCTGAAAGATCTGGGAATGCTAAGATGGGTGTTGTTGTCCCAGAGGAATGCTCTTTTAATCCTAGGATTTAAGGTCTTTCAGAGTAAAGGCTAGCCCTCTGCTTGCACTGTGATTCTCCAAGTTGAAGCTTCCTAGGTAGCCGGAATTATAGGCACGCAATTCCAATTATGTCTAGCTATTAGTTGAGGTGGGGTCTTGGAAACTTTCTGGGTAGGCTGTGATCCTCTTGATCTCTACCTCCCAAGTAGATGAGATTACAAGCATGAACTACTGATACTGGCCTCCATATAGCTTCTTATTAAAGGTAGAGATCTAGTGGGCAAAGATATTTATATAAAATAACAAAATAACACATCTGCTCCCTGAAAAAAAATCAGCCTATTACTTTTAAATAGAAACAATGAAAGGTTACCACACAGATGAAGAAAAACTGTAGTAGGAAGGAGATAGAGAGTAAATAATCAGGGAAAAGTCCCCTTAGGAAACATCTAACACAGGAAACCAAGATCTTTAAAATGAGACTTCGTTTTTGTATCTTGATAAGGTCAAGGTGACATATGGAATGCACCAAATAAGAACACATTGCTTTGGAAAAGTACAGCAAAAAAAAGAATGAGGAACAGCTCTTTAAAGTTAAAAAAATGTTTGCCCAAATACACACTGTTTAAAAGTAAAAGGAAAATTTCAAGAATATAGAAAAACAATCCAGAGAGAAGACTGAAAACATACAGGGAAAGTCCAGGAAGTCCAACTGTTCAGAGTTTCAGAGATGGAGAACAGAGAAAGCAGATGGGATGGAATAATTATACATGAACATTTTCTAAGGCTGAAGAAAGACAAAAGTTTTCAGATGGAAAAGCAGCCAAAGAGATACAAAATGAACCATTCTTAGTTGGAATTTCTGAAGTCCAAAGAGACACAGTTATTCCCACAAGTTCCCAGAGAGAGAAAAGACATGTCATCCCTGGGATGTCAGTGATACTGGGTGTCCAAAGAAAATGGAACAAAGCCTTTAAGCTGCTGAGGGAAGTGATTCATAACCTAGAGTTTTATCTAGTCAACTCGCCAACTGTGAGGGTGAAACTAATGATGGTTTCGTACATTTATAGACTCAGAAAATTTACTTCATGGATCTTTTCTGAGAAACTTACTTGAGGCTATTCTCCATCAAAAAGAAGGCTGGATCCAAGAAATGACAAGATACAGGATATAGATATAAAAAGGACAGTACTAACTCCTGAGTACAAAGAACAGGAGAGGAATGTATGTAGAAGTTTGATAATGGGTGTGTGTGTGCGTGCGTGTGTGTGTGCGTGTGTGTGTGTGTGTGTGTGTGTGTGTGTGTGTGTGTGTGTGTGTGTGTGTGTGTGTGTGTGTGTATTTTTTGTTCTGGTCCTTGGGCTTGAGCTCAGGGCCTGGGTGCTGTCCCTAAGGTTTTTTGCTCAAGGCTTACTCTCTGTCACTTGAGTTACAGCACTACTTCCAACTTTTTGGTAGTTTATTGGAGATAAGAATATCACAGAGTTTCCTGCCTGGGCTGGCTTTGAACTGTGATCCTCAGATCTCAGCCTCCTGAGTAGCTAGGATTGCAGGTATGAGCCATCGGCACCCAGCTTGATTTTGTCTTTTTTTTTTTTTTTTGTTAGTCGAAGGCCTGAACTCTGGGCCTGGGCGCTGTCCCTCAGTTCTTCAGCTCAAGGCTAGCCCTCTACCAGTTGAGCAACAGTGACACTTCCGGCTTTTTCTGCTTATGTGGTGCTGAGGAATTGAACGCAGGGCCTCATGCATGCAAGGCAAGCACTCTACCCCTGAGCCACCTTCCCAGCCCTGATTTTGTATTTCTATAGGAGGAATACACATTACTTAGGTAAGGGTACACTGTGTGGTCTTTGAAAGCAACGAATGCTTACAGAGCACACTTGCTTTTCCGTAGTTGGGGAGCTATGACAGGGTCATGGCACATGTACTCTCAGGAGAGCCCCAATCCACAGGGAGTGAGACGATCTTACTGGGGAGTGAGGGAGGGCATATGATTATTGGCCATTAAACCCGGATGCCAGGGAATAGCTGAGACCAAGGGCCTTCAAGGGAGGGATGGGGACAGACGTAAGCAGTATGGGGCTGAGAGGCTTGCTTCCTACTCAAGCTCTGGAGAGACTTGTCCATGTTGGATGAGGTTAGACACACAGAGATAGAAACCACATGTCATTTGTGACAGTGTTCTGTGACCTCGGCTTAGGATTTATGAAAGAATATTGATAAGACACTGGCTTTTGTTTGTTTGTTTTTTGTCAGTTGTGCCTGAGGTCTGGGCCCACAGCGCCACTTCCAAGACACTGTATTTTGAGAAACCACAAGGTTGGGGGGTTCACAGAGATGATTGATGTCATGAAAAAAGGACTTTCACTATTTACACTGGAAACCAAGAAAAATAAAAACTAGACAGCCTATAAATGGCTGTTTTTCTTCCTTTTGTCTTTCTTTCAATGTAGTACACCATATGGGAGAAAAGGCAACATTAACTGTTAATGGTAGAAGAAGAAATGAGGATATTTCTAGATAGCAATAAATATCAAAAGCTGTAAATTTGCCAAACCAGTGGTTCACTCCTGTAATCCCAGCTACTCAGAAGCTGAGACCTGGAGGATTGTGTTTTGAAGCCAGCCTAAGGATAAAAAAATTCAGCAAGACTAGATCTCCAATTAACCAGCAAAGTGCTGGGCTACAGGTGGGGTTCAAGTAGTAGAGCCCTATCTGTAAGCAGAGAAGCCAAGCATAGAGCTCATGGCCCTGTGTTCTAACCCAGGCAACAAAACTATAAAAATCTGCATATGTTATAATTCAATCATCTCACTGCTTGGAATTTATTATTATTTCTAATATATATTTTTATTGTTATTGTAAAGGTGATGTACAGGGGTTACAGTTATATAACTCAGGTAATAAGTACAATTCTTTTTGAACAGTGTCACTGGTTCCCTTGCTCTCTCCCAGTTTTTCCCTCCTGTCTCTACCCACAAGTTGCATAGTTCATTTCAACATAGTGTCTAGTGAGCACCACTGCTGCATTTGTTCACCCTTTGTCCCGCCCTTTCTGTGCCCCTTTTACCCTCCCCCAAACAGATAAACTTGCAAACAAGACAAAAGATAAAGAAAATAAAAACAGCAACAAAGAAAAAAAAACCTTCTTATTTCCACTTCTTGGAGTTCGTTCGGGTAAATCTTATTTTATATTTAAGGAAGTAAATATGGATATCCCTAAAGCAAATTATACAGAATTCCATGTGACCTTCAAAAAGGTGATGCTTGAGTAAATGTCAGTTTTCCCAGGGTCCTATGCAACCATGACACTAATGACAATTTACACGCTAGATGTTAACAAAAGAAATGTACTGAAATGTTCATGTTAGTGCTTTCATGTAACAGGATTACAATTTTTTTCGCTCTTTACTTTTTCTTTATCTATACTTTTCCCCCTCAGATTTCCAGTCTGAATATGCATGCAAATTCAATGGTACATTTCAAATGTTTACTCAGTACACTTGCTGCAGAGGCCTGGGACACTCTCTCCCCTTTCCGGGAGCCCTCTGTCACTGGTTCATGAGGAAGGTGGGACTCTTTTTACTTTGGGGCTCTCTAACACTGTTTCTACTCCTGTTATAGTCCTTCCTTGCCAGTTTGCATTTCTGCATGCACGTATTCCCCCATTGGTTCTGAAAATAAAACCTTCTGTTCATATAATCCCCAGGGCTGGAGTAGCTACAGATCCTTAATAAACATCTGCTCAAAGAAATGACCTCATTATCAAACCCACAATATCTTCCATGTGGAAGTGACTAGTCCTGACCGAGGCCCAGGATGTGAACTGGATCAGAGTACCTTGAGACCCGCTTCCCATGTGCTTCTTACCTTGACAGAGAGGAATGGCCTCACTCCACAGGTGGTAGCCCTGGGGGTGCCGGGTACAGATGGCCATGCTGTGTCCCACCAAGCGGTATCCTGCGTTACAACCAAAGTGGATGGAGCCACCTGGCTGGGTGCTGGTCTGACCCAGAATGAAGCCATGGAGTGGAGCCCTGGGCAGGCTGCAGTAAGAAGCTGAACAACAAGTACAAGTATGAAGACAGACATCGTACTACCTGCTGGACCCTGTCCTTTTTCCCATGCCCCTATTTCCTTGTCCCTGCCACTGCTGGGTCCTTTGCTAATTATTTAGCAAGGTCTGAGTGGTCCACACTGAAAGACAGTAGGTTAAGTAGAGCCAAAACAACAACAACAACAACAACAACAACACGAATTTGAAAGCAGAGAAAACTGCTCAGTGGTCCTTTTAATGGCTTGAAGACAGGCTAGATTGTGTGGCTCAGTTCAGATGTTCAAACTCCTTCAGCATCAAGGTATCCTTGGAAAGAAACCCAATGGCCAGGGTTCCCCAAAGATGTGACTGCCAAGCTGTACAGTTTCTGAACTTATCACAGATCACTGAAATTGGACCTGTATTACTGTAACTACATTGTAAGTGTTGGGGACAATTTAAAAATAACCATGTTTATAAAGCTTCTAGTATAACCCAGGACATTTAGTGTTCAATAAATAGTTATTTTTCTTTGTGTTGTGTAGGGGATCCTGTGGGAATCCAGGACATCTATTTCTCTACATTTCCCAGGGATTGTTTCTCCTCAGTGGATGGCTTGCATGTATTTCATTCATTTGTTCAATAAATAGATCTCTAGTGTACATTAAGTGCCAGCTGCTGCTCTAAATGCTGGGAAATTAACAAAGACGGAAACAGACAAAAACCATAGCCCAAGAGACCGCATGTCACAAACCCTACCAGAGATGCTCAGAACATTAGTTGGGAAGGATGTCAAATTACCAAGTGCTATCATGTCTTCCAACTAGCATTCTTTTCCTTTGCTCTTTCCTTCCTTCTCCTATCCTCTCCCTCATCCTTTATTTCTTTTTTTTTTTTTTTGGTATCTTTCTTTTTTGTGATACTGGGGACCTAATTCAAGGCCTTTAGCTTACTAGGGAAATACTCTAAAGCTTGAGCCACAGCTTTTTCTTTTATTGTTTTTCAGATAGGGGCTCAGGCCTTTGCCTGGGCTGGCCTTGGATATAAATCTTCCTATCTCTGCCTCCAAAGTAGTTGGGATGACAGTTGTATACTACCATGACTAGTTCCCAAGCAATAGTCTTTTTTGCATGGTACTAGGATATGAACTTAGGACTTCACAGTTAATTGACTTGCTTGTTTGGCTGACATTCTAACATTTAAACTATGTCTCCAGCCTGGCTTTTGCTGAGGCTCTTTTTTGGGGGGGAAAGGGAGGTGGGGATGTAGTGATATGATCTTTGGGATCTCAGATACATCATCTTCTGGATCTCAGTCTCATGAGTAGCTAGGATTACAGGTGTGAACCACCAAAACCAGCTCCAGCTAATCTTGTTAAAAAAGGTGTCCAACACTTGTTTGGAATGCAGGTCAAACACAGTGAGGGAGACTGCCAAGGGAGCACTGGTGCATGGTGGAACTCTACATAGGCACCAGATACTCAGTGCTACTATGAAGCCTACAGGGGCCAGCCAGCAGCTCATTGGGACCCATTGCCTTTCAATGTGGCCATCAGACAGCTTGTCACATTTTTCTCCAACCTGGGCAGTGATCTCCATGATGGAGGTTCAGATAAATTCATTTTTTTTCTACTTCATCACATTCCTAGAGATACTTTTGTGCTCCTTATAGATTGTTGCCTGGGTTGGCTGTCTCAAAGGCTTGGCCTTTGATCTAACTTGGCCTATAAAATACAGATTGCCACGGAAAAGACTGAAATCCAGTCATTTATAGAAAGCTGGGTAGAAACAGAAGACTTATATTAAGAGCAATCAGCCAAGCACAAAAAGGCAAATGCCACAGGTTCTCACTCTTATGTGCAAGCTGACAAAAGTGATTTTATAGCGTAGAGCATACAGTCAGGGTTCCCAAAGCTTGAGGAGAGAGTGAAAGTGGGGAAGGTATAAAAAGAGGTCAGATATACGGTACAAAAATACAGTTAGGCAGGAGGATAAAGTTCTGGAGTTCTACAGCACAAGAAAATGACTGTAGCTAACTGGAAATTTATCTACTATTTGAAAAACACTTGATGTTGATTATTCTCAATCCAGAGAAATGAAAGATGTTTGAGGTGATATACTAATTTCCTTGATTATATCATTACGCATTGTATATATGCACAAAATATATCACATGGTACCCCACAAATATATGCATCTATTATATGTCAAATGAATAGCAACAACAACAAACCAGAAAAGATCGGGCTTGCAGAGAATCAGAGATGTCTCTGGTTTGAAAACACAGCCCAACCTTCACTACCTCTTTAACACTGGCCAATAAGAGATTTGTTCTCTTCCTTCTTTTCTTCACTGGCTTTGGTTCTCCAGTTAAGAAATTTACATTAACGTTTTCTAAATTTCTAAGGAGACAGGATTCCCTAAGGCATTATTAGATCATAAACTTATCTTGGAGACACAGGCTGGCAGGGGGAGGAGAGGGAAGAATGTGAGAAAAGGAGTAGAATGAGGGAGGGAGGAAAACGTCAAAGACCACTCAGACAGTCACAGGGATACAGATTTAGAGGAAAGAAGCCCCCAACCCCCACACAAAAGCATACTACCTTGATGAAGAGACAGATCATGGCTTATGTGGGATAATATCTTAGGAGTTTAGGGGCCAAGGCCTTTCTCATGAATCCTCATGACTTACTCACCTGAATACCGAATCTTAAAGCCCTTCCGATTGTAGGCATGGTCAGATGACCAGCGCAGGTACACAGAGTTGCCGGTGCTGGTGACAATCAGGGGAGCTGAATAATTCCCACTGAGGGCTTTCAGTAGAGGACTTTGTCCTGAGGGACCTGAGTGAGAAGGACACAGAGGTATAAGCCATCCTGACTCTACAGAGAACCACAGATGTAGACATGAGATTCAGCTGGCTGGGTGACACTTGGCATTTCCACATTGCAGAAGGGCTCTCTCCTCTTGAGCCCCATCTAGAGCTCTGCTCCAGAAAAGTCCCTGCCCACCTACAGAAATTGGCAGGCAAGATGACATCTAGTTGCTGTTTTGGGACTTGGCTAGGGTCAAGCAGCTGGTTGCTGGAGAGCTGGTTTCCAAAAAGGGGAAACTCTTCCACTTGGCTACCCTACTTCTTGTGTACACGCTAAAAACAGCTTGATGTCCTCCATATGTACAAAAATATCCACTGAAGGAATAGATAACAGTAAAGCCACAAAAGAGTCAGGTTTCATAAACATAAATAGCCGAGTGCTCCATATCCCTTCCCCAAGGCCCGTTGAGAAAGGCTTTTCTCTGCCTTTTTCCCCAAGATAAATGACTGGGATTGCAGCCTGAGGGGTTTGGTTCAAGGTTCAGGTGGCATAAAACTGGAATATCCACAACCCAGGATTTCTGTACCTAGAGGAAGTTCTAACATGTTGTTGAGAAGCTTGGGAGATTGATGAGCTACGTTTAGTAAAGTGGGACCACCAGAAATGCTGTGGCGAACCATGACACACAGGGTAGAGAGGCTCAGGAAGGGGCATGCTGATGCTCCCACAGGTCTGTCTTGACAGCAGCAACCCTGCAGGCTGACTGTAATCCTCAGTGGTCCCGAGGTCCTCACTTAATAAAGCCAGCTGTGAAGAGCATTTTGGTGACCAGTGAGTACCGGTGATGCTGCCCTTTGTGGGCTGAAATGGATGAAGAAGATACTATCATGGAATTGGGCTCCCTAGTGGAGCTGGCAGGATTCTAGAATCTTCTAGCTAGGAAGGCCTGGCCTGAAGTATCTAGAGAAATAGCTTGTAGGACATGGGATTTTTTTTCCAATCCTGGGCGCTGTCTTTTGGTCAAAGCTAGCACTCTACCACTTGAGCCACAGCTCTACTTCCAGCTGTTTTGGCAATTTATCAGAGGTAAGAGTCTCATGGACTTTCTTACCCACGCTGGCTTTAAACCATGATCCTCTGATCTCAGCCTCCTGAGTAGTTAGGATTACAGGCGTGAGCCACTAGCACCCAGCTGGATATGAGATTCCAAAGGGCTAACTAGATGGAAGGGAGTCCAAAAAGGTATGAGTAAAACAGACCATGGGATGGTTAATCAGATGAGGAAGAAAGTCACCCCCAATACAGAGTTACAGTCCCTTCTCTACTTTGTAGGCCAGGCCAGGCTTCCCTCCCCATTCTAGAACACTTTATGCTAAGGGAAAGCCAAAATGGTGCAAAAAAAATTAAGATCAATTGTAGATAGCAGTGACTCATCTACTTCTTCCTCAAAAGACTCACCAATATTTACTGAGATGGCTGAATACCGCTGAAATGAGAATGTGTAAACACATGTGAGATGCTGGATTCAGAGTGTGGATTGGTGCCTGATACCTGGCTGCTCTGAATGGGGAGGGGTTATGAGGAGAGATGTTGGTACAAAACAGAGTCCAGTTCTACTGCCCAGTTCTACTCCACATGTAGGTTAAACCAAGTAGCAACCTAGTAGTGGCATTTTTGCCAGGTATGGTACCTTCATCAGAGCAGATTCCTACTCTCATGGTTTCCTGGGAGGCAACCACGGATCTGATGATGTATTCTTTTCCAAACCCATCAGAAAAGAAGGTCAGAAGCCATTGCAGTCACATGAGGTAGTTGACAGTACCTATTCATTGTTCTGTCCCACAGCTATGTTAATTTTCCTGCTTTTCCTGTCATAGCATACTATGAGGGATGGGGACCATCTGGACATTCTGCAGAATGGAGCATACTGCTTTACTATATTGGAGATACCATATTAATCAGATCTGATGAGCCATTAGGGACAATTAGCATAGAAGTTTCTGCAACGCTCCTATGTTCCAGAGGGGAAGAGAGAAATTCTATGAAGTTTACAGTGAAATTTCTAAGGTGCAGTGGCTTGGGGTGTGCTGAGGCACACCCAAACTAAGGAGCAAATGGACGTATGTTTTGCTTCCTACCACCAAAGAGAAGCAGGGTGCACGGCAAACTCCGTGAGTTCCATTTGGGAACACTGTTCTGATGTGTTCATCAGTGGATGGTCAAGACTGCTTGTGGGCTTTGAGTGAGAATTGGAGTGACAAAGCGTTCTGTGTAGGTCCAGGATGCCAAGCAAGCAGCTTCTCTAGAACCTACTTGACCCCGTGGTCTTGGGTTTAAAATGCTAGAGCAAGGCACTGCATGGAGCCTCTGGCAAGCCCCAAGAGGAAAACTGCAGTGCAGAATCCCTGGGGCCTAGAGCAAGTATGTGCCTTCTGCAGCAGAAGACCACATGGTCTTTGACTCACCATCAAAGATCTCAAACTCATCATACTGCTTCTCACTGAGGAAGTATTCCACCGTCAGGGAGATGTTGTAGTCTGGCTCGACTCTCACCAGCCAAGAGCAGGTCTGGAACTGGGGGTAGCTTCCAGGGTAGCTCTGGCTCAGGATGACGCCAGTGGAGTCTGTCAGAAGCTCATTTGTTGGGCAGTGTACTGGGAGAAAGAAAGAGACACCAGACACATGGAGTGGGGATGGAACCAGAGCCAACACTTTGGCTTCTCCCTGGTGCAGAAGATACTGCTGGAAACCAGGATTTGAGCATATTTATGTAAGACCCCACACCTATCATTCTTCCGCTCCCCAAATATGTTTCTGTGTCAATGTTGCTGTATTGCTGGGACCCTAGACAGACCAGTTGGTGTAAATAACTTCCTTGTTCATATATGGGCACTGCCACCTGGCTTTGAGATAGATGAGGTTGGTACTTAATATAGACAATAGCAAGATCCCCGAAATCCAAAAGAGGTATCTATAAAATAAGCATAAGAAAGCACACATGGGATTTTAGGATAAATACACTTGGATTTACAGCAGGCTCTTCCTCTTCCTGCTTCCCAAGAGGTGGAAGAAAGTGACCTGTCCTTCCATTGATCTGTCTGTCATTCCATGGATTTGTTGGTAACCAAATACTAGATGCTCTAATAGTAATAGTTACAGTAATCACACCCAATGGGAGCAGTTACTATGTGTCACACATCATCCTAAATCACTTCATGTTACCAACCCACTAATCCTTACAATAACCCCAACCCCATGGCACAATTCGGCCATTATGCTCATTTTACTGGGGAGACAACCAGGAACTTCGCTCAGGGTCAGTCACCTAGTGAGTGGAGAAGATTGGCTTTGGTTTCAGCTGGGACAGCCAGGTAAAAGTGATTTCACCTTCTGCCTGGGTTGCACCCAGTACCCTGAATGCTCACTTTCACCCCTGCAGGAGAAGGGTGGTGTGTGAGCCACCCTCCCCTGACATCCTGGAACTTCCGCTTCCCTATGCACAGCAACATGCAATTCAGGGAACAGCCAGGTAAGGAAAAAAGACAGGAACAAATGTGGCCACTGTAGCCACTCCTCAGTCCTAGAGCTCGGAGAAGGGTTCTCATTCATCCATATTCCTTTGCCCATTCATCAGATAGACTTCTCTTTGGGGCAGGGACTGAGGTAAGAGAAAGATACACAGATCCAGGGCTTGGTTTGGGAGGATATCTAGGCCCCAGGAAGACATGGCCCAGTATAATTACCTTCACAAATGGGGGGTGGGCCTTCAAACTGCAGATAGGTTCCAAGTTTGCAGGTCAGGATTTCATTCCCCACTAAGGTAAAGCCAGGTAGGCACCTATAGCGCACGATGTCACCTGTCAAGAGAGATCTACATGGGGATTCTCTGGGGCAGTGAGATGGTGCTACTTAATATTAGTATTTTGAATCAATTTAGCATTTTTTGAACCCACTTCCAGGCAAGACAACCAATGGTAGATCATGTACTGTTCAGTAACAAGCTCAACTCCAGTCAATGGCCCAGGCTGCTGCTCCTTCCTGTAGCTTGGTCTTGTCTGAGACCATAGGTATTTTCATATTCGAAGACATTTTATACTACCTTACATGGATTTATTTCTCAAAAATCACACAGAGGTGAGCTACTTCCCCAGCTCCTCTTCCTAGGGTTAGCTGGAAGGATAACGTCAGTATTTGGGGCTCAGTGTCAACTCCTTGCATGAGCTTTGTCTCTCTGCACAGACAGGAAGTAGGAATGAGCTGTGCTGCCTGGCCCCTCCCACTGGCCCAGCTCTGTTCCGGGGTTTCCTGCTGCTATGGAGATGGTACATACCTATGTTGAATTCTTCATTCTCAGTGACTACTTCAGCATTGGGGAAGATGGTGGGAGGAGGACATTTGGTGAGTGGATAAGCTGAAAAGATGGAAGGACGTAAGTCAGGGCAAAGAGTATCATTCTTGGAGATATACAGTCACTCATCGGATCATTTATTTTTGTTCCTTCACACAGAGGATGTATATTAATGAGTATTTATCTACTCACAGGTCAAAAGCATACAGAGGAGATCTACTTGCCCGGGAGAGTCATAGTTGGAAGCCAGGCTGGGCAGAAAAGTCTATGCGACTCCACCTTCAATTCACCAGCAAAATGCTGGAGTGGAGGCATGGCTCAAGTGGTAGAGCACCAGCCTAGCAAGCAAGCTGAACAAATGCAAGGCTCTGTGTTCAAGCCTTGGTACTTCCACAAACAACAACAACAACAACAACAACAACCCAACTCAGTGTTTTTGAAGATATGTGTAAATACACTGGGATTGAAAACCTCAAGATTTTCTATGAAACCAGTAGGAAGATAATTAAACGCATCCATTGTCTTCCCAGAGATGACTCCTGGTAACTTGTTTACTACAAGCTCTTAAGAGTATGTGTTTTTTTCTTACTAAATTTGCTCCATATATTATATACTTACTGTGGTTCCTCACCATCTCAATACCATAGTAGGAGGCTTTTCCTACATGATAAAATTTCTTCATCATTATGAGATTGAAATGACTTCATGATTTCATACATGCTGGCATTAATTAGTTAGTTTTCCAAAGCTTTGTAATTAAAAACAAAACAAAGCTGTGACCTATGTATCTTTGTACACATGTAATTTTTAATGCTTTTTTTTCTTTTTCCTTCCATTAAAAAAAAAAAAACTTGGAGCAATTAAAGTGAATGACTTTTTTTTTTTTTTTTAAAGTGCATGCATTTCTTTCCCAACATCAACTGAATGTCTTCTAGAATTCCAAATGGGACCTCCCACCCCCTTCCTTAATATCTTAAGTGGGCAAAGATGATGCTGCATTGTATATCAAAAACGAAATTAAAACACAATGAATACCTATCAACATAGCAAGCTATTATGCTGAAAACTGACCACTTAAAACATGAGTTCATGATTTTCCAACAAATGGCTATCATAAGACAGTAGCTTGGTGCATTGCACAATATTGTGCATCCTATATCATATATCAGTGCATTGTGTTCCGTTTTCAAGCTTTAGGATTTCCAAGTGTTTTATGTTGTTAATGTTTTTTCTTTCTTGGGATTGTTTGTAACATATTTATAAGATGATTTCTTTGTTGCTTTGTATGTCCCTCCCCCACATATAACCCCTATTTTCACTGTGTTTGATGTTGGTATAATTTGGGGAGGGGAAGGGAAAAAAACAAATTGTTTAAATAGGGATATTGTTGCAACAATAAGATGTACAAGACGTTAAGTCGAAAAATGAACTTTACAACCTTGGTGGGGGGGGGAGGGGAGAGGGAAGAGATGGGAAGGGATGGAAAGGGGAAACAAAAGGAGGAGGCAACAATGCTTGATAAGAAATGCACTCATTACCTTGCCCATGTAATTGTAACCCCTCTGAATGGTGGAATAGGATCAGAATAGTTCCACTGACATGGACAGCACAGCGTGTCACCTCCTAGAACCAGCAGCATTGGACACATATGCAGCCCTCACCAGGAACGGGAGTTCCTTACCAAATGTTCCAGTGGGACTGATATTTTACCAACTGTGACTGAAATGTAATAGAAGACTTGTCCTGAAAATAGTTTTCTTTTAAGTATTGTATTACGTTCTGAGGATATACCTTGCAAAAAAAAATTTTTTTTATACAGATGCATCGGCTGACAAGTGTCTAATGAGAGAGATGTAAGCTTTGTGAAGTATTAAGACTTAAGAAACCCTCTTGAGGTAGCCAAGTGCATTCCATCTCAATTTAACATAAACCAGGAAGATGGTGTCTGAACTTGAGGCATGCTTCCATTTTTTTTTTGTCCAGGAAAATTTTTGCAAGGGATGCCATCTATAGATGATGGTTCCAACACTGAGTGTCATTATTCTTGCATCCAATTTACTGAATGATTAGCTATTGAGAGCTCACTTCTGGGTCAGTGCTGTGGTTGGGGCTGAAGATGCAAGAATCAACGAAACAATATCATTCTGATATATATCATTAAAACTTCTATAGCATGCTTAAATTTTCTAAAAAGAAAAAAATCAATGAAAAATCTTCCCTTAAGTCTGAGTATTTTGTATTTTATGGTTATTATTTGGATTGGGGTAATTTTTCATTGCATAAGGCAACAAGAAAGGTTCAGAGCCAGCCCAAGTAGACAAACTCATGACTCTCTTATCTCAGACCAACTAGCAAAAAGCTAGAAGGAAAGGTGCGGCTCAAGTGGTAGAATGCCAGCTAAGAGCAAGCAAGAGCAGCAAACGCAAAGCCCCGAGTTCAAACTCTTAGAAAAGTGTAATTGTATAGAATATACTCTTTGTTCTTAGAAGCTTCGATCACAACAGCCAATGAGGGGAGGCAATCCAAGCCCACCAATGGTTGGACAAAAAAACCCCAAAAATGTGGTGGTGTACACACCACTGTTGGATGTTTTCAGCCTTAAAAATGAAGGAAATCCTGAGATGTGTGACAACATGGATGAACCCTGAAGGCATTATGCAATGTGAGATAAGATGCCACAATAGGGCAAACACTGTATAACTCCTCTCCCAGGAGGTTCCTACAACTGTCAGAGTTATCGAGGCAGAAATCAGAAGGGCTGGTGTCAGGGTTTAGGGAAGGAAGAACAGAGCCTTAGTTTTACAAGATGAGAAACAGTCCAAAGGTGATGATTACATGATGATTTGATTGTACAGCATTCCACTGGACTACACAATGGTACACTTACTTCATCACATTAAAATATTACTGCTGGTAACCGGGTACCTATGGGTGGCTCACACCTATAATCCCAGCTACTCAGGTAATGGAGATCTGAGGATCATGGTTCAAATCAAGCCCAGGTAGGAATGGCTGTGAGATTCTTATCTCCAATTAGCCACCAATAAAAAGTTGGAAAGGGAGGTGTGTGGCCAAGTGATAAAGTACTATCTTTGAGTGAAAAAGCTAAAGGACAATGCCTAGACCTTGAGTTCAAGCCCCATACCAGCACAAAGAAAATTATTGCAGGAATTCATGTTTTCCATTGAATGCTTTTTGCTTTGAATTCTCTGAAATCTGAATTTCTCAGATTGTTATTGCTATTGATGTTTGTCGAATTTATCACTGACCACTCATTCATTAATTCATTTTGAGAAAAGGTATCATTATATAGCTTAGGCTAGCCTTGAACTTGTGATCTTACCTCAGCTTTCGAGTACACTATCCTTTTATTTTTAAAAATATGTCATTTTGTTTAGTTAAGGAGCTAGTATAGAAAAAATAGTGTTTTCTTTCTAGATTAGTATACTTGTATTTTTCAAAATTAACTTTCACTTTAAGGCTTTATCTTAGTTTGTGCTATCTGCTTCTTTGTCCCTTAACCAGTTTCCAATGCTTTCTACCTCTCACATTAGGGCTACATTTTACTTGATTCTCTTATTGATTTAGAAGTATAGAGTTCTGTTTATAATCTATTAGGGTATACTTGACACCCTTATTTCTCAGTATCAAAGTCAGCACTTGAATAATAGTTACTGATTCTTTTCTCACAGAAGAGAAAGACAGTCTTCTATTCTTCTTCCATCTACTTGGGTGCTCGTTAGTAAAAAATCATTATTTTTAACACTGTAAGAATTATAGCTATTATGTTATTTGCAACAAAATGGATAGATCTAGAAAATATGAGGGAAGTAAGCTAGGCTTAGAAAAATAAAGGGTATATGTTTTTTCTCATGTGAATCTTAGATGTAAAATACAATTTTCCATGTAAACACACACATGCATACATATACATGACCAAGTCAACTAAAGTACAATATATACAGGAGTGAAACTCCATGGAATAACCCTTTAAAAATTAACAGAAAGTTTAAGGAAATGAATATCAGAAACCTGAAACAAAGTTGAACAGGTCTGGGTGAGGGTGGTAATCGGAAAGGGGTAGATAAATACAGAAAAAATACTCAATGTACATATGTGACGAAGGATGTGAGAAATCTGAGTTTGGGGGTGGGAACAGACAGGATGAGGAGAATGATGGAAGGGGTGGTTGATCAGAAGCACTGGACACATACATGGACATGTTTATTTTTAATCTCTTATATAACCATTTCAAGTTTTAAAAAGATAAAAAACGAAAAAAAATTATGTTTGAATTCTGCCTCAAATTATCATTTTCAATTCGCAGACATAATTTAGTGCTTCACTGATATCACTACTTCCTTTACTTCTATATGTCTCCTCTAGTTGGAGTCTTTGGTTTATCCTTCCTTGGGTAATACGTCCTTGAGTGATGGTTAAGATTGAGCTAGGGTGGCACTGTCTTTAAGCTCCCAAAACTATGCTAAAGACAGCCTTGTCCTGTTCCCCACAAAACCCATTCTTACACCTCTACACAAATTCCTCCTTTATGTTCTGCCATGATATACTATATGATATTTGCTTTGAGAATGGCCTGAATTTGATTCCTTTGCAGGTTCTCAGCTTGGGCTCTCATGGGTTTCAACTACCCTTCCACCTTTATAATTTGCAAATATTGTCAGGCTTTTCCCCCACCAATACTTTTTCATACAATCAAAGAACTGATCCTATGTACAAAGTTGTCTATGTATAAGGTTATCTTTTGTCTTCAAAAAGTGGTATTTCTCTTCCATCCATTTGACTCTTATAAACTGTTCTCTGTGTATGTTGGTTTTTGGTTTACTAGACTGTCTGTCACCATCTTAAATCTCCATCTTCTTCCTCTCCCTTTCCTCCTTCCTCTCCCCTGAGGCTGTTGCTGCTACTGACTGGCTTTTTTAGGACGGCTCTCTATTTCTCTATTTCTCTAAATTGTTTCTCCAGAGTGGGTTCTGCTCTGTGCTGATTTTTGTGCCAACTTAAATTGTGCTAGTACATTTCTTTCCCATCTTATTTCTTATTATCTAGCTCACCTTATAAATAAAAACTAAGGTAGAGAAAAAGTTGGAAACATAATACAAAATGTTTTCCCCCCATAAACTATTTGGAAGTAAGTAATCAACATAAATCTTGTAACCCCGACAAAATATTTTGTGCATGTATTTCCTAAATGAGCATATTCTACTTCCTAGTCACAACCCAGTGCCAAGAAGAGGAAATGAACAGGACCTGCCCTCCAATCCTTGCATCCCATGCACTTCTCTGTTCATATCAATAAAGCCCCCAGCAGCAGAGGCGCCTGCTCAGAAACTTGTGCTTCATGATTCCTTTAGTCTGAGCAGTTCGAAGTCTTTTCTTGACCTTCATGCTTTCCATAACTGCATGCAGTGAATTTATAGTATGCCCTCTTGATTGAGGTTTGTCTGTCTCTTCTTGAGTGGATACAGGTCCTCTGTGGTGGCTAAACTGTCATGAAAAACTTCCTGGGTTTGTTCCTATTGCCATTTCTTGGCTGGAAGTCTGATGCCTGCTGTGACTCTCTGATTAAATGGCATGTTCCAGGGTTCTCCACCCTCAAGTTAGTCTTTTCTCCTGTAACTATTGTAAGGGAGATGGTTTGAGCTGATGTAAGTATTCCATTCTCTAAAACTTCTAAGTGATTCATTTATGTGGAAACACATAGTGTTCCAATTGGAAAGAGCCTGAGTATATTTTTCTTAGAGTTTACTATACATTGCAGAAGTTGTATTTGTCTACTTACTGTCAACACATATATACACTCTCTCTTTCTGTCTCTCTGTCTCTTTCTCTGTCTCTGTCTGTCTGTCTCTCTCTCTTTTGTTGGTCATGGGGCTTGAACTCTGGGCCTGGGCTCTGTCACTCAGCTCTTCAGCTCAAGGCTACAGCTTTACCACTAGAGCCACAGTGCCACTTCTAGTTTTCTGAGTGGTTTATTGGAGTTCAGGGTCTCATGGACTTTCCTGCCCGGGCTGGCTTTGAACTGCAATCCTCAGATCTCAGCCTCCTGAGTAGCTAGGATTACAGGTGTGAGCCAACAGTGCCCAGTAACTGTCACTCTCTTTTGAGGAAGGAAGCTTCATGGGGAGCAGGCGTTTTATAGAACAGGAAGTATAAATATTCAATGAATTAGCATAGGCAGGAAATGCCATTTCATCAATGCACCAGAGTGGTTAAAATTTAAAAACCTGATGAAACCAAGTGTTTGCAAGGATGGAGAGTAACAGGAGCACTTCCTTAGTTGCCAGAAAGAGTGTAAATAGTTATAATCACTTTGAAAGAGAAGTTTTGCAGTTCCTGGTGACCTTAAGTGTGTCAACACTTACAACATTACAATTCCTGGTGAAATTAGACTCTAGAGAAAGTCTTGTATGTGTTCACTATAAAGGAATACACAACAATGTTCATATTGCTTGAAATAAAATAACAAAATGCTCATTAGCAATAGATTAGATAAAGTACTGTATTTTCATCCAATGGAATGTTATATACTGTGGAAAGGGAAATTAAGTACAGACACATGCATCAACTTAAGTTCAAAAGTTACGTTTTCAAGTGAAAAAAAAAAATGATGTCACAGCTGGGTGCTGGTGGCTCACACCTGTAATCCTAGCTACTCAGGAGGCTGAGGTCTGAGAATCACAGTTCGAAACCACTCTGAGCTGAAAAGTCCCTGTGAAATTTTTATCTCCAATTAACCACCAGAAAACCAGAAGTGGAGCTGTGGCTCAAAGTAGTAAAGTGCTAGCTTTGAGCAGAAGAGCTCAGGGATAGCTCCCATGCCCTGAGTTCAAGCCCCACGACTGACAAAAAAAAAAAAAAAAAAAAAATGAAGTCACAGGAGAATATACGGTATGGATGGTAGGTGCTCTGCTTCGCAAAGGCTCATGTGTTGGAAGCTTTGTCACTGGTGTGTGGCGTTGGGAGGCAGTGGGACCTTTAAGAGGCAGGACTTGTTGAAAGGTGATAAAGTCTCCTGGGAATCCTACGATTCCCACAGGACCCTTAGTTCTCTTGAGAATGAGTTATATAAACAAGTCTACCTTCCCCATGCCATTTCCTGCCAAATCCCTCTAGGTGTGGTTGTCATCCACACCCCTACTCTTGCTACTGTGAGGCTCCCACCTGAGGCCAACAGGTGGGACTGCCTGTTAGGGACTTTTAGTCTCCAAACTATGAGCTAAATAAACCTCTTTTCCTTATATATCACCCAGACTTGGGTATTTTGTTATAGTGATGGAAAATATACATATGGAAATTTATTCCATTTGTATGATGGAAATATCAGGACAAATGTAAACAATACATATTTCTGGAGAAATACAATACAGTTATAACGAAAAGGAATGATTTAGAACAAAAAGGAGAAGAATGAAGAATAAACCAGGAGCTTCAAAAATTTGTGTCCTTTACCTTAGGCTCAGCCACGGCATTCATTTTACTATTCTTTCAACTGTACACATGTTGAAAACCTTTGCTATCTTCCACAGCTGGTGAAAGGCTCCCCAAAGCATGGGATGGATCTCTGTCACTTGCTCAGCCTGTCCCCCATGAGCTGAGGGCCTGGACACAGAAGTAGCTCCTCTTTTTCCCTAGGTCCTTGCCTAGTCTTCTCATCCATGAGGCTTTGGATTCTGGTCTGAGCTGGCCTTTTGGGACTTTCTTAGAGTTTAAATTGCTATAACAAATGACCATACATCAGGTAGCTTATACGTAATAGACATTCATTTCTTTCCATTCTGGAGGCTGAGGAGTCCAAGACGGAAGTGCTGGCAGATTTGGTGCCTGGTGAGGGTCTCCTTACTGGTTCATTGTCTTTTCACTGTGCCCTGACACAGTGTAAAGGACAGATGAGCTCTCTCAGGCCACTCCTGTCAGGCCACCCAAGGTGGCTCAGCCTTCATGATCTCACCACCTCTCAAAGGTCCTGCTGCCTCATGCTGTAACTTTCAATATGGAAATATCAGAGGGATGTTCAGAACAGAGCAAGAGCCTTGAGTGTCAACTGAGAGATGGAAGGGCAGAGCTCCATGGAACAAGTGTAGTTTTGGGGAACAGAGAAGTCAGGAACAAGGATGGCTTGGCTATGCTGGGTCTGCTTCACCTGGTGCTGGCAGACAGCTCAGAAACAGGAGCTGCAGAGCTGGTGAAGTACCAAGGTAATGTCACCCTGGGCTGTCAATATCTAATAGCGATAGCAGCGAGAACTAATAGAGCTGCCATTTATTAATACTTTTTATATCTAGCCTAAAGTTAAGGATTTTCATGCATTATTTTATTTACCTCTATGAGGTTAGGAACTGATATTATTCTTACTTAGTGGATAATAAATTTGAGCCCCAGAGGGTAAAAAGGAAGACCTAAGGTCACCCAGCTCATGTGGGATAGAGCTGAGATCAGAACCCATGGCTGTGATTATGAGTGCCACACCCTATTATTCTAGGGGAGAGTCAAGGAGACTTAAAATGAATTCACTTCCAAGCCTGGGGCCAAAGCCTACCCTTCAGAACTGGTGTGGGCACTAAGACTGGCCAGAAGGCAGAGCCTCATCTCCATGGTATACTCACTCTGGGCTGTAACTCCTGGAAAGGTGGTGAGAGACTGACCTGTTCATTCCTCTCTTTCTCAGTTTCTCCATCACTGCCTCACTCAGAGGCTTAGGCTCAGGGACATGTACTCACATGCACTCACACTGCATGCACAGTGACAGCAGAGACCTTGTTGCAGAAATCAAGGACTTGGTGCCGTCTCCTATTATATCTCACACCCAGGCAAGTCCTAGAACCTTCCTCTGCCTCATTTGTAAGAGGATGGTGGTGGTAATCATATCCACTCAGTACCTCACACAAGTCATAAATGCCAACTTTTCACTGAACAGGTAAAAGCATGGAGGAGTCAACTCAGGAGGGGAAGGGGTCACACAAACCTGGTCCAAGGTGCAGGAATTAACTCAGCTTTCCTGATTCCGGTTCAAATATGTGTAGATTAAAAACCTGGACTACATTCCATAGAGTACAAAGCCTGTACACTTTCTATGACTCTTTTCCTGCTATGCACATAAGAACATAACTGATAATTAGTTCATAACTAAGTCTGGACTCTTTGCATTTTCCATTTTTTTTATGCCTGTACTGGGACTTGAACTCAGAGCCTTGCACTCTCACTTGGCTTTTTTTTGCTCACCGCTGGTGCTCTATCACTTGAACCACAGTTCCACTTTCAGCTTTTTGGTGGTTAATTGGAAATAAGAATCTCATAAACTTTCCTACCCTAGCTGGCTTTGAACCTTGATCCTCATATCTCAGCTTCCTGAGTAGCCAGGATTACAACCATCAGCTGCTAGCACCCAGCCTAATTCTAGGTTCTTAGAAGAAACGAGGCTGCCAGTAAGGGGAAAGCTACCAAACTGTTCATGCTTACGCTACTTGAAAGCATTATGCTTCCCTTTATGCACAAAAACACTCTTTGTAAGGTCAGAAGAGGGCTTGGGTCCCTGCAGAGGGACATTGTGTTTTAGAAGTGCTGAGACCAGCCAGGTGCAGGTAAACATACAGGACTTGGCTTGTGAGTTGGTCTGAACGAGTGGACTTTGGAAGAGTTGGGTCTGGTGCCCAGGATCATTCTCTTGTGCCTCGGTGCACTAGTAGTGTGTGTAGGAAGAGAATTCGCACAGATGAAGGGAGCTCAGTGCTGGCAGCTGTCACAGGCTAGCCCATTTACTTCTTATAACTGGGACATTGAGTCTCAAGAGAGGCCATGCAGCTCACTCGAAGTCCTACAGTTAGCAAATGGCAGAGCCAGGAGTCAAACTCAGCCTTGACCTGAGAGTCTGAGGTCTACTCCCACCGGCCTAAGCTTCAGTACTGACCAGAGAAGGCGATGGCAAAGATCCCTCCTGTGGCCGCATCCTGGTGGAACTTGAGCAGGACCTGGTTGGTGGAGCTGTGCACGGTTTTCTTGGCCAGGCTCCGGGTGAAGACGCCAAGCTGTGGAGACGTCTGCTGTGGTCCATCCCTGGGATAGTAAAGAAGGTCCTGGCCTGACACAAATCATCCCAGCTACCTGCTCCCCTAGTGCCCACAGTGGCCTTGAGAGAGACCTGGAGAGTGTGTATGTGCGTGACTCTTCTTGCACAAGCTCTTTCCCCTATGCACTGGTCAACTCCAGACAGAGGTGATGGCATTCATAAAGTTCATTTGCACAAAATCCCCATTCTCCTCCAGTCCCCAGTAGGTTCTGGGAGGTTGCAGGCACTGTGGAGCAGAGCTGCAGGTCCTACTGCAGGTCTTCTCAGTCTGAGGTAGCCCTGGGGCTGGGCTGTGGAGCTCAGATGGACATCTCTTGCTACTACTTGGTCCAGCCCCATTTCCTTGTCTCTTAAGCAAAAAAGGCACACCCATGTTGCTTTTCTGGGGAAAGGATTTTTCTGGGCTCTATCTAGAAACAGATTTATTTATAGATATCTATAGTGTTAGATGTATCTAAAGATCTATTGATAGATTTATATCTATCTGTCTGTCTGTCTGTCTGTCTACCTACCTACCTACCTACCTACCTACCTATCTGTGTTGAATTGTTTCAGTTCAGTAGCCACTAGCCATGTGTGGCTTTTTATATTTTAAGTTCATTGATGTTAAATTTAAAAGTCAGCTCCTTAGTGACTCTAGTCATATCCATGTGATTGGGAGCATGTGTCTGGGCGCTTCTATATTGGATAGCATGGGCATAGAACATTTCCATTAGTGCAGAGGGCTCTTATGGACAGCATTGGCTCAGAAGGATGTAACTCGAAGGACTGCACACAACTCTACCTAAGCCTCTTCCATTAGTCCAGGTAGCTTGGCTATGTCTGTGCAGAATGTTGGTTTGAACTATGGAAATATTAAGGAAAGTCTATGAGGCCCATCTATTCCCATTCACACACTTGTTAGTAATTTCATTGGATGTTACTATGGCACCTGGTCCTACCAGACAGTGATGAAGTCTCCAGAGGGCTCTGTCTGTAGCAGGCTGAGGTTGAGGTGGACCCCATGACCAATGGGCACAGTGATCAGCCAGACACAGTCTTGGGAGCTGGAGTATGGACTGGGGTATCCCGGGGAGTACACGGTGCCATTCGGAGAGCTGATGTTCCCACCGCAGGGGACTGTGAAGGAGAGAATACTAATATATAAGTGCTGGAGACCCCACCTACCTGAGAACTCAGATGACTTCCTAACAGAACCCCAGCTCCAGCGTAAGTCCTCCTGAGAGGAGGCTAGGTAGGATGGGGACAGGAGTTGGGATTGAGGGGCTGTTCCACCAGCCTCACACACCACACTCGACCTGACTCTGTGCCATCACTGTAGGCACCTCTGAAGGCACCTCACCCCAGCCTCCCCTTTCCCTTCGGAAGGACACAGAGGAGCTATTCCCTCTCCTCGCCTAGGAATGGGAGGAGTGGGCGTTAGGTTGGAGCTGCAGTATTTTTGCTTGGAAAAGCTCAGACATTACTATCTCCCTTTTCCCTTTTCTCTTTTGGTGAGGATTTCTGCAATGAGGCTAAGATTGGGTTAAAATCACAGCTAAAGCACTTATTGACCTGATGAATTTAAACAAGTAGTTGAGACTCTCTTAGTCAATGCTTCTTCGATTGTGAAATAGGATTAAAAGTACTCCCTCATGGGACTGTGGTGGCAATTAGTGAAATGACATGTGTCAAATGTTCTGCCTGAGGCTGGGAAATTATCTCAGTGGTGGAATGCTTGCCTAATATGCATGAGGCCCTGAGTTTTATCTGTAGGACTGCCATCAATCAAACAGTCGATCAGTCAATCAATCAATGATCGTTGCTAGTTGTCTTCCTGATCTCCCAAAGCACAGGGTCCTCATGAATGTAGATGTGTCCTCTCAGAGGCCATCTTTCCACATATGGTGACTATCTACTGGGTGCCAAAAGAGGCCTGGGAAATAAGATCCCCACGTTCGGCTCCCTGGACACAGCCAAGAACACCTACAGCACAGGATGGCACCTGTCACTGTCAGGGAATGTCACAGGGACATTTGAAGGAGTCATTTAACTGGACTCATGATGGCTGAAAGGGATTCCAGCTGGAATTCACACTAGATGGGAGAAACCGAAGTGACCTCTCTTCTCTAAGCAGAACCAGGTTGAAGTGAAGATGATGGAGCGGCTCTGCATTCTCTCTCCGCAGGTGCGCATATTGGTTCCATATGCGTAAGCCTAAGTAGTCAAGGTGGGACAGAGGAATGTCATATGAGGAAGGAACAGAGGGTGCTAAGAACCAGAGGCAAGAAAAATATGGCATATGGGAAAATGGAGCATGGCCTCTGAATGGAGATAAGCAGGCACCAGGCTGTGCTATATAAGAGTCTGGGAATTTGCCCCAGAGGAGAAGGGGATGCCTTGCTGGCTTCTAAGTCAGGGAGTGTCAGGAGATGCTGTCCATCTGGAAGGCTCCCTGCCTCTCTGGTGGGCACAGAGGATGGAAAAGCTGTGTGTGACTTAACTTGGTGAAGAATGAAGTCAGACCACATCTAAGCAGTGGGTTGGGTTAAGGTAGAGGCTGAGGACAGAAAAAGGTAGAGGCATATAATATATGATATGACTTCCTACTGTGCATGTGTATCACATATACACACTATAATTAGGACACAGAGAGCCAGCCTCAGTGAATCTGGGAGATCAGGGAAAGGAAGGGTTCCCAGGCTGAGGGCTGAGTGCCCAGGCACCTAAGTCACTAAGTTCAACTTTCAATCTTTTGGGATTTAAGTGCTCTGAAATAAGTGAAGATATTAATAAACTGGATATATAGGTGTCTTCAGAAAGTAGCTGTGCTGTGCAGATAAAGATGGGGTGTGGGAGTGGATGAGAGAAAGAAGACAGGCAAGAATAAAGGGGCAAAGAAGAGAGGACAATAAAAGCTGGTCTGCGTGGCTGGAAGAGCAAGCACATACAGTGCCAAAGACACTAAGGGAAGAAGCTTTCCCAAGAGGGAGAGGAACCTCTGGCTCAGACAGCAGACAGAAAGAACTCTTTTCTCTTTCCACACACCATAAAAAGATAAACAATGAATCAGAAGGGAATCAAGGCCACAAGGTCCACAGTGAAGGTTGTCCGATAGCATGTGGTTAGAGAACAATGGCAGGATGATTGACTATGCTCAGGATAGCTCTGGAAATCTGAATAGCTAATTGGGGATTGATACTTTTAGAAATAATGATCTTATAACTCCAGGACAGCTCAGTGCTGGGAACAAGGCCTCTTTCTCTATGAAGAGAAAACACTGAGCATTCAGTTGGTGTAATCTTCTCATGAAATGTCTCATTTTACTAAGGGAGAAACCAAAGCTCAGAAAGACAAGTGGTGCAGGGATGGAAAGCTCAGCTAATCTCAGATCCAGGGAGCTTTCTCCTGGGTGGTGATGGCTCCCAGGCCGTTCTTGTTTCAAATTCCAGCATCTCCTCCAGCAAAATGCTGGGCTGGTTGAGTGAAAAATGAAAGAACGCAGAACCAAGATGTGTATCTGGTGATAGAGGAAGCACAGATGCTGGGTCATCTTCTACCTGCTTCTCGCAAAGGAAGAAAAAGTCCCATCAAAGTTTCACCTCCAGCTCTCTGTGATAGCTACTTAGCTCTCTTCAGACACCTGTAGGAGGGAGAGTATAACAAGGGTAGAAGAAGGGAGCCAGAGACGTCTTAGGAAGAGGTGACATTCTCTTCTCCCTTTGGAAAGGTGCTGTTATTGATCCTCCCAGCATACACTGGGGGCATCTAGTCCGTCAGCCTGGATTTTTCTAAGGGCTGGTTATGTCATTCCCTTGGCAACAGCCTACATCTCATCCAGGGCCTTCCTAGGGCTTGCTCAGTGCTCTGTTGTCTGGATTTTCTTCCTGACTAGGCTGGGTCACACTCCGGTGAAAAGAGGATAGATGAAGTTTGCCTAGATCTCCAGCAGTAGTGATTTCATGGAGCAGACAGGTAGAACATGGGGCTGCTCAGAATCTGCCTCTATTACAAACCACCCTAGGAAGGCCCACCAGGGACAAGGGAGGGACATACCTTCACACCTGGGCAGCGGATGGTCCCAGTTCCGATTGGTGCCATGTTGACACGTGAGGACAGGGTGGCCTATTAGTTGATATCCTGACAGGCACTCGAAGGTCACTGATTGTCCAACATTATAGCCAGCCCCTCTCACTATGCCATTAGCAAAGGGCTCTGGATCTGGGCACTCTTGAAGTTCATAGGCTAGAAAAGATCAAGAGAATAAGGTCACATTATTCCTATCAGGTATTTTTTCCCCCCCAGACAGATTAGGAAAGGATCACCACAGTTGGTGATACTCTAGATTTTAGACACAGACAGAACTTGATCATTTACTTGTTGTTGGCTTTGGGTAAGTTCCTCCCTATGCCCCTGTTTTGTTTTATAAAGTGGCTATAGTAAGGAGGAGGTAGAGGAGGTATAGGAGTGTCATCATGGCGCTCTATACAGTACTGGCTCACAGGAAGAACACTAACCATTATCCTTTATTAGCATTGCCACAGGAAAAGGACGCTCAAGGAATGATTTGTTAGGAGGAACTGTTATTCACTGAGCACCTATTTGGGGCCAGGTGTTGGTGTGTGTGTTTTCCTGGTCTCTGCTGCTTGTGTCATTGAGCAATGACAAGATCACAAACTCAGACAGAGTGAGTGGAGTCTTTCCAATTTTGCAAAATTAGAACCTCTAAAGAAGAATTTGGTGGGAACAAGCCAAGCCTGCAGCAAAGACAGACATTTTCCAGAGGGACTGGTATGGCTAGAAAGAATGTGTGACTGTCACACAAACCAGTCTGTCCAAAGAGCGCAAAAGCCCCTCCCATGGTGATATGTGAGCTGACTCAAGGTGTTTTCCTGGGATTGGCTGAGGTCACTGAGGGACTGACTGAGCATGTGCCACAGAGCAAAGCCTTCTACTAATTGGGTCCATGGGACCAAGAATATTCTTCACGGTAGTAATTGGACCTACTTTACACGGAGAATCAGCAGTGGGAGGAGGTGAACCATTTCCACAGTGGAAAATCTCTATGGGAGCAGCTGAGACTGCATGAATATTCCACAGAAGTGGATGCATTTATCACACATAATAACAGGATAAGCAGCAATGGCTGCCAAGCTAATATTTCCTAGGTGCCTATTTGGTGATGGTGGCTGTGTTTCCACTTGATACTATAGAGGTCTGGCAGGTTTCTCTAGAAATCACTGAGGTAATTAGGGGTGCTAAGAACTGAGCAGTCATGGAGGGGAGGAGCGTGTGGAGAGATGTGGTTCTGTCCCTGGAGAGGGTTTTGGCTATGAAGTCTTGGTGGAGGAGCTTAATGCCCAAGGGGGGCTCTGATGTTAGGCTAAGGAAAGCCTTTATGGAAATTATGTACACTCCAAGAAGGTGACGAGACTGAAGAGGGTGTGTGTGGAAAAACTGGAGTAGCTGGGAGTTGGTGGCTCACACCAGTCATCCTAGCTATTCAGGAGGCTGAGGTCCAAAGATCACAGTTTGGAGCCAGATAAGGCAGATCAATCTGTTAGACTCTTATCTCCAAAAACACCCAAAAAGCTGGAAGCGTAGTCATGGCTCAAGTGGTTAAAGTGCCAGCCTTGAGTGAAAAAGCCTCACTACTAGCATCCCATAATCCACCAAAAAAAAGAGCTAGAGCAGCTTTGATGAGAGTAGTGGATGTTGCTTATGTGGATTGTCTAGTGGAAAGAAGGTTTTCACAAAGAGAAACCATTCTATGAGGAGGTCTGGATCTCTCTTGTTGCTGAGACAAATTTCAGAGCTCTGGAAGAAGTTGCAGGGGAGAGGCTAGACAGAAACCCTGAGAGATGGGCATTACCTCTTGCCAAAGTAGGATATCTATGGGAGACAATGAACTATACTAGGGAAGCAGACAAAGGGGAAGCTAGGCCGACTCAGGGCTGCCATGTACAACTGCACAGGTTGGACACTATCCCCATGGTCACAGGATGGATGGCCCCACACAAAGGGAAGCCCAAGTCAGAGCAATGGAGCCTTTCAGGGAAAGCATGCATGCCAGAAGTGAAATGTGGGGGAGAGGCTGCTATCTCAGGGTGACCTTCTGGAAGTAGAGCCTCTGTGAGCAGGCTGGGCCTTATACTAGAAAACTCATCTCATTCTGCAAGACTTGGGGCACTCTTAGGTCTGTTACCTGAATCTGAATCATCTATCCTGCCCAAGGAGGAGCTTTGCTCAGTCACTGGTCCTGATGGATGGTAGTAGTTCAGCTTTTCTTTTTTTGGTGTGTGTATGTGCCAGTACTGGGGCTTGAACTCAGGGCCCAGGCACTCTCCTTTAGTGTTTTCACTTGAGGCTAGCACTCTGCCACTTAAGCCATAGCTCCACTTCCAGTATTTTTTGCTAGCTAATTGGAAATAAGAGTTTCACAGACTTTCCTACCTGGCCTGGTTTTGAGCCATGATCCTCAGATCTCGGCCTCCTGAATAGCTAGGACTACAGGTGTGAGCCACTGGCGTCTGCCTCAGAAATTTCGGCTTCTTCAGCCCATTGGGAAGTGGAGGGTTGGATAGTCAGAGATGCCCAAGAAGATACAGATGGGCAACTTGGCCAGGGAAAGCTGTTGGCTATTTACTGGGTCTTGATCCTTGGAACCTCACTGGGTGCTTTGGAGTCCACAAATGGGGGAAGGGAGATCTAGGACCAAAAGTATGTCTATAGACATGCCTGCCACCTGCTGCTCAGCCCTTTGAAGATAGAATGCTGGGGAGACGGATGGTGGTGGGTAAGGCATGGGGAGCCAATGGGACACTCCTGACCTTACCCTGGTACTCCAGCTTAAATCCTGGCCGGTTCTGGGAGTGGTCGCTGTGGAAATACACAGTGGTCTCGTGGGATGTGGAGAGAAGGGAACCTGGCAGCTCACTTCCGCTGAATCTGCCCATCATGCGGCTGGTCTCGTAGGGGCCATTCCGAATTTCTATGAAGTCATGGTTGGGCTCCGTGGAGAAGTTCAGGAACTGGATGTGAGCTCCTGGGAGCAGGACAGAGGCAGACAGTTCCCAAAGCTGCACAAGTCTGTTACAGGTGAAGTCAGCTGCCCCACAAAAGCATGTCCTACCAGAGCTCAGAGTCTCCCCCCTGCTCCCGACTTCCCACACACTCAGGGGTTCCAGGATAAACTGTGGGAGCTGGGTCTAGTCCTTTCTTTGGTCTTCAAGCAGAAGCAGAGTCTGTTATTCATTCAAAAGCACAGGCACCAATCGTTTCCAAGCTCTATCCTGAGTCTATTTTATTTGATTGAAAGTGAAGTTCAGGGTCAATGTGTGACTTAATTTTTGAGTCATATGTCTAGTCTAATAGCAACATAAAGATAGTTTCACTGAAGTTAAACTTTTTACTGAAAAATAGCAACCCTGACTCTTAATGAAAAGACATGACTGTTAATACTGCAATTTTCTAGACCACTTAAGGGGATTTTGAAACATAAGGCTGAGAATTACACATTATCTCACTTGTCCCATTGGGAAACCAACTGAAATTTACATTTTGATGTCTTCGGTGGTGAATCAAGATCTAACAACCCTTTTTGGTGGTATAGGGAATTGAACCCAAGGCCTTACACACGCTAAGCAAGTACTCTACAACTTCAGTTATGCTCTGGGACCTTTTGTGTTAATTTTATTTTTGAGATAGGGTTTTGTTAACTATCCCCAGTCTGGTCTTGAGCTAGAGATCCTCCTGTCTCCCTCTTCCCTTTTTGCTGGGGTTATATAATCGTGTGCCTCATTGCCTAGCTTACATAAGCCCTTAAAGATGTACACATTTACATAAGCTTTTTAGAAAGGAGATGGAAACATTAATAACTGTTTACTGATTCAATTTTTAAAAATCGGATGACAATGGAAAATGTTACTGAAGAAATCTATTTACCAAGCACAAAGAAGTGCTCATAACATAGTGTTAACTGTGAAAGAGCAGACTGTAAACTAGCATATAGGATCCAATTTTAGCATTTGTGTGTGTGTGTGTCTATTGAGCATGTGCCCTGCATGAGGGCCCTGAGAGGTGTGGTCTAGGAAAAACAGGATCAGTAGGTCAGTGTCCTCAAGAGCACCGCAGCTTAATGGTGGAGGACTGAGATATTTCTGATTATTTCTGCATGATGAGATTACAGATGGATTTTGACTTTTAAAATCTGTGCACCTGTACTTCCTAATTTGCTAGAATGAGCACATACATGCAAATGTTTTTATATCTAATTATGTAAAGAATAAAGAGTTGGCATATAATGCTCAGGATCCTCCATCTCCTGCCCTGTTCCATTCATTTTAACGACAGATTAAGTAATCACATCATAAGAATTACCCAACCACACAAACCACCCTCCTTCTAATAAAGAGGCAGACTATTTCTGCAGACTATTTTGCTTGGCATAGATAGGCGGTCTATTGCTTGAGCTACACCTCCTGCACAGATACTTTTGTACCCAGCACCTGTGGAGCTGAACATTGTGTTCCCAGAGCAAGCACCCTCCCAATCCTGGTGAAATGATGACTGCCACCTAGTGGCAGAGGTATGTACATGCAGAGGCAGGTTAGAAGCAGTATTAGCAGTAGGACAATGTATGTGGCTGAACCTGATGAGTCTAAATAAACACCCGGGACTTAAGAGAGTTCTGGTGGCTTAGACATACGGACTCACAGGGAACAGCCTTCCCATTTAAACTTTGGTCCTCTGTTATATGAGGTTTGTCCACCCCCAACTGTGAATTATAAAAGCAAAACGGGCTCCTTCCTCAACTTCTCAAAATCTGGAGTCTCCCACGGCTACTGGTCATTTTGTGACCCTTTTCCTCCAGAAGGAGGTAGTATGGGTTGAAGACTCCAGTTTTTGGAGGGCGACTGACCCATTCCCTCCTCCAGTCCAGTTAGAAGGCTTTTTCTAATCTGGAGGCACACTCTGTGCTGAAGAATAACCAAAAAGATGGGGGAAAAATCCCATTTCTGAGGCTCCCATACCGGGAGGACCCAGATATATGCAAGAACAACCTCTCTTGGGAGGAGGGAGGGGACTTAGAAATGATCATGGGGGAGATTATGATCAAAGTACAATATACACACATGCATGAAATATCACAAGGATATCCATCATTGTGTACAATTAATATACACTTTATAACATGTTTTAAAGGAGTAAGCACTACGGGACATTTGTGTCCCAAGGGCGGAGCAATGATGAATAAAACGACTCCTGCATAAAGCCCATTGGTTCCCTATCAAACCCTTTACCCTTCAACACCAGTTATCTGGAGATAAATTACATTCCCAGAGCACCATACAGGAATCACCAGCAATTATATTTTGTACCTAAATTAATGTCTTCCATATCCAACCCACCCACATGGAGTATACTTCATTTCAACCTCCTTCATCTCCAAAACCTTTCCAAATCTCTAGACCAGTAGAATGTGCCTTTGAAGAATGCAAACTCAATTTCATATTGACCTTGGCTCAATTTAATTAGGATGATAAATCGGATGGGGAGTCCAGTCTCGGTAAAATAGATTTATTTTTCCTTTTTTAAAACATCCCTGGGTAATTTCCTATTCCACATTTCTGGATTTTGGTTCACTACTCAAATGATAATAATGGCAACACTTAAGAGTTTTTCTTTCCCCTTATACTTTCATCTCTGCCATTCTCAATTGATCTCAGGACTGCGCAGATGTCACCAAATGAGGAATGGAGAAGCAGAGGGCTAAATGGATTTGACTGAGGTGATACTGAGGTTAGGAAGATGGCTATTGCTTGTCTCCTGAGGAGGCTGGAGGCCTTACCAAAGCCCACTGGCAGTGCGATCTTCCATGAGCAGTCCATATTACTGGGGTAGTTGCCTGGAAAGCCGGGACTCAGGATCACCCCCTCCATCTCTTCCACAGCTCCCCCACACTGTGCTATGACAATGAGACGTGATGAGATTAGAAGAATATTAAGGAGAATGTGGGGCCAGGATAATGATTAGACACCGCCCCTCTTCCCCCCAGGGCATTAGCATTAAACTTTTCCTGAGTCATAAACACCTCTGCGAAATTTAAGAATCTCTCTAAAAACTGTCACACAATGGCCAAATTAGGAATATGAATCGAGGAGGGAAGCATACCCTAAGGTGCCTAGGAATCCACAAGTTATGAACTTTCCACCTTGAGTAGACCCTTCCCAGGTCAAGGCCCTTAGCATGGACAGCTCTGTTCCAAGAGCAGTCTGATCACTACTGGTCAATACTATCTTCCCTGCCCAGTCAATGCTTCCAGGACTGCAGCAAAGGGCAAAGGAAGGAGAGGACTGGCACTCTTGGTGTCTGCAGCAGGCACCATGCTCTTTCCAAAAATATCTCTTTAATTTGGTATCAGAAATAAGATCCAGATGTCTGTTCCATAGGGCAGAGTGGTGGGCAGTTTGGGCTCACCAGGAAGCCTCCTTCAGAAATGAGATCATCCAATGGGAGCCAACCAGGAGACTGTATGAGTGTTAGCCAACAACGTTGGGAGGATCTGGGGGCCCTCTGTCTGAGAACACAGGGCTAGGCTCCATGGCAGCTAGTCAGCTGATGACATCAAGTCTCATTTTATCAGTAAAGACCCTGTGAGCAGAAAACGGGCCCAGGGAATGGCAGGAGGGCAAACACGTTCTGGAGGGATGGTGACTTGTAAGTACATCAGACTAGAACATTGTGACCATCTGGGTTACTTCCTGTGGGGCTATCGGCATATTCTAGACTCCTTAGCTTAATTTCTCCCAGCTGCAAGGTACAGCCAACCACAGTGCTGATCCCAGGGTTCTGTGCTGCAGGAACAGGGAAAGCCCTGGGCTTTACCTGGAACAGGGCAGGTGTATGCAGTAAATGCTCAACCAATGACAGCAGCTGTTAACATGGTTTCCTTGGCCAGGTCTTTGTAACATGTATTAGGGACGAGAACCTTGCCCTGAGCTGTCTAGAACATTTCTGACCTGCTTTTGCACCCTTATGCTCAAGTGACACATGTATGTATGTATGTATACATGTATTTATTTATTTATGTGATACTTTCTTGAGTCTCTTCATCTCTTACCCTAATGTCAGCCTCGAGGGGTGGTACCTTATAGTCAACTGGGCATCTTAGCTATCTATTTCTGACTCTTTCCAGTAGAATAATCAATCCATCAAGAGGGGAAACGCCAGGCCTGGCACAGATAGATAATACATATTTGTTTTCTCCTTGTTTGACCTGACCAAAAGTCTCCAATTAGGGTAAGCAATGAAATCAAACCAAACTTTTGTCTCTCACATAAAGTCCTTGGCATTCTTGGTGGATCTGTCTGTCCCACAAGTAGGCTGTGTCCCACGTGTTTAGAAATACCATGTGAGGCCTGGTTGGTTATCCTAAAGTTTTCAAGTGGGCAAAGCTCCTATAATTTTTCCATTTGTTGGGTAGAGCTTTCCAAATCATGATGGTTTTGAATATGAGAGACAAATGATCTGTCTAAAACTACTGACTTGGAACAATTAAACATCAAACTTTCTTCTGACTTGAACTTGAACTCTACAACATGCCTCTGAACTCATGCATTTGCATGGGCTGAGAAGTTTAGGCTCTCTTACCAATACAGAGTGGAGGAGGGTAGTTCCATCGCCGTACTGTTCCAGGCATGCAGGAGATGTGGGCGTGGCCCTGTAGGTATCAGAAACAAGGATGAGCTAGGGGCTCTCATGTACATTAAGTGTAACTCAGAATGAGGGCTTGTTCTGGGGGCTTGTGTTAAGGAACAAGACCTATAAAGAGATACAGATCCACTGTAGAATTTGAGGTAATGCAGAGGGAAAGAGATTTTGAGGAAGGACAATTATTAACAACCATTCCTCTAAAGAATTCTCATTACTAAAGGTTTGCTGGTGAGATTCCTTTAATTACTAAATTCCCTTGTGGGCTTCAAAGGAAAATTAAAATTTCCTAAAGTCCAATCCAACTCAACTTTGCAGGAACATATGTGGAGCTGGCTCATGCCAGATTGTTAAACCTAGCTTAGTTTGTCTTCTGCATGAACAGCTCCACGAGGGACTAATGGTCCCCAGGGGAACTGAGGGCTACTCCCTGTTCCTTGGTGACTGCGGCTCTGCTGGTCATGCAAGGCTGGACAATCATCTCTCAGGGGAGGGGGACAGGCACCTGATTCCCATCCTGGGGTTTTGGCAGAGGGGCGGTGGTACCTGGAGAGCATATCCTGGCTCACACTGGAAAGAGACCACATCATTCACCAAGTAGCGTTCACCAGTCTTCACCCCATTACTGGGCACAGCTGGTTCAGGACAACTGCTCAGACCCACCGCTGGACAAGACAAAGAAAGAACATGAAGAGAATAGACAAGCCTGGAAGGTTAAGGTGGCTGGAAGCCTGAGGCTACTCCTCATTGAGGGGAGCGCAGGAGAACAGTCAGGCCAGCACTTCCCAACCTCTTTACCTCACAGGCCACACAAGAAATGTGTGTGCATGACCAAGGTTATCAGACCCAAACTTCCTGATGTAGTGGTACATCACCATGGAGACAGAGTGCCCTGTCCATCTATTGGGCTCAGACAGAGTTCTTTACATGTCACTCTGCCACTGGCTCCCAACTTCCTTTCCTCTTCCTTGCTCTAAGGAGACAGCTCCTGCTGGCTTAGATCCTGGAAGGGGTGGTGGGGGGGGGCACTATAGGAAGGCTAAGGGTAAATGAATAGATACAGGTTGGACACCTCCATGATGCCCAGGTCTCATTTCAAGTCTCCCTCTCTGGGACAGAACATTCTGAGATGAGTTTGCCAATGGATAAGACTCCTTGCTGTCTTTCTTCCTGCTGTTCTCAAGTACGGGCCAGCTCCATCCCAGGAGGGGTATGGTTGGATCTTCACTGATACTTCACTTCCCATGTTCAGTGCTGGTCCTTACTGTCAAACCTAGGCCAGATTCCTGTTGTCCTCTGCCCTAAGTCACTGCTATTCTTGTCCATCTACCCTCATAGACAACAGACATCTCTTAAAATCTCTTTCAATTGTGGCCTTCCTTGCTCAGTAGTGTGATGTGGGCTCCTGTTGTCTGCCACTCAGAATCCAAGGACCTTTACTAGCTTGTTCATATCTCTTTTCAAAATCACCTCCATGAGTTCTCAAGTTCTCCTGTACTCTTACTTCTTGACTTTTCAAATTCATCCAGTCCTTGTTATATCCTTGGCATTGTGCACACTGCCTTGCTACTGCATCTACCCTAATTTCCTCCTCCTCTTTTCCTTCCTCCTTCTCTACCCTGCCCCTCACTGCTGCTCATATCATCTTTGAAGAAACAGCAGCCACTGAGTATGTCCCTTTAGCAAGGTATAGGTAGTGGGTCACATGCCACAAATTGGTCCCTTAAAGCACCATAGGTGAGGACCAAGGACACAGTCCAAGGGTGGCCTAGCCATGTACTATTGAGCACAGAGCAGAATTTCAGGCCCAGCTCAGTCTGACTCCAGGTCTGCCAACAAGAAGGCCAAATCCTAAGGCCACAGTAGCTCATGCCTTACCCTATTCCCCACTCTCCCTGCCTCCCTTCCTGAAGTCTCCTTCACCCTGATGATTTCCACAGCAAACAGAAATACAGTGTCTCCTGGATGGGGCCTTGTGCTGCTCTTCAGCCCCATGGGAGCTCATCTATATGTGTGCACACTTAAGACGCATGAACTGAATCTCTCTGTGTTGGTGGACTGCACGTGGTGTCCACTTTTCCAGGGGCAAAGGCCAGAAGGCATAAGAGAAAGCAAGTATTGTGGCCAAACCCCGACTTGTCTTCCAACTCCCAAGTGCACTTCTCTACTAGGGGCAGCAGGAGAGGAGGGTGGAGGAGTCAACCATCTGTGTGACTGGCTCTGAGCTGAGTATCTGCAGGACCCCAGGAAGGGGCACACTCTGCCTTCCAGTGGGTCTCTTGAGGGATACTGGCTCCCTGGGAAGTCCATGTATGCCCAGCACCTGCAAGGGGATAGGCACTCATGGGGAAAACAAACAAGAAAGAACTGGCCAGCTACCACCAGTCCACCTTCTTGTGCAGTATCTGACCAGTTGAGATGCCATATTCAGAAACAAGACTCAGATAAGGTATTTTTATTTATACAGAATGAAATAATAAATTATACATGTCCATGTGGTGAGGCTTTCACTTGTATAACCCAAACCCTACTGAAATTGTAGGCATTGCTATCATTCCAGAAATTGCCTCTCAACCTCCCCAGGCAGTTTTTGTGAATATGAATTTTGGGAATTAAGATGTGAATATGATATTTGGGAATTAAGCCTGTTAGGGTCTATGTCTAAAACCTCAGTAGCTAAGACAAAAGATCCTGAGATCAGGATTAAAGCCATCATCAGGTCAAATCTGAAGTACTTAGTCTTTTTTCTCTTCTGGTCTTTTTCTTGGCAAACAAACCTCCATATTTAGTTGGGTAGGCATAACCTTGTTGTATGATAACTATCACTAGAAATATGGTAGACAGATGGAGGGGGAGGGAGAATAATGGAGAAGGAGAGAGAGAGGGAACAAGAGTGTAGTGGGAGGAAAAGTAGAATAGGGAGGAAGAGGAAGCCAAAGGGAGAAAAAAGGGGCAGAGTGACAAAAGCCCATGTTACTTTCTCTTATTCTGTGCAGCTTGGTTTTATTTATTTAAGCCTTGCTTGCAATGAAGGAAAATTATTTAATATCATATATAATTTATTACTTTTAGAGGTTATTGCTCCATTTCAATTTCAATTAAATAAAAATTAAATATGAATCACAGTAGCATATGTGACTTCACTGCATTCTTTCAGGGGTTAATGGACCTCTACAACAATAGCCTTTCCCATCTTCTGAACCCTCTGTAGATTATCAATAAAATATAACCACAGAGTCTTGTAACTCCAGCCTCCAAATACCCCCAAGGGCCCACTCTTTTCCCCAGCTCTGTTGCTGGTGAGGGTAGGTGGACTGGAACAGCAGTGACTCAGGGCAGAGGACAAGTGGACAGGACATGAGCCCCACCAGCTCCCATGGACAAGGAAAACAGGGAAGGAGTGAGTTGTTCCTGGGAATGAAGCATTAGAAGAATAAGGAGATTTAAGGAAGGAGGATAACAACTTTGGAAGAAGAATGAACAAACAATGGTTCTATAGAACACTTAAGGACTCAAGTTAAAGTACTGGATAAGGAAACAAATCTGGAGAGAACCAAGAGAAGAGAGAATATAAGGGAAAATGTGAATTATTCAAGAAATGTGAGGTTATTTCACTCCAGCAGGTACTGAAACCCTAGACATCCGTGGGAGAGAAGGTCTCTGAGGATCTGTGCTACCTCCCACTCCTCAGGGATTTTGCTTCAAGATGTTCTAAGTATGTCCTACCAAGTACACAGTTCAGTTTTTTAGGTGATGAACATTCTGGAAACCATTTGGTCTTCCCCTATCTGGATAAAGTTCCTTCTTTTAGACGACCCAGATGGCCATCTATATGACAACCCCTTTGGCCTCTGGCACCTTTGAGCCTTCTATCTGCACAATCATGATGTCACAGGTGATTGAGCCAACTTGGCATTCCTTGTCCTTGCTTCCCATTCCAATCCTAACTCAGGCCTCCCCTGCTGCAAGGCTGTAACTGGCTAGGTGTGGCTTCCTGCCTCTCAATTTCTTTAGCATACCGTGTTTCACTAACGTAACTGTTTCTGTGCCCATCTCTCCTCCCAGGTGTCTGATTCACCTTTGCCCTTTGAGTGTCTAACACAAGACATCGAACATTGCAGGAAATTATTGGCCCTTCATGATATTTGCTTCTCCACCTGCCCCAGATAAAAGTCACCATCCTTTACTTTGAATCATTGCTCTGTCACCTAAAACATCTGCAAAAGTAGCTATGATGTCTATCTCTCTCTGGTAGATTTGGTATGTCTATCTCTCTCTGGTAGATTTGGAGGGATGAACTCATCTCTATCCTACCAATCAGAGCAAAACCCAAGAACCTGTGACATGATGTTGCTGCCCACCTACACCTTTCTACCCCCCACCCCCCAAAGGAGAGGGCTGCAGGGCAAGCAGTCACACAGTGGAGGCAGTATCCTTGGAAACCTCTTTATGCCCCCAGAAGATGTACATCCAAACAACTTTCTGTTTAGTCATGGCCACTTTGGAGGCAGGAAATTAGGAAGTACAGCTCTGAGACTGGAGGAAAGAATCTTGTAGAAGAGGAATGTAGTCACCAATGAGAGAAGGACTCTGAAGACAACTGCATCACTGAATCAGGGATCTGAAAGGCTAGTTTAGAAGATTCGAGGGAGAGACCAACCCCATTTTCATACAATCCAAATTACATCCTGGGACTGAGGCCAATGACCAAGCCCTTTTCTGTTTCTAAAGTGTACACAAAGGGAGCACACTGGGAGGACCTGGATATCCCATACTTGCTGGCTATCTAGGCTGGAGGAGTTTTCAGACCGACTCTAAACCTTACCGTCTTCCTCTGGGTTGGGTGGGATGGAGAATACACAGATGACTATAGCCCTGCTCGGGGTGGGCAGCAGTGGCCATCTATTCCCTCCCAGAACCCTGCCTGCCGCCAAGACCCACATTCTCACTTTTGTACTCCAAGTGGAACCCTGCAGCAGATACACTGATGTCCGAGTAGAAGTGAAGGTAGAGCTGGTTGGAGGTACTGTTCAGGAGGGCAGGCACGGTTGTTCCTGGGCAAAGAAACCAGAGGTTGTTTAGGAGTGATCCCTGGCCCCCAGCTTCTCCCCATTCTTCTTGCTTCTGATGCTTACTAACATTCTTTCCCAAGGTCCTCAAGTGCCCCAAGTTATCAACCTCACTAAATGACAAATGAGCACCCTTTAGGGACTCCAATGGCCAAGGTAGTGGAGAATCCAAACTGTTCCCTGAAAGATGAACAGTGCAATAGCCTTTTGCCAGCCAGAGGATGAGCTTCTCAGGGAGTCTGTGAGTTTGGTTCACTTGCAGCCATCTTCCAAATGGTACTGACATAATTATCTGGGTAACCCAGTAGTGTAGACAGTTTGTTTGGGACTACATGACTCCTGTTTATATCTCAGCAATATGGAGTATGGGACTAGCAGAATCAGAAGATTGGTTTGGCCACTGAGCAAAACACCACAGTCAGGCGGAAGCCCATCACTGAATGGGCAATGGCACAGTCACTTTGGAAAACAGTTTGGTGGTTCTTAAAAAAAGTTAAACAGTGATCATATGGTACTTCAATTTGGATATATATCCAAGAGAACTGACAACAGATGCTACACAAATACTTGTACATGACTGCTTATACTAGCTTTCATCATAATAGCCTCAAACTGGAAGCAATCCAAATGCTCGATAGATGATTGGATAAACAAAATATGTACTATCCAAACTACTATTTGGTGAACTCTTAAGATGGGACATCAAATGAAAAAAACTAGACCCACAAAGTTAGGCAAGTATAGGGAGGGATAGTGAGTGAAAACGGGTACTTGGTTTCTGTGTGTGTGTGTGTGTGTGTGTGTGTATATGTGTGTGTGTGTGTATGTGTGTATATGTGTGTATGTGTGTATGTGTGTGCATGTGTGTGTATGTGTGTGTGTATGTGTGTGTATGTGTGTGTGTATGTGTGTATATGTGTGTGTATGTGTGTGTATATGTGGGTGTATGTGTGTGTGTGTGTGTGTGTATGTGTGTGTGTGTGTGTATGATGGTACTAGGGCTTGAACTCAGGGCCTCATGATCTCACTTGGCTGTTTTTGGTTAAGGCTGGTGATCTGCCACTTAAGCCATACCTCAAGTGGTTAAAAAGAATCCAAAATGGAAGTCTGGCTCATGTGGCAGCTCAGACTGACTCTGAATCATGATCTTCACATCTCAGCCTTTTGAGTAGCTAAGATTTCAGGCACTTGATTTCTTTTCAAAGTAGTAAAAAAAAGTTCTGCAACTGGTCGGTAGTAACCTTATGGACAAACTAAAAACCCACTGAAGTGCACACTTAAAAATGATGAATTTAGCTGGGTGCTGGTGGCTCATGCCTGTAATCCTAGCTACACAGGAGGCTGAGATCTGACAATCATGGTTCAAAGCCAGCCCAGGCAGGGAAAGTCCATGAGACTCTAATCTCCAATTAACCACCAGAAAACTGGAAGTGGCTCTGCAGCTCAAGTGGGAGAGTGCTCGCCTTGAGCTGAAGAGCTCAGGCACAGTGCCCAGGCCTAGAGTTCAAGCCCCACAACGACCAAAAAAAAAAAAAAAAAAAAAAAAGAGATGAATTTATGGCATATAAATGACATCTTGATAATGATGACGGTGGTGATGATGGTGATGATGGTCTGATCCATCACATTGAAGCCCGCTTACCTGAGAAGCTTCCAAGCATCGTTACAGTGTTGTCTGCACCATCGAACACTTCCAGGGAGTCCCAGTTCTGCTCCGTGACAAAACTGATGACCTGGATCTGGGAAGGGAGATGTATTGAATGGTTGGAGTCCCTCCCTCCCTTCATTGTTTATTTAACATATTGAGCACCAACTTGGAGCCCCAATATCCAGATAGATTCTCCCATTAAATTAGATACAGACTCTACCCTCCTTGTGGAGAGTAGGGAGTCTAGGGATAAAGACAGATGTGAAATAAATCATCATAAGACAGTGGGATATTTTTCAAGGTAGAGAATGGGGACCTGACACTCCAGGAAGTGGAAATGCTTCAGTCCAGCTGGCCTTCTCTTCACCTCTGGAGTTATCTTTGGGTTTCTTTACTTCTCTGGCTCAACTATGTGAGATACGTTGCAGCAAGAAGCCAGTAACCCACTCCACACAGGTCAGGTGTGTCTAGCTCAAGTCCAGCTTGCTCTCTGTCTGGCTGGCAGGCCCTGGGTTCTTTTCTGAACCTCCCTGCATTTAGCTTTTACCCCTGAGTGCCAGTTTTGCATGCCCCCCCCCCACTCCCCTGCCAGAGTTGAGCTTCTACAACCCAGGCTGCCTATGTGTTGCCCCAAGTGAGTTCCTGGTGGTCCACATCTTAGCCACAGGTGCAGAGACAGGGCTGGAGTGTCTCTTCCTGGCTCAGGGTTCAGCCAACAGCTAGCATTTGCCCGAGGTGCCTCTTTGCTCCTACCTGGATGCCAGCTCCTTCTGGCACCATGATCTTCCATACACAGTTGAGGCTGTTGAGGTAGGTCTCTGGGAAGCCAGGGGAGAGGATGGTGCCCCTGCGCTCTGTGAGGTTGCCGCCACAGGGCACTGGGAGGAAACACAGCTGTGGTCAGAGGCTCCTCCTGTATGTCTTTGTGGTATCTTCACAAAAGCCTTTTCAGATTCTTCCCCCTCGCCACTGCTGTGACTCCACCTTATGTTGGCTTCTCCACGTAGGGCCCTTACCTTCTGTTCTTGGACTCCTCTGTGACTTGTGCAATCAATCATCCCTCAGGGATCTGGACCCCAGTTCCTCCTGTAATGTGCACTCCTCCCGATCTCCACCACATTTGGTTGTCTTCACACCCACCCACAGGATGGATGAGCAATTTGGTTTTAAAGGGGCATCATGGGCTGGGAGGAGCTGCTATGTACCTGGGGCCATTTGTGCTAACTGGTTGTCTCTCCTGCTTGCAGCCCTCCCTCCCTCCCTCGCTACTTCTCGCCCTCCCTCCTTCCCTTCCCTCCCTTCCTCAGTCCTGGTAGTCCAGGTTCTCACCCACACAAGTTGGTGCTGAGACATTCCACTGGGCCAATGCCCCAGGCACAGGGAGGCACTCAATTTCTGGGGACCCCTGCAGGGCATAGCCGGAGTTGCATTCGAAACGAACGATGGCCCCCACGGAGAAATCACTGCCCAGCCTTTTGCCATAGCGGGGTTCCGGCACTGAGCTGCATTGTGTGGCACTGGTTCGGGGCACCGCTGTGGAGGACAAGGGCACTGAGAGCAGGCCTCATCCCTGGAAAAACTGGCCCAGGGATACCCAGAACAGGACTGATACAAAGGCAGTCCCAGCCCCCTGGGAACACAGAGCACTTTCTTTTAGGGTAGGAGTGATGCTCTGCAGGGTGAGGCCCATCCATTTTCTTATATGTAGTTAGGTATGCAATGCTTGGAACCTGGGCCCAGTTCTCTTGGATAAGGGGAAGTTGAAGCCTGCAGGTAGATACCATGATGTTCCAAGACTTTGCTCTTCTGGGTCAATAAAGGATGGGGATAAAGATTGATTATTATCTACTTGATACTAACTACTCTGTGAACTCTTCTTTTAATCCTACCAATGATGCATGAATGGTACTTTTATTTCATATATGAACAATTTGGGGCCCCAAGACATGGAGCAGCTGATGTCTATCTGCCAGAAGAGCCTGTGCTATATATATGCCATCTTTATTTTGCTTTACAGACAAAACTAAACTCCGTGAGAAAAACAGTCCATTTAAGAGTGGATGGGCATCCCTAGTTGTCATATGGACTGTACCAGATGATGGATGGTCAGGGTGGGGTAAGGAGGAAGAGAGGAGGAATTTGCTTCCCATATTGGATTCCTTCCTCATTCAACACAGAATTTGGTTTAAGAAATGTCTGTTGAGTAAGCAAATGTATAAAATTCAATTGAATATCAGGGTGTTTTCTCATGCACTAACAATCACTCCCAAATACCTTGAGAAAAAGACTTTAATGACTTAGACCCCTTGTTTCCTGAGTCATGGAGTCACTGAAGAACTGAGCTGGCCTTTGAGCCTCCAGTACCCACGTCCTACATACCTTGGTAGACAAAATGGAAGCCTCGGGCTGGTGCTTGGCCTTTGGCACTGAACTTAATGAGAACTTGATTGGAGGTGGCCAGGGGCAGTGACTCTCCTGCCAAGGTAAGGGGTAAAAAGGGGACAGTGAGACCAGAAGTCAGGTCCAGAAGATAAAATCCTGGCTGGGAAGGACAGGCAGCCAATGCCCACATAGTAATTCCTTCCTTCTATATGTCAGGACTTGCATCAAACCATCACATTTTCACAGCACCTTATAGTTTCAATTCTACAGAGGGCTTTGTAGCCATGGTCTTCCCTGGGCCTGTAGTCACTGTGAGGGTGGTGTGGCAGGGTTCAGCACCCACATTTTACAGAACAAGACTGGAAGGTTTGGGAAGATTACATGACTTTCTGGAAAGAAAGGAGTTGCTCAAGATGTGTAGACCCCCAGGGATGGAAAGAAGGGCCATCACCACACTGACTGGTGGTCTACTTATGCCAGAAAACTAATATTAGAGTAAAAATAAGTTAATAGAATACCTCAGCCTTGGGGAAGGAGGGTGATGTGATCACTGGCAAGAGAAACTGGCCCTTCCCAGGCTTCCTGGGAAAATGACAGTAAGCAGAATGTATTATAATTTATTGCTCACAGGAGGACCCCTTTGAGAATAAAAGGGCATGCTAGGTTGGATTGTCTCAGCCACATGAGCGGTATTCTCACCTAAGCAAGAACACACCAACTGGAGAGAAACCTGGATGGGCATGGGCAGCTGGAAGAGGCAGGGAGCCTTTGCAACAGAAGGTACAGGAGGAGGTCTGCTAGGGATAGTATGGAGGGGAAGACAGCGCCAACTGTACCCATAGCCATGAACCCCATCCTGCTCTTCGTCCCCTGCCTGTGGAAGCCCAGGGAGAATATGGTGGCCAGGAGTGGCCTCTGAGAGTGGATGCAGACTTCATCCTCAGAATAAAAGTAGGGATGAAGAGAGAGAGGCTGCATCCCCATGGGAGCTGGGGGGCTGGAGTTTAGACCCACCAAGGAGCCACTGGAAGGTGCACTGATATTTCTAGGAATGCCCACATATTGCTACCAGTTAGCTATAGGAAGTTGAGAGCACACTTAGATTTACATGTGGTCCAGGTGGCTGGTCTGGGTTGTGAGATACTACCCTAGCTAACTTCTGGATATTAAAGCACAAAGAATTTCAGGAAGGCAAAGTCCCTTTCATTACCAATACTCTCCTAGCCCCTCCTCTCCATGGAGCTGAGTATAGTGAGTGTCACTTTCCCGACATCCCATCATTTGGGCTGACAGGTGGAGATCACTTCAGCACTACTCACAGAGCCCATGCAGGCCTCTCTCTCCAGGAAAAAAACACAGAACAATTCACTGGACATAAGAATGATCTCAAAGTTCTAAGGGGAGAGAGTACCTTGAGAAGCCAAAGAAAATATTTTTATGTGAACTACAACAAAAATCAGGTGAAAATCTGCATAGGTTTACCTTCCTTCCTCATTTTCTTCCTTTTCTTTCTTTCCTTCATTCCTTCCTTTCTTTCTTCCTTCCTTTCTTCCTGTTTCTTTCTTTCTCTTTCTCTTCATTTCCTTCCTTCCCTTCTTTTTCTTTCTTTCTCTCTCCCTCCTTCTCTCTCTGTTTCTCTCTCTCTCTTTTCTCTCTCTCCTTCCCTTCCTCTCTCCCTTCCTTCCTTCCTTGAAACTGGGGATTGAACTCAGGGCCTGGGCACTGTTTCTTAGCTTGTTTGCTTAAGGCTGGTACTAAACCACTTGAGTCACACACCCACTTTGAATCTCAACCCTCAGGTTTCAACTGCCTGTGTATCTAGGATTTCAGGTATGAGCCATGGACCCCTGGCTTGAAGGTTTTTAATCATGATTGTCACCAGGTTAAATCTAGCATCATAAAGGAAGGATCTGAGATTAAAAATGCTATATAAGGATGAGAAATATGAATTGCTGCTTGTGGATTCTAAAGCAATTTAATAGAAATTTGGGGGAATTCTTCTAGAATGCCCAGAAAGTGGATAAAAAATCAAAACAGCAAAAGAAATGACATGCCACATGGAAGCAATGAGAGAAACCTAAAAGGCACATGTCAGGAATTCCAGAGACCAAAGGAAAATCAAAGACTCTAAGTAGAGAGATTCCTTTGCTAAGACTTTAGGTTCAATGTGTAGCAGCTTGCCAAGAGAGATGCTGAGTGACATGAGACCCTGCTCTTACCACCAAGGTACAACCTAGTTGGCTATTTCAAAAATAAACAAAATCTGAAATTCATTGGGACAGAAAAGCACAGGCTACTTATATGTGCAAGGAATCAGGATGGCCTCCAATGGGTTTGTCATATTAAAGATTGGAATAAAGTGAAACAGTTATTGAAATTTTGAAAAGACAAAGTATGTGACCCATAGTTTGATTTGCAATAGAGGTGTCATTTATGTGATATGTCAAGAGCAAGGTGACAAAAGGTACTGCAGTTACAATCCCTAATTAAAAAAATAAAGTAGGAAATGAAGAAGTAGCAGCAATAAATTCAACCAGAAAAGATGGTTACACCCCTAGTATTGCTAATGAGTTAAACAGCAAAATGAAGATGTCAAAGCTATTCTTTGGGGAAGAAGTTCATGATTTAAAGATAATTATGAAGGCCATTAGCACCAAAACCCTAAAAAGACAAAAATTTGGGAACTAGTGAGATGGGCAGACAGGAAAGGAAAGGTAAGGAGATAGAATCAACACAGCAATGCTAACCTCCAGAAAGAGCAAAGCAAGCTGACATCTACCAGTCCAAATAGCTCACTGGTCAAACTCAAAAAGAAAACTCTCAAAAGAAAAAGACTAGGAGAAAGTGAGGAAAGACAGATTAGGTAAACACAGATATGGAAATTGTTAGCAATACCTAGGACAACAAAATAACACAATTGTTAACCACTGATATAACACAACATGAAAAGGCTCAAGAGGGTTCCCAAGTGTCTTCCTTAACCCCAACACATCTTAGAGACAGGCACACGGCTCATCTATAGCTACACTATTGTGAATGAACCTCATCTCATCTGATCTTGGAAGCTAAGCAGGATCTGGCTTGGTTAGTACTTGAATCGGGGACAAGGACATGGTTTACTATGGCTTTAGGTGTGGTTTCACATCTGTCTTCTTCAAGTGAGTGGTAAGATACTCAGAATATGTTGACACTGATGTCTTAGGTTGTGTCTTTTTTCCTCCCTACTTTCTTCCCTTTCTTCTCCTTTTTGTTTCTATTGGTCTTGTAAAACCCTATCTATATATGGGTATATCCATTTTTTAACATATAGATCATGTACCTGTACTTGCACTTCTGTGTGTGTGTGTGTGTGTGTGTGTGTGTGTGTATGTATCTATCTATCTATCTACCTAGCTATCTATTAATCTATCCATCCACCAGTTTTGAAAACCATCTTAGACTGATTTATACCCTTGCTGGAGTATATGTGTGGATGGTGGTACGGAAATATTATTTAGGAAGAATTCCTAATAGATGGGGCTTTGAATAACAAACTGAGTAAGAGTCTCTAATAGCTATTTGAAAGTTCATTTGCTCCTATCAATATCTCTAGAAGGGAAAACTCTTATTCTCTGAGTTTCCAGATGAGGAAATTGGAGTTCAGACAGGTTAAGAACTGTGTTCACAGTCACCCAGGAATCTAGCAAGTGAGCGAATGGAGATGAGTCCAATCAGCGGGACTGCAAAGCCTGAGCATGTCTGTTTTACTAACTGGCCTCTACTGCAGAATGCATACATTTTGCTCAAGTACTCACAGAATTAAAAAAACAAACAAACAATGTCCTTGGTGCATTTTGAGGTGTAAATGAGAAGACCAAAGAAGAAATGTTATAGGCAACAGTCTCTAACCATGGGGTGAATGAACATAAAATTAATGCAATAAGGACAAAATTGGAGTTCTTGTGTGTGGGGAGTGACATTATTAATCACCTCAGGTGAAAAGAATAGCATGGAACACTTCAAAAGCAGCACATACCAAAGCCTATTATGGCATGAAGTTCGAATTTCATACATTGCTACCAATATACTCTTATTACACTGGGAAAATGACTAACAAAGCTCTCAGTTTATGAAGTTAAAGCAAAAAGATCAAAGTCATTTGAAGACACAAAGGAGGAGAGAAATGAGGAAATAAATTCAGGATTTAATTAGAAAATACAAACAACACCCCTCAAAACCTTTGGTACAGCTGAGAAAAATGGAGAGCTATGCACATAACATTACACATTAGGAAAGCAGGAGGTGCAACCTCTAAAGCAATACAATATCATCATAGTGTGTTATAGAAATTACATGTTCTAACTTAAATTCTGGAATGAATTTCTTACTAAAAGACCACATATCAACATTCAAATTAAAATAATGTACCTAAACAGACCAGTAGCCATGTGAAGATGCAAAAGGGAAACCACTGAAGAGAAGGGAATAAAATAATGAAGGAAATTTATTTGCAAATAGCATTGCTTCTTGCCTACAGGCCAAGTTACTGCTGTTGGCAAGGGTTCACTGCCTTTGCAAATGAGTACACCAAAAATGTCAGTCTTGGAATTTACTAACAAAGAACATCTAGAAAATAAAATGAGAGTGTGCATGCATGTTTGCGTATGTGGATATGTGCATGTGTATGCATGTGTGCCTGTGTGTACTTTTGTTTGGTTGTTACAATACTCATTTATAATAAAGTAACAATAAAAATGACTAGAAAAGTCTGCATGAAATATGAAGAAATAAAATCAATAAAAGTGAATGCTGTTTAAATGAAATGGTAGCTCCTTCTCAAGAGCTACATAAATGGAGAGACACACCACATTCCTGGGTAGAAAGAAGTGTTAATATATGCATATGAGTTATCTCCAGTTGAGTTTGTAAGTTTTAAGAAATTCCCGTCGAAATTTCAATGTATTTCTAAAAATGACAAAAATGGCTCTAGATTTTATATGGATATAGAAGTAAAGCAGTAAATAGCCAAAAATCAAAATCAAGAATGACTACAGGAACTGACAGACCAGGAGCATAAAAATTAGTATAACATTAAATATGATATAATAACTAAAACTTATATAAGAATAAATACACACTTGGAGAAAATAGATTAAAAGGTCTAGAAAAAGTCCTGGACTGTCCTCAAAATTTAGTATATGTGAATCTGTCACTTTGCAACGTCTACTGGGACAACTTATGCACTGTGATTGGTTAGTCTCGGGAACAAATAAAAAATAGATTCAAAAGGTATTATTGTAAAACACTGAAACTAAAAAGAAGCAAGAGAAAATAGAGGAATATTTATTTGAGCAGCTAAAGCAAAGGAGAAAACTATAAAGAGATAGATTTTGATACCATGGGAAATTTAATTTTTCTGACATTAAAGCAAACCCTGAAGAAAATTAAATGGCAATGACAAACTAGAGGAGAAGGCATTTTATAGTCTATAATCTAGATGGAAAGCTTTTTATTACTATTGCTTATAGTAACATGGGTCTCTAGTTGAGAGAAATAGACACAAGTTTGCAAAAAAAAATGCATGGGTCATGAAACACATTATCAAAAGGTTATCACCTAACTGGCCATAAACAGGGCAAATTAGAAAATGAGATAACCATTTTCACTTTTCAAATTGATGATTTAAAAAAAAATTTGGCTTGAATTTAGGACCTGGGCTCTGTCTCTTAGTTTTTTCACTCCAGGCTGGTGCTCTACAACTTGAGCCACACCTCTACTTCCAGGTTTTTGGTAGTAAATTGGAGATACTAGTCTTCTGCTTGCATGTGTGATCTTTAAATCCTGAGTAGCTAGGATTACAGGTGTGAGCCACCAGCGCCTGGCTGATGTATATATGTATATATCTATATATCTATCTGTGTGTGTGTGTGTGTGTGTGAGAGAGAGAGAGAGAGAGAGAGAGAGAGAGAGAGAGAGAGAAGATAGCTTGCCCACTTACTAGCTCTTGGTAAGCAAGATCTGTCTCAAGGGATATTTAACAATCTGTATAAAAAGCTTTAACAATCTCACAAATCTAACTTGGCCATTCTACTTCTAGATTCTGAGGTTGCAGTTAGAGATATGCATATATATATATATTATATAACAAATTACTATTCATAACAGTACAAAATGTAGAAACCATCTAAATGTTCAAAAATAGGAAATTCATTACATCAATATGAAATAAATGTATGAGTGACTACTAAGTAGTATTTAAATGTCCTATTATACAAGAAAAATACAGTGACAGAGAAAAGTTCATAGTGAATACTTCCATAAAAATATGTGTCTTGTTGTATTCAATAAAACACAGAAAATATTAAACCTAAGTAGATATAATGATCAGAAGGAGATATACTATACTTTATTAGTAGTTCTTACTGGGTGGTTTTTAATTTAAATTCTCCATTACAATGATTGTTTCTTGCCCTTAAATTTTCTACAGAGAAAATGAAAATGTAACATGCTTATAATCAGAAAAAAAGCTGGGTGATAGTGGCTGACACTTAAAAATCCTAGCTCCTCAGAGGGCTGAGATCTGAGGACCGAAGTTGGAAGCTAGCCTGAGCAGCAAAGACTATGAGATTCTTATCGCCAATTAACCTACAAAAAGTTAGAAGTGGAGCTGTGGCTCAAGTGATAGAATAATAGTGTTGAGTGAAAAAGCTCAGGGAAAGCACCCAAGCCCTGAGATCAAGCTCCAGGACCAACCAGCACACCCTGCCCCCCAACAAATAGGTTGGGTCTGCTTATAAACCAAAGGAGCATGCTATAACCAGTGTGTGTGTGTGCATGGAGCGGGGAGGGTTCCCTGTCATACATGGCATTGTGTTGTAGAGACATCTCAGCATATCACAAACAAAACAGTGCAGGTGCACCTGCAGCTAAGTGGGGTCTGTCCCTAGAGTCCGACGTGGGACGCCCACCCTACCTCATGCCCCCATTGACCCAGCCCTGGTACCTGTGTGGGAGCCAGAGAGTGAGCTGAGGAGCCGAGCGTGCTGGCTGTGGCCATCGTGCACTTCCACCACGTCGTTGAGGGCCGTGTGGAAGAAGGCAAACTGACCAAACACCACTGTGGAGGAGACACAATGTGGTGGTATCAGGGTGGAAGATGGGGGCAGGTGGAGACATGGAGAAGGGATGTGGATCTGTTGGGATGGGGCAACCAGAGGCAGTTGTGGGTTTGGGGGCTGTGGGGGAGGGTGATGCTGGGAGTTCAGAGAGGTAGGAATATACCTCAGGTCTCAGTAGCCCCCAGGACCAAGCAGAGCTCATGGCCCTGGTGGGTGGCAGCTAAATGTTGGCTACGTGACTCAAGCATCAGGCCCTGGGTTCATCCCATCTTATCTTTGGGCATAGGCAGCCGGCTTTGCCAAATGGTCAGGGCACACTGTGGCCCTTCCCCACTGTCAACATCAATCATGTTTTGAAACAATTGTTAGGAGCTCATGAAAGAAAAGAAGCCAGGCTTGTCACCTGGTCACCAGCTTCTAGGGCTGGCAGGACTCTTGAACAACCCCACTGCAAAGTAGGTGATAAAATTCTCTTTTCTTATGCCTGGATCTCTTGGGATCTGGAGGTTTCTCTGTGTTTACAAGGAAGTAGCCTGTTCCCCTCATCCGTCGCTGCTGGGCGAGGCTGGGTTCTCAGAGGAGATGCTGGAGTGATGCATTCCCCCTCTCTCCCTTCTCCCACACTTTCAGGCTCAGCTCCATCTCATCCTCTCCTTTCCAACCACTTAGTCCCTCCCAGGCCACCAGCTCCTGGGTTCCCAGCATGCCTGGATCTCACCCTTGCTAGCCCCCAGCCCACGTATGCCCTCTTCCCTCTTGTGTCAAAAATGCCTCCTGCAGCCTGTGTGGTAGCACCAGCACTCAGCCATCCTACTTGGGAGGCTGCTCTGCCCTTTCTCACAATGACAGAAGAGCCCAAAGAGTTGGAATTTTGGAATGAGGAGGAAGAGTCATTAATAACAGAGACAAAAACACCATACCATAGTCCTTGGGCACAGTGACAAAGTACAAGCAGGACTGTCCACTGGTGTAGTTCTGGGGGTAGTTGGGAGACAAGACCACACCATCAGAACCCACATACTGGCCTCCACAGGGGGCTGAAAGAGAAGCCAGAAGAGTCAGGTGATCTTGCATCGGCTAACATCTGCTCATCACTTGAGCCTCTGGTCCTGGTGGGGCTCCCTGAGCTGGGCAGTTTTGCATGTAGAGAAGGGAGTCAGGTTACTGCTGGGTCCTGTCCAAGAATATCCATCCACCCTGGCCTGGACAGGACCCTCCTGGGTACCTGCTGGCCTTTGCCTTATACCTTAACACTGGCATGGGTCTCCAGGGGCAAAGGCTTTTCTGTTTTCCTGTGGGCCTAGAAACTGTCTGCTGTCCCTTGGCTGATAGACACTTGGGAAGGTGGTGTCATTTTCCTCCAGTGCTGGGAGCCACAAGGCCCAGCCTCTTGCTACTTGCGGGGGCCACCCTACTTTTAAATTTGGTGGGGGGCGGGGGGTCCCCATGCTTCTGAGATTCTGACACTCATTCCCTCTCCTCTTGTCCAGGCCCACTGGAGTCAGTCCAGTCCACGCACTTCATTTACAGAGCTGACGTCTCAGGGATGCCACAGGCCCAGCCCCAGGCCCACCCCTGACCCCCTCCTGCTGTGCGCTCCTGGGGAGGCGTGTCTGCAGGCTTCCATTGAGGACGCAAGCATCGACCTGAGTGGGAGTGGGAACCCTATGCGACCGGCAGAGGTGACATATGACAGGGACTACCGCTCCCAGTGAGTGTGGCTCCCATCACAGCAAGCCCACACTGGCCAGGCCTTGATTGCTGGGCCTGCGTCACCTTTGAAAACAACGTCCCACTTCCCCTCCCTCTGGCCAGCAGCCCCACCTGCCCCGGCATTGCTCCATCACCAGGCCCCTCCCCGACCTGTGCAGAGCGGACGTGGGTTGTTCCACACAGGCTTCCCATCCGGCCCCAGGACGCAGCTCAGGGTGGAGGTGCCCTCAACCTCGTAGCCTGCGTGGCAGTAGTAGGTGATAGAAGAGCCCAGCTTCAGGTCGGACCCCACTCGTGTGCCGTTCTTGATGGAACCCGGGTCAAAACATGACTCCCGTGGGTTTTCTGGAAAGACAGATAAGCAACTAAATAACCATAGAGGAAAAGCTCGTTAGCAGCTTATTTCTATGGAAAGTCCATGGAGATGCAGGGTTGCTGGTCCTGTTCCCTCTGGTCCAGACACTTCTGTAAACTGGGCTGGAAATTTAAGGTTGGGGGGATGTGTAGAAGGAAGTCTTCCACCTTTTTGCCATGACAGGCAGAGGAAGAGAGAGTGCTGGCCTTGGTTCCCCTAGGGGGAGCAGGGTTGTTCGATCTGCAGGAAACCACCATCTAAGCCCCTATCATAGGCTGGAAAGTCCAGTGCCTGGCAGAGCCCATTCCTTTGTCCATCACTGCCCCTCCCTTAGCATGGCCTCTAGCTGGAAAGTGGGTGCTTTCTGCTTTTGGAGGCTGCAGGTAGAGCTAGCATCTGCTCTGCAGGTCCAGTCACATCCTTTTTGTGTACAAATCTGGGTACTGGGCTCCAATCCAGGGTGAAGGTGATAAAACCCATTCCCCTTCCCACAGTGGGGGCTCCAGTACAGTTTCCGGGGCTTTCCCCAATGGGCATCGAGTGCTTGGAGTGGGTCAGAGCCACAGCACTTTTCCATGGGGCCACTGGTCTTCATGTGTCTTTCCAATCAGGAAGACTTTGGATGTTCCTAACCATCTCCCACTCTTGGCCCATCTCTTCTGTGTTGGCCACCACTTGGCCTGACATTGTTCAAGGACTAGGAGTACCAGCCATGTGTCTGAAGGATATCCTACGGCCTCCTTCCCCATCATCTGGGAAATCTGGGCAGCTCTGGAGCCAGCTTCCACCTTTCATTGCTTTTCTCAGTCCTCCTGTTCCAGGATCACTGATAATTAAGAGGCCACCAACAGGCCTAGTCTGTGGCAGGACACTGGTTAAAGTCACATGCACTAGGGACATGCCATCAGTATCAGGCTTTGGTTGGCATCCTAGTGGCTATGCTGTGTGTATGTGGATGGCAAGCGGCCACAGAGAAGATTAGAGAATTCAGGCTCACAAAGTGGCTGGCAGCCCTTACAGAAGGCCAAGCTAACAAAGACAGAGCAGCAATAGGAAGGATCAGAGTTCTGAGATGAGTAACTCTGGAGGAATTTTGCTGAGGGCAGTCACTGTCACCTGGAAATCTTGTACACTAGTACAAGCTGCTGCTTGATGCTGTCACTTAGCTGCCAGTCAGCCTGCTGGTGGGGTTGGGACACCGAGTCTACAATCCCATTATATCCAGACACTCTTGCATCTGAGCTTTTCTGATCACCCTGCTCTCTAGGTGTCCCCGTGATGAGTCATGGAACTCTAGTGGACTGAGGGAACTGTCACTCAACGAACACTCACCATGGCTTCTTTGAGCATAGCCCTGACCCCTGCATCAGATGCATCCTCTCTCCAAAAGTGTGTCTCTAGCCAGAAAACAAATGCTTACTCCTGTGACAATAGTAAACACCACAAACTGTCACCATTGCTTTTTTCCTGTCCTTTTTTTTTTTTTTTCAAAAATCAACTCCTAGTAGACCAAATCTTTAAGTTCGGAACAACTAAGTAACTGAGAGCCAAACTCACACAGCTAATGAGAATTACCCATGGCACCTAATACCCTTTCCCCACTTCATCCTATGAAATAAGCGGAGGCTTCATTGGAGCCAGAGCTTTGAGGTACCTGCGAGGTTTGCATTTTGTAGCCTCCTGGGCAACCAGTCAGGTCTGAGACATAAAAAAGTCAGATCAGGTCTGCTGAAAACAATCTAGCAAACTTTCAAGTCCTTCAGAGAAGAAAAAGTCCTTTCAGGCCTGCAAGGTGCTGCTGGTACTGCACCCATCATCCCCCGTGACCACCTGCCACCATGCCTTTGGTGATGTGGCCTCACACAGATTAGCTTCTGTGCACAGAGCCCCCTCCATGTGAACAGACCTTTCTCTCACCTCCATTAGAACTCAGTTCAGTGTCTCTGTCTCTGTCATCTGTTCCTGAGTGGCTATTTAACATCCCTTACTATTCCTTTCTCCTGCATTTATCTTCTGCTTCTTGCCTATGTCTCTTCAATGCAGTTAACATTCTCATTGCTATATGTTTACCTTTTTTTATCTCTTGCTACTACCACGTAGGTTCTAGAAGGGTAGTTTTGTTCTGTTCTCTGCTGTATTCTGAAGTCTGACATGTGGTCAACCCTCTATAAATATCTTTACTGGGTTTATATGAAACTTCTAGAATGGCTACATAATATGACTCAGCTGAAAGAAGGCTCATTGGCCCTTCTTTCTTCCTTTCCTTTATCTTTTCTGCAATCTAGAACTCGAGTGTGATGGCTGGAGCCCCAGTTACCATCTTGGATTCTGAAGTAACCTTGATGATAGGGCTCCATGGTCTAGCATGAGCATGAACACACACACACACACACACACACACACACACACACACACACACACACACACACACACACACACACACACACACACACACACACACACACACACACACACACACACACGGCCTAAGTAGAGCTATGTCATCAGGCCCTTATCCGATCCTTTGGATTTCTTTTACTAGGAGAAAAAAAATTTCCACCTTGCTTACATGTCTATGCTTTGGGGTATGTTGCTACACTGGTGCTGGTCCCCGGTGGAGAATGACTGCCCTAGAACTTTATATGCCATCTTCCTTTTCTCTGTGTGGCAAAGTCCTATACTTTCCAACGCCACCTTCTCAATGGTGTCTTCTCTCCTGCAGAAATCTGTTTTTCTCTCTGACAACAGTAGCTCTCGTGTTGTCTTGGTAAGCTGGGCAAGTACATTTCTCTCCAGTGGGTTCCAAACTCCTACAGTATGGTGTCAATCATCCAGTCCTCTTGTCACCCCAGCAGCTTGCACAGAACTTGCTACCGGGGCCAGCTGTGTTTGGCATACAACATGGGTATAAGAAGCAGCTGCTGAGTTGTTTGGCTGAACATTTTGGGGCTTGGAAAACCACCGGCCACCTCAATGATTCCCAGCCACCAACTCTATTGTATATTCCCTCACATTTCAGAGGGGCAGGTGTATCATCCCAAGCATAGCGCCCTCGCAGTGATGGTGGTGTGGACAGCAGTGCCTTACATGGGAACATTGCCTTGTCATTTTCAAGGCCCTTTATAATCTGTTACTTCACAACACCCTCTGCAGCAGGCAGGACCAGATGCTCAGCTTCAGGTTATACCTAAGAAATACAGTGACCAGAGAAGCCAAAGGAGTCTTCCAAACCACTCAGTTATTAAAAGGTAGAACGAAGCTGAGTGCTGGTGGCTCCCATCTGTAATCCTAGCTGCTCAGGAGGTAGATACCCAAAGGTATGATGTTCAAAGCCACCCTGAGTAGAAAAGTCCATGAGACTCTATCGCCAACAAAAAAGCTCAAGTGGCAGAATGCCAGTTGTGAGCAAGAAAGTTGAGAAAGAGTGCAAGGCCCTGAGTTCAAGCCCCTGCATTTGCACAACCCCCCACATCCACCCGCACACACATGCATGTGTGCACACACATGCAAAAATGGAATTAAGACCCAAACCAAGTGTTCAGTCAGCTAAACCAGAGCTCAGCTGAGATTGATAAAGCCAAGTGACTAAATCATGATGATAATGATAAATAAAATCTAAGCCCTCCACAGTTAAGAGAATTTTAAGAGAATTATTAAGAAAATCATCTTTTCTCTGGTCCACTTCCACATCTTGTAACTGAAAACAACAGCCCATTCAACCACTAAAGGAACTGGTTAGAAAGGTTGGATTAGAGCCAGCCATGGATACAATTAGCCTTTAAAAAAGATAGCAAGTAATTGAATACTGCTGTAGGAAGAGGCCCAAGGCCTGGTGTGTGTGTGTGTGTGTATGACATACACTGATGGGTGTGCACACACGCTCAACCCCACACACACCCTCCCCTTCTCCCCTCAGCATACACTCACACTCATCTTACACACACAACCAGACTATAGACTAGTATATGTAGTGTGATCTCCTTCATAGAAAACAGGGTTTGGCAGAATTCAGTGCACTGGTCATGGGCTGCTTGCTCCTGTAAATAAAGTTTTACTCAGAATACAGAAATATCTACTTGTTTTCACCTTGTCTGTGGCTGCTTTAGCATTAGAACGGCACAGCTATGCAGTAGGGACTGAGCCCACATGGAGCATAGCATCCACTTCCTGCATCTCAACAGGATGTCCGCATAGACTTTATGTTACTTTCTATTTCTCTCCAGCCACTAATAGATACTTCTTGGGGATGGTAGCACCTTTACCCCAAAGATGTGCTACTTAAAAAAATAGGTAAAAGAGAAGATATTTATTTCCATGTGAATTTGTGAAGGGAGACTCATGGCAGTGGAGGGGTGAGGTGGGTGGGGGAGTGTTGGTAGATTTGGTGATAGCACCTGCAGCATTATGTGCAAAGATTTGAAAGAAAAATAGATTTTTTTTGGTCATGGGGGCTTGAACTCAGGATCTGGGCAGTGTCCCTGAGCTGGTTTTTTCTTTTCTTTTCTTTTCTCAAGGCTAGTGCTCTACCACTTTGAGCCACAGCTCTACTGCTGGTTTTTGGGTGGTTAATTGGAGATAAGTCTCATGGACTTTCCTACCAAGGCTGGCTTCAAACTGTGATCCTCAGATCTCAGCTTCCTGAGTAGCTAGGATAATAGGTGTGAGCCACTGGGGCCTGGCCAACAGACAGACACTTTTTAGTGTGCTCTGGTAAAAGTTGATTCACCTTGATCTTTCCTAAGTTATTTCAGTTTCTCTCACACATGTCTCCAGTTTTCCATCCCACTTCTGCACAAAAGGCTTTTACTCAATTTTCAAGGTCTGTTTAAACAGCCCCTGCTCAGCAAGGTCTTTACCAACTACCATTCTGAATGGGTGCTCCACTTTTCTTCCTCAGAGTAGAATGCTGTTCTCTTTTCTAACTTTTATGGTTTGTCTGTGCTGCTGTCAGTGTGAGTTACACTGGGGAGGGATCACTACCATCTTGCACACAGGGTGTGGCATGAAGCAGGAGCTCCATAGGCACTGGTGGTATGAATAAATGCTCCTCACACATGCACGCACATCCTAGTCTGCCCTGCTGGGGCTACCACACCTGCTGCTATCACTGGCCAGGAGAAAGACAATAAGCTTCCCTGGGACTCATTTGTAGTGGTCATCTCCCTGTCCTGACTTGGTTCCTTTCCCACTGAGTACAGTCCCTCAGGACTGAGGATCTCGATAAACATCTTAGAACAATGGTGATGGATACCCATCATGATACAATTACATTCAGAATTCTCTAGAACTCAGACACCACTGCTAACTTCCAGAAGCAACTGAACAGAGTCACCTACTTTATCCCCCCTAGACCCTTGCACTTTGCCTCACAATTTGCTGGGTCTTCACCATGTCTCTGTGCAAGTCTCGCAGCCTGATTGTTACCAGGAGGCAAAATCCACGGAGGCAAGGGCTTTGGTTCCTTACATCCTTCTCAGCTGCTGTATCACTGTCTGGCACATTGTAGGTGCTCATTGACCACCCACTGATGACAAGCAAAGAGCAAGGCCCAAGTGGCTCCCCCTGGCCCTCCTATACATGCTGCTGCTCAGTGGACATTGACTTAGGCTTGCTCCCTCTGAGGGTGCCCTGGAAAAGCTGAGATTGAGGCAGACATGGCTGTTCTAGGAGGGTGAAGAAACATGGCAGGCTGACCTGCAGGGAGGGGACATAGAAAATACTCAGAAAGGAGCAGGGAGGAGAGGAGTCCCTCTCTGGGGTCAATGATCTCCAAGGCCAGCTCTCCATCCTGATATGGGTCCTGAGAGTTTCTACTTCATGCTATGGGCATGAAGCAATGACACCCCCTTTCTATCGAAGGCTATGTTCAAAGGGTTTCTATTTCTTTCTTTCTTTTTTTTTCAGTACTGAGGATTGAACTCAGGATCTCACATTCACTAGGCAAGCACTCTACCACTTGATCTATGTCCTGGGTCTGTTTGCTTTTAGTTCTCAGACTACAGCTTCAGCCTCAGACTACAATCCTATCTCCACATACAAGTAGTTGAGATTAAAGGCATGTGCTACTACTCTTGGCTTCTTGTAGTTTTAGAACAAATTATCCTTCTTCCTTTTTAACTTTTTTCCACCTTAGGTCTATCTGAGTGAATTGATTTGACTGAAACTAAAATATTCCCCTGGATTAGAGCAAAATGTTCCTGCTTCCTGCTTAGAAGTTGGCAGGATTTGGGAAGGACTCCTGATCTTACTACCTTGAGTCAGAGTGGTTTCCATGGTGCTCAGCCCAGCTGACTTGGGCAACATGTTGCCATGTGGGGGCTCTGTGAGTACCTCTTATCTCTCAAAGGATGTAGCCCCAAAGCTGCATCCTACAGGAGCACCAGATCATCTGTATTAGCAGGCCCTGAATCTCCCTAGAAGATATAGGTATCTAGAAGACATAGGTGCTCCTGGGTGGAAGGGAGTTGCTTCATCCCTTCCTAAGGACCCAGACCTGCTTCGTGTGACAATCTTCTCTGTGCTGAACCTTCACGGGGTTCTGCAGACTGGCAGATGGTATAGTGTCTGAATTCTTAGTCAGGGATACACACACACACACACACACACACACACACACACACACACACACACACACACACACACACACACACCACCTCACAAATATTCATATGGCAAATATTCCCATTTATACATATACATGTACAAAACATGCTCATGTTCTACATCTTCAGTAAGCAAAAAAGACAGTGTACTGTGTTTCCTGGGGTTAGCCCCAGAAAGAAGGGCCTATGCCCTTTTCCTTTCCAAACAAGGACCCAGAAAATGAAATACCCATTAGACAGGAGAATAACTTTGAGATGGAAGTGTATATGTTCCTGGGACCCCCTGGAACTTGGCATTCTCATTTGGTGCTGGGCCTACTGACTGACCCTCATACTAACTTCCTTTAGCATCACTGTCCCCGCACTGAGATAACAAGGCTGGTGCACAGAGAAGTCAGGTAGTTTGTCTCAGGCCTAATTGTTAACAATGACAGAGACACTATATAATATACTGAACATGATAGAAGATCTTCAGGGCTCTGGGATTTGAGAGCAGTGTAGACCCATTCCAGGAATCCAGGGGTAAGGAGAATCCATGAGAGAAGGCAGAGATCCCTGGATGCTACCACATGAGCTACCAGACCAGAGGCCCAGGGAGAGAGCTGAGGGTGCCTAATATGAGTGGGTATGGGGTCTGGGAAGCCAGGCAGGCAAGGCAGCTCTGCCACTAAAACCTACCCATTTATCTTGGTACTTGCATCACAGACCTAATGAGGAAGGCTGTCCTACTCCTTCCTGCTCGTAAGTCACTGGTCTTCTCGTAGAGACTTGGCTGGTACAGACAGCAGCTGGGAAGATCTTATTCCCTGGATTGATGAAACCTCTAGATAACAGCTTGGATCACTGAAGGTGGGAAAGAGGGAAAGAGGGCTTGGAGGTATGGTCCTCAGCCCGTGCATTTCAGCTGAGAAGACCTGGGACGTTCACAGTCAGGTGGCCCTGAACAAGTGACTGGGAAGAAAGCTGAGGGGGTTTCTGCCCAGTAGCTTAGTGTCTCCAAGGAAGTGAGATAAAGTCAGCCTATAAAGACAAGACTGATGGTGAAATACTGGAGTCTACCAAGGAGAAGAACCCAGCTGGGACATGTCAGGCAGCTCAATGGTTGCTGGGATTTGGCTGGGGTTCAAGGATAATCAACTGTAGTGGTTTTAAGTGCCACACTTATGCAATGTCTTCTCACTTCCTTGGCCATTTGGTTGTGGGGCTAACAAGAGCGGAAGCTTGTCAAGATTTATGCAATGGGAGGATTGGGGTCAGAGAAACTAAGGGAATGAATGAGATTAGGAATAACGAGAACAGAAAGGAATACAGAAAATGATTGTGAGGATGCAGAGTGGAGTTGGTGGTGGGTGAAGCAATGGAGGTCCCAGGCTTGATCTACCTTCAGAAGGGATCTCAGAATGTCTGACTCTGTGTATCCTGATATATTGGTATATGGAGAACAGGTTGAGTAAGCTGTCTGCTTGGCAGATGCTTGGAGGAAGAGAGAATAGCAAAATATCCATTCCTCAGACCAGCACCATGAAGACTACAGGCAAGAAGACTACAGATAAAACATTCTGTATTTTTTTTTGTGGGGGGGGGGGCGGCGTTGGGCATGGGGCTTGAACTCTGGACCTAAAATTGTCTCTGAGCTGTTTTTGCTCTACCACAGCTCCACTTCTGGTTTTCTGGTGGTTAATTGGAGATAAGCGTCTCACAGACTTTTCTGCCCAGGTTGGCTCTGAACCGTGATCCTCAGATCTCAGCCTCCTAAATAGCTAGGATTATAGGCATGAGCTAATGGCACCCAATTCAGCTTGTATTCTGTATAGCAAATATCTTCTAAAACTGTCCTCGACAAACAAGACAGCCCTAAGGGGCTCAATGAGTGGATAGATAGGAGATGTGTAGGACAGCAGTGGCAGCTGGTAAATACCAACTAAGCTATTATCATGATTAGCATTATTTGTGGACTCACAGCAGATATTCCCAGGGGTTGCCAGGAATCTTTAATTAAGGGACATTTTAAAAGGTGGCTGAAGCCCTCCATTATGCAAGTGGGAAGCATGAGCCAATTTTAATTGGTAATGTGAGCTCATATGTATACTCAGGCTGAAGGGGCCTTTGAACTTACATTATAGCCCCAATAACAAGAATCTATCATCTCTAACCTATCTATTTAGGACATGCTGTGTATCATACTAATCTCTCTCATACATATATATACATACATATATATGCACACATCTATAAAGTAAGTATGTAAAAAATATCTGAATCTTAACCTTCTGTGCCATAATTTTTATTGCCCCCATTTTGTCGTTGATGGTGTGGGAGATAATGACTTGCCAAGCTCACAAATCAAGCAAGAAAGGGAGCACAGATTTGGATAATGGGGTCTGTGATAATGAAGGAAGAAGAAAAGGTCAGAGAGAGAATAATAGAGTAGAAGAAGGTAGAGTGCTGGGGAGCCTGGAACTCTCACTATTATTAATAATGTCTGAATATCACCGAAAGCTTGCTATATGCCAGGCAGCATACCAAGGACGCCAGTGCGTAGGCTCATTGATCTTTGCCATATTTCTATGAGGCAGGACTTCGAGTATCATTTTGCAGATGAAGAACTGGAGGCTTTGGAGGTTGAGTAACCTGCCCAAGGTCACAGAACTGCCAAGGAGCAAACATGAACTTCCAATGCAGTGAAGCTGACAATCTGCACTTGGCCAAGGCAGGGATCACAACTCATTTGTTTCTGTGAGTTTTTACTGGCAGCTGGCCATGCTCATTCATTTACTTGTTATCTGTGACTGCTTTAGCGCTTCACTGGCAGAATTGAGTCACTGTGATAAGAAAATTTAAACTATTTAGCATCTTTAAGAAATGGTTGAAGCTGGGCACCAATGGCTGTAATCTTAGTGACTCAAGAGGCTGAGACCTGATGGCTTGTAATTCAAAACCAGCCCTGACAGAAAAGACCTGCAAGACTCCATCTCCAACTAACCAGCAAAATGTCAGGCTGAGGTGTGACTCAAGTGGTAGAACACCAGCCATGAGCAAGAAAGCTAAGAGTACAAGGTCCTGAGTTCAAGCCCCAAGACCAGTATTAAAAAAAAAAAAGAGGAGCAATGATGGAAGAAGAGGTGGGTACAAAAAAGAATTCTATCCCCTGTCTACCTTGGTCCTGGGGCATATAAGTGTGAAAGAAAAAGCCATCTGAGAGCTGTGGGAAGCCAGGTCCTGGATGGGAAGCAGTGCCAGGGTTGGTGCAGGCTTCCTCTGGGCTGGTCCCAGGTTCTCCCTGCTGCCGGGCGTGGCTTGCCCTGTCCATGGGAATCTATGGCCGTTGGACCTTACCTGTGTAGTCAATGACGAAGCCAGCGTTGCTCACAGACGCATCGCTGCGGAATGCAAGGAAGAGGCTGTTGCTGCTGCTTTCAATGCGGGCTGGGAGCTGGGAGCCATAAAAGCTTCCTATGAGCGGGCTGAGAGAGTCTCGTCCATCGTAGATATGGAGGAAGTCATAGCCAGGCTCCAAGTTAAAGCTGGGGAACAAAAACACCCCACCCATACCCAACAGAGGTCAAAGGCTTGTGCTGGGGTCTTAGGCTCATTCCAAGGATGGGGCCTCTCCGGGAGAATCCCACTATCCCATTGGTACCCAACCCCTAAAGAATTAGGTGGTTTTATCTTCCCTTCAGTCAGGCAAAGAAGCTATAAAAGTAGATTTGGGGTAGAGAAAGCAGGTTTCAGAATTGCTGTCCCAACATCTGGGGCTGAAAACCTCATGTCTTTCTTACATAGAAGGTAAAATAAGCTGCTAACTCCAGGAACCAAGGGCCCAGCCAAGTCAGGTCCAGAGCCCAAGTGGCTTTCCTGCCTTCAGTGTTTCATCTCATGCTCATTTGCATCTCCTTTTCTAAGAGGAGTGAGCTGCCTGGGAATACATCCCCAGGTAGGAAATGGCCAGGATCCACAAAGGACCCCAACTTCACCCCTCCATTCCAAGCCAGCTGCCTGGTTCTTCTAGGATCTGCCACTACCTCACTCTGCACACCAGTTCTCTCTGACTTCCTCTCTGCCTCTTTCTCAGCTAGCTTGACCTTGGTGTGTGTGTGTGTGTGTGTGAACTCCATCCTAAAAACAATCTTAGTTTAGCGAATTGAATATTAGAGTTCATGAATATAATTTGTCCCACTGGATAAATTCACTAGAGTGAACATGGTGGAAAAGGCCAAGCACTGGCAAGAAGGTGGAGCCCCTGGGGCTCTCGTGCCCCGCTGGTGGGCATGTAAACTGGCTCGCCCACTTTGGAACCCTTCTTACTGCATCTGCTCACTCTGGACATGAGCCTGCTCTCTGAGGCGGCAATTCTGCTCTTAAGCATATATCCAACAAAGGCAATTGATACCAATCAAGTGTGCACTGATGAAAATAATAGAAAAGTAAACGAATTGGCAGAAAACAGGTTTCTGATGCAAATTCATTCAGGTCCAGCCATGGGCTGAATGCTCTGATACTCTATTTGGCTGAAATGAGAATAAAATGGTCCTTCTACTCCTTATCTAAAGCATATGGTGGAGAGAGGGGGTATTGCATGTCTAGGACAAAGGGATAAGGACAGCGGGGAGATAGTGTGGGGGTTTGGGAGACAGATGTGCACCTTCCCCCTCCCCCGCCCCCCAGCACTGTCTCATCTCATGTGTGTTGGCTGCAGTCACCCTACACTGCTGGGAGAGCTGGTCTTCTTGCTGAACTTCAGCCTCTTCTCACCTGCTCTTTCCAAAGTGTCCAGGGAAGTGCTCTGGAGATAAAGTTCCTATTTCCTTAGTCATCTGATTCTATCTGACTCCCCTGAAAGATGCTAGGCACTATGGTGCCCAACACCATAGTGGGGGACATGTCAGATACCAGCCTTGCCTTCCAGAAGGTGATGGTGCCATAGGAAGTGATGGACAGACCACAGAGTAGAACAGAAGGTTTCTGGGTCACAGAGCAGGAACACTGTGCCTTGGGGAGTGTGACTTTCAAGTTTTCGTGGAGGACTAGCTTGAACTCATCCTGAGAGACGAGAAGTCCCTTGGTAGTGGAACAAGGAGGGAAAAGGAAGGTACTGGAAGGTAGAGACAGCAGAAAGGTCATAGGGCACAGCAGAGTCCATGGGACCCTGGGAAATGCCAGGAGTTCCCATCTAGCCAGAGCTCATGGCATAAGATGGGGAGGGCTACCCGGAGAAGAGGGCAAAGACCAGATCACTGGGAATCAACTCTAAAGTTCAGACTTATTTATAGACAAGTCAGAGTAGCTAAATATTTTTTAAAAGTAGAGATTTGTTTCTTTGCTTTTAAACTGGAATGTAAAACCAAGACCTAGAACATCTCTACCACTCAGAAAATTCCCTGTTCCCCTTCCTGGTCCATTTTACCTACTTCCAGAAGCTGCTATTGATCAGTTGTCTTTACCATGGAGTAGTTATGCTAATGTTAAAACTTCACAGAAGTTCTGTGTACTTTTTTTTTTTAAATATCTGGCTTCTTTCATGCTACCGTAAAATATTTTGAAAATGTATCCATGTTGTTGCTCATATTAATAGTTAATCTGTTGAACATATGTATTTTTCTAAATTGCTGGATGCTATTGTCAGAGGATATTTGAATGGAACATGGGGTGGTTATTTCAGCATTTTTGAGAGACAGGGTCCCTCTGAAAGCTAGCTACATATGAGAATGGTATGGAAGGCAAAATAGGACAGAGGGACTGGCATGGAGCTTAGGTCAGTTATTGTGGGAGAAAAAGCAAATAGTAGGGGCTCAAAGCCAGAAGCTGGAAAGAGGGAAGAAGAGGGAGATGCACAGGAAGCTGAGGGCAGCAGGAAGTAATGAGGAGGGAAAACAGTGCCACTCCTTGGGTTCAGAATGGATCTCGTGGGGAGTGGGGCGGGGTGGGGGGTGGCTGTGGGGTGGGCAGAACAGCAGGCCAGGCTTGGCTCTCTACACGCCCCATCTGTGGTGCCTGCACCGCCAGACCTGCGGCTCAGGTGTGACAGAAGGGTACCTTCCACTTTCAGGCCATGGGCATACAGTATCATGCATGCTGTGAGTTATGTAATGTCTTAGAAGGGGGGGAGGGGGAGATGAGAAGAGGGGACCAGAGCAAAGCCTGGCAAGGGAAGATGGGTAAGGAAAGATGGACAGGAAGTCACAGAAAAGAACAGAGAAACTGAGGAGAACTTCTCAAAAGCCACAGGGGTGGGGGAGAGAAAAAAAAACCCAGCATAAAAACAATGGGCATGGTCACGACAGGGAAATGTTGTTCAACACCGGAAGTTTACCAGTGTCTTTTAATCAGAGAAGTTTCCAGTAGACCCATGGAGGTAGAAGCTGGATTCTAGTGGCTGAGGGAGAGGAATAAGAGATGCTGGGGCTGGTCTTCTGAAGCCTTGCTGGGTATGATGGAAGAAAGAGTGCAGCAGCGAAGTGAAGGGGATGTGGGGGACCTGAGCCAGGTCACGGTTCAGGGAGGAAGATGGACAGGACACTGGGGAGTGCAGGAGGAGAGGACAAAGGGTTCCAGCAATGGCCTCCTTTCTCAGTCTCAGTACCTTCCAAGATAACAAACGAATGATAGCAGCTACTTTATAAATTATTACAAGAATTACATAAGATGATGTGTTCAAAAACACTGGTGGTTGGCAAGGAGGAGATGGGCAGGGAGGGCTGCTTTCATCTGTCTGTCTATCTTCTTTTCAAGTTGTTCATCTCCCAGGGAACTGAGAACTCTTCCCCCAGACCTGCATATACTCACCTGGGCACCCAAGTCCTCCACCCCTTGGCTGCTCTGACCCCTCCATCTCCCACCCAGGGAAAGGTACATACATGTTAAATACCAGGGCGATGACGTAGTCTGCAGACACAGTCACTTTCCAGTCACATTCCTTGCCTGGTGGGTAGGGCTCTGGGTAGTTTGGTGACAAGATGACTCCGGATGGTCCTGTCAGGTCTCCCCCACAAGGAGCTGAGGAGAGAGGAAGGGGAGGGTAAGGTGGTCCCTTTTACATTTCATAGGTACTAGAAAGGGGCTGAAACTGACAGCCCAGGCCTAAGGGAGGGAGGGAAGATACAGCATTACTTGGGGGCGATGGAAATGTTCTAGAAGTAGGGTGGTGATATCTTTGAGAATTTACCAAATGCCACCGAACTGTTGTTACTTTAAAATTAGCAACTTTATGTGATGTGCATTTTACCCCAGTAAATTGTTATTTTAAACTACACCTGCTCCCCCCCCCCCACAAAAAAAACACCAAAAAAAACCTAGCTAGCTAGCTCTGTCACTTCTAGGTTGTGTGACCTTAGAGATATTACCTAAGCTCTCTATGTCTTTTTCTCTATGGTGAAAAGAGATTGTATTCTCTCTGTGGAGTGGATGTAGGATTACTGGAGAGACTTGTTACAGCATTTGGCCTAGAGCATGGCACCATCAAATCTTTCAGACATAGACTTCCTACTGCTGCCTTATATCCAGGTTCTAGGTGAGACTTATGGGCATTTACCAAAAGTTCCACTTATGGATGTAGCCAGATGCAGAGAACAGGCTGCTTGCCTGCCTAGTGTATCTGGCCTTCTCTACTGCCAGTTCTCTTGGCATCTGCCTGGAGCTCAGATCCCTTCCTACTTTCAAAGACTCAATCCAAGACTGAGTTCGCACCTCAGCAGGATGGAGATGTGACAGTCCCCAATGAGTCCTTGGTGGTGGCCCTCTCCTGGGGAGGACAGGCTTCTCCAGCAAGTGGGTAGGGGCAAGGTTGACTGGTGACTCAGAAAGCTACTTATGTCTGGGGGCTGCTGGAGCCTCCTCAGACCCTAACTAGCTGGAGGTGCTGCTGTAATGTGGTGGGAGGTTGAACAGACAGGGTGCTAGGAAGTGTGTAGGGTTGTGAGCAGGAAAAGATGGCCAAGACTTCACATAGGGCTCCCTCTGGAAATCACAGCGCACCACTGAGGTTGGCAGTGGAGTTAGAAAACTGTGGGCCCACCAGAGGGCCAGCGCGCTGGACAGGGTGGTAGTGAGGCGAGAGCCAAAGGGTGTGTGTATATGCACCAAAGTAAAGGGCAATCACTTGCTTATTGCCATGCTGAGCTTGATGGCTACACACTGTGGCTTTTGCTCAAAGGCTTAAAGGGTTGGGTCAGCCACAACAAGGTCTCTAAAAAGGTCAGGGTAGGCCACACAAACCCAGCATGCAGAAGCTTAGCCCTGGAGGGCCCACGGTAAGTACAGAAACAGTTAAGCAAGTGCCTGTCACATGTCAGGTGTAACACATTACCGTTTGGATCTGCCATCTCATCCACAAACCAGTGAGCTGTGGATTATTCTCCTGGATTATAAAGGGAGAAACTGAGGTCCACTGAAGTGAAATAACTTGGCCTTCTACTCTGAGAATCAAGCCCACACTATCTAGATGTAAAGCTGGTCTCCTTCCAGCTCTGGAGAGTGTAGAGTCACCTCTAAGCATTCCTGAATGAGGACCCAGCAGTGTCCCAGAGTGAGGGTCAGGCAGGGCCAGGGCTCCTTGACTCCACTGAGTCCTCATTAGAGCATAGGACAGACAGATGCCTGGATGGTCAGGACCACAAAGCGACACTGTGAGGTCCATTCCCAGAGCGTAGGCTGGCTCCTAGAAATGTCTGATGTGGCCAGGGAGAGCTGGGAACCTGTGTCCCATCAGAGGTGCCTGGAATCTTCTCTAGGGAGCTCCATGAAGCCTCCATTCTGGGCATGGGTTACAGTCTCCACCTCCCTTTGCTAATCAGTCCAGGGGTTTTTCCCTCAAGATTGCTACAGCTGGGATGAACCTTTGCCTCTCAAAATATCCACTACTCTTCTGCTGGCCCATGCCCTGACATAGTGCTGTACTACATGGTCCCTGGTGTGAGATACTCAGGCATCTGCTTCCTCTTTGGATCCTGTCTGGGCTTCCTCTCCCTTGGATGGCTATGACTGAGGTCCTGAAAGGGGGCTGCATTGCTAACAGGATTTCCTGACATTCAGAGACTGAAGAGGGGTATGAGTGAGCTCCTTAAACCTTTCTGCTCAGATGGGATGAACACCAGCTGCCAATCACTCCAGATGTCCAAGAAATGGGCAGGGACTACAGAGGGGCAAGAGTTGTGAAAAGAACATGGATTTGGAAGCCACACAGTCCTGGGTTCAAATTCTTACGCACACACGCACACACACAAAGCTGTGTGACTTTGGGCAAGCTCTCTTCCATCTTGGAGCCTGTACTTTCGCATCACTGGAATAAAAGAACAATGATAACAACAGCTTCTAACATACAGTGTGTTATCAGGAAACAGTCATGTTTCTGAGTGTTTTATGAAATGATACCTTGTTTAATACTCAAAAACAACCCTATGAGATTGGTACTCTGTTTTACAGGTAAGGAAATGAAGGCCCAGGGAGGTGAAGTAATATACATAAGGCCACACAGCTGTCTGGTTGTGAGGAATCTGGAGTGGAACCCAGAGTTTGAGCTCTTGAGTTCTCATTCCTAGCTTAGCACATACTAGGGGATGATGCTCAATAAAGGTTTGCTTTCTTTCTTTACTTCCCTCCTGTAATGAAGGCCATGAGGCCAACTAGCCCCCGCTGTGGCAGACTGCCAGCAAGCTGGACATTAGGGACTTGTCACTGAGATTTCCAGTCTGTTTGTGAGAGGAGGCAAAGACATTTATTCTGTTGCCCGAGGAACACTTCCCTAAGACGCATGTAGAGCGAGTGGTGAAAGCTGAATTAACCTTGCCGCCCTGCTTGCTACACATTTACACCTCTCAACTAGCGCCATGCAGCCCTCCTACTCCTGGATGGGCTCGCCTCACCACATGCTTTTCTGTAAGATAAGGCGCAAGACCCCTAGCCTGATGCATGGTGAACCTGGAAAAGGCTTTACTGGAATTCCCTCCATCACCTGGAATTCTGGCTCAGGGAAGGGAAGTGAGCAGCCTGCCCCACACCTCATTGAAATCAGAATCAAATGGGGGAAGGAAGAAAAGGAGAAAAACCAGTATTTCTTGGGATGAGGGCTAGGTGTGTTGTCATTCAAAATGCCATAAGGGAATGTATTTACCCTCACAATTGAGGAAGTGTCCTGGACCCTCGGCTATGCTCTGCCTCATACACCCAGGTCAGCCAATTCCCACCAAAGGATGGGGCTCTGTGTCTTGCTTTCAGTGCGAGGACTTAGGAGTCATGACAGGCCAAGGCCCATCTTCAACATCTGGATGGCACCGCCCTCGCAGTTTGCATGGAAAGAGGCAAAGAGCCATCTCGGGTGTGCACAGCTGGGGGAGGTCTCTGGAAATTCTTGAGCCCACCTGCAGCAAGGGAGTTCGGCACAGGAGGTGGGAAAGCCAGGCGCTTGGCATTCAGGCTGGTGTGGGTGTGAATCTTGGCTCTGCTGAATCCTAGCTCTGCCATTTGGGGCAAAATATCCAAATTTATCTATTTCAGTTTCCGCCATATAGACGAGGGAGTGATGCTAAACTCAGCGCTACGGGGGAAAAAGCTAAATGAGGTGATCGAAGTGAACATCACTTCCTGGTGGGGAAGTGTGGGGCTGGCAGGCACATGGACAGGCCTTGTGGCTGCTCATTCTCTTCTCTTCCAACACCCATCATTAACTCGAGAGATAGAAGCATCCATCTCTTCACCTGAGCATGGAAGGAAAGCACCTGTGATGTTTGCTTCTATCTCTTTCTCCTCTTCCCTGTCCCCTACTTTCAAGCTCTTTCCTCCTCTCCCTCCCAGGTAGTTATAGGGCAGGAACTAGGGGCTCTGCCCGACAAGCTACAGCATCTGGAACAAGTGTCAGAGTCTCTATTTTTTTGTTTTTTTCATTTGTCCTATGGTTTAAAGTCTGAAGACAGATCTCATGAAACCCAAATTCCCTTGAGAAGAGGAAGAATGAGTTATCTTTTCCTTTGCAGGGACCTGTCAGTGCCCTTCCAGGGATGTCCTGATGACCATTTTGGAACCTGTTGACCCTACTACTCAAGGTAATCCATCAGACTCCTCGCAACCTAGACAAAGAGAAAGGGACAGATTGTCTGGTTTGGAGACCATTTTAGCAAATGAAGCACTGGGTGTGTGTGTGTGTGTGTGTTGCATACACAACAGGGTAAATTTGTGTTTTTCTGCAACTTCCGGCTATTCCATTTCTCACCGATGCATGTGGGCGGGCTGGGCTGCCAGAAGAATCTGTTTTCGATCTTCACGCAGCTGATCTCGGCGCTGCCCTGCAGTGCGTAGCCAGGATCACATTGGAACACCGTGGAGTCACCGGCTTCCCAACTGTTGCCACTCCGGCTCCCATTCTGTGGAACCCCAGGGTCATTGCAGGATGTTGCTGTGGACACTGGCACAAGAAAACAGAAGGACTGGGGCTGTCTCAGTGTCTCCTTGTCAACAAGGAGCTCATCCCCCTTGCTGACCACCACCAAGGCCATGGCTGTGACCACCATTACCTCCTCACCATTGTCATCAGTGTCACCATTTTCACCAGCATTATTGTCCCTGCTTGCACCACACACCACACATTCATGCTCACAGCCCTCACACTGTTCTATCTGGGCCATCTGGTGCCCAGCAATCACCTGTCATGAGACACACTGTGAATGAAGCACGATTGCACTGTTATGATGGAACTGAGTTCAGTTTGGTTACACCACATTGTTGCACAGTCAGTTCTATATAATGTAACTAACACTTTCAGTAGGAGGGATGAAAAAGAAAGGAAGTCTAAGTATTTCATCAGAAGGGTTTAATTCCAAATGAATGGGAGTTTGTGTTTCCAGAGGTTGCTGAGCAGTGGTTATGAATCTGCAGGGAGTTGAACTTGGCTGAGACCACATTCTGTCTTGCAGGCAGACAACCCAAGAAACTCTTTAGACGCAACATCACATTCAAAGAAAAGTCAGATTATTTGTAACAGTTGGTAGAGCAGAGTTCAAAACCAATGTTAGTAACGAGATAAAAAATCTTGGGAATTTAGTGTTTGTGGTCTAGAACCTAACTGAGTCTAAAACAGAGCATGTGTTTTATAAGCAAGTACTGAGGCTCTAGCTTGTAATTTCAACTACTCAGGAGTAGTGATTGGGAAGATCACAGTTCCATGGCTAGCCCATTAAAAAAGATAGTAAGACTCCATTCACATCTGTAATCCCAGATACTTTGGCGGTGAGAAAAGTAAGTCATTGTCCAAGGCTGGCCTTGGGCCCGAAGCACAGGAGGAATGTATCTAATAAAATAAAAAGCAAAGGCAAAACAACTGTGGAGAAGGGGATAGAGGTCTTAGCAAGGAAGGTTCAATCTCTAATGCCACCCACACACACAAAGCAATAAATAAAACCCCAAATGAACAGCCAAAGGGAGGAATAGACAAATAAAACACTGAATGGACAAAGGCAGCTTGAGAGGAGATGGCCTAAGAAAGTTCAGGGACAGAAATCTGAGGCAGGGGACAGGGGTCAGGGTAATAATATCCATTGCAATCTCAGGAGCTCGGAGCCCACAGCAGGGCCTCTTTTGTATACTGCCACCAGGGTTGGCAGACCCCAGGGGCAGGAGGTCCTGGAGACCAAGGAATAAATAAGCTCAGTTGCTTACAGGGTCAGATTTTCCTCTGAAAATTTGGGAATAATCACGTTTCAATTGAAATCATCTGTACATGACACAGAATGTGAAGGTCACATTAGCTTGTAAGCAAGAATACACAGCCTCTGAGAGATTTTGTGCATGCTATGCCCTTCAGACCTCCAGGGGGAAAGGTACCACCTTGCTTGCTACAGGAGGACTTGGATGGAGAAGACCTTACCAATGGTAAGATCAAGGGCTGTGTGGGCAAGTCCGGAGTTAAAGTGTCTAACTAATCTTTATCCTCAATTACGCCCAAGATAGTTCATGATAGACAGTGGCTCACACCCAACTCTGACTGTATGTTTGCTTCTATAAATAAAGCTTTATTGGCAAATAGGCCCACTCATTTGTTTACATGTTGTCTGTGGGTGTCTTCATGCTCATGCAGCAGAAACCAGTTGTTACAACAGAGACCATACGGCTCACAAACCCCGGGGGACCATCTAGTCTTTTTGTCTGTTTTGGGACAGTACCAATACTTGAACTTAGGGCTTTGTGCTCTCAGTGGCTTTTTTTTTTTTTTTTGCTCAAGTTTGGCACTCCACCTCCTGTTCCATATCTCCTCTTCAGGCTTTAGTTTTCTGGTTAATTGGAGGTAAGAGTCTCATAGACTTTTCCTGCTTGGACTGGTTTTGAACCACCATCCTCAGATCTCAGCCTCCTGAGTAGTTAGGATTACAGGCATGAGGCACTTGTGCCTGGCCCATCTAATCTTTGACAGTAACTCTAGTATGTGTGTGTATATATATGTATATGTCTGTGTTTTATATATATATATGTATATATGTTCTCTCTCTCTCTATATATATATCTCAGACACTCTTCTTTTGAGATCATGCTTTGATAACCTATTTCTTGCTTTTATCCAGCTTCATTCATTAATACTATCAACATGCACTATCATTATGCTCCAACAACACTTGTAAATTTGTCTTCCAGCACCACAGGCTCAGTTCTCTCTTTCTTCCTTCCCACAGGACCTTTATACCTACCTGACATTCAATTTTCAACCCAGTATCACCTGCTGAGACAGGCCCCCTGGATGACCTTCTTCTGGACTCATCCCTTAACCCCTTCTCATAAATCTCATCAGATTACCCTGCCTGCTTCTCTTCACAGTGCAATCTGTAGTAATCTTGCTAATTTGTTAGCCTCTTTCTTGTACATTGCTTGGTTTATCTATGAGAACAGAAATCTTGGCTGTTTTACTCCCAGCTCCATCCCCAGGGCTTAGAGCAGCACTCAAGCACACAATAGAGCTCAGTAAATATTTGCTGAACAAATGAATGAATGAACGAATCATCAGCATTTGACACTCACGGAATTTATGTATAAAGCCAAAGAAGAATCAATTTTCCTTCCTTCCCAATTAGAAACACACTTAGCTTACACCTCTAGCTTCATAGTGCACTGTACAAATGGAAATGATTCCTTACAAGAGTAGGAGCTCCGTGTTCTATGTGTATGTGGAAGGATTATTTATACGGGAAGCAAGCTGGTGCAATGATTAAGAGCTGGGTCTGGGAATCAGACATGCGGGTTTTGATCCAGGCTTTACTACTTATTAACTAGATGACCTTGTATGAGAAAGCTGAGAGCCCACATCTGCAGCACGGATTAATAACTGTGTCCGTACCTTCAGGTTTTTATATAATTTCTAAGAGATGATATAGTGGGGAGTGTAGCCAGGGTCTACTCCATAGATGGGTATTGTTATGCTTTCTGCTCACCTTTTTTTAATTCTCATTTTCTCTCTTGGATATTCCTGAATTTGAGCTGTATGGCAATGCCCCCTGGGAAAGGGTGGATCCATGTGCTACAGCCCGGATGTTAGATGTTACACAGTCATGTTTACTTAATAAAGCCGAGCCTGAGCTAATCGTCTCTGGCATTTCCGCACAATCCCCTGTCAAACACACACTATAAAGTTAACATGGGGTAAGCCATTCGCCCTTCCCCAGAGTAGTCCTGGTATTTGCTAACCAATGACAGCAACAGGAAAGGTGACCTTTCCCACACTTTGGTGATGCCCAGAACACTAGGCCAGGTTGTTACAGCTTTCCTGGAGCCCAGGCTTGGTAGCTGTGACCACTGGACTCCCTGTGGGGCTGAGGCAATGCTTAGGACAGCTTGCCCAGGGGAGCTCTGGTGTTAGGGAAAACCATCCATTCATATGTTCCTGTGACGGGCGGCTCACTGAGGAGAGAGTGAGCCCCTGCTGAGTGCAGGCAATGCTCAGGCATCTGGGAGGCCTGGAGTGTGTTCAGAGGGGGAAGCAAGGACAGGGGAGAAGGATCTACCTGCTCAAGACATGGAAGACCTTGTCAATTTATCCTAAATGGGAAGATTAGGAGGTGGTGGCATCTGAGATGAACCTTGAAGGATGAATTGGACTTCTGAGAGCTGGGCAATGCGTAAGAAAGTGGTCTGAACCAGGGAATAGCCTGGGGAGAGTACCAGGGACTGGCTGTCCCACATGGCCACACCAAGGACATGGGAGGCCGGAGAATGAAAATCTGTGTTTAAGTGTGTCTGGGGGATTTGTCAGTACCATGGTGGACTTGTTTTTTGTGTCTTTTGTTATTGTTTTTGCTTTAAGCTACCCGCATCTGCCTGGGCACAGTCAGAGAAAAATCCATGTGTGTTTTAATTATTTATAATTCTCTTTTCCCCAGAGAGTGCCTGAGAATCTCTCCAGCATTCTGCTTTTCTTCTGCAAGGACCCTTCTATTACTTATCCCAGCAATTTGCAATGTTTGTGCCTTGAAATGCTGGTCCCTAGAGCCAAGTTCAAAAGAGTCATCCTTGGACCAATCTGTTTGGGAAACTGTGACCTACCAGACACGTTTGGAATATACCAACATTAATATACCCAGTGTTCTCATAGGCCACATCTTATAGGCAATAATTTCTTTAGATCTAGCTGACTAAGCACCTTTCCAATATTACTTGATCCTGCCAGCCTTCTTTTCTTGCAATACCAATTAATATTCCTAAGGGCTCTGAGAAGAGACTAGAAATGCTAGACTGGAAGCCTGCACATGTGTTAAGTGGACAAGTTAATAAGTATGATTGTCTCACAGTATTCTGGAGGGATTGGTTCCAGTTGGCTTCCTCTGTCTTCAAAGAATACCCAAATCGATGCATTCTGCAATCCCTCACAGAAAGTGGCAAAGTATTTACATATAACCTATGCACAACCTCCTGTGTGCTTTAAATCATCTCTAGATTGTAACACCTAACGCAATGTAAATGCTACGTAAATATTTGTTCCACTATATTGATTTGGCATAATCACAAAGAAAAGAGGTCTATCTGTGTTCAGTGCAGATGAAATATTTTCCCCCAAATATTTTCAGGCTGGGGTTTAGGTGGAGCCAGGGATCTAGAACTCAGGGCGACTGAGGGCCAAGTATGTGAAGGGTTGTGATAATGGAGCCCCTCCTCTGCCCCACACAGGCTCAAGGCTCAGCTTCACTGAGAAGAAGAGAGATGCAAAAAAGAACCTGAAGCAGGATTTGCAATCCCTCTGCAGCCTCACTGCAACAACTGGGAGGGAGTGTGGGTGTGGGGAGCAAAGCCAGGACATGGGTGCCATGCAAGGCCTTGTTCAGAATCACCATGGAAACCTCCCCCCACCCCCATTGGAGTAAGGCAATGATGGTAACAAAGACAGCTGCTGTATAATAAACTCTGGCAGAAACCAAGGCAGAGTCACTTGTTCAGGGAGAGGAGCCACTTCAGAGGCGATAAGATGGTGTGTGCCTGCGAGTGGCAGGGCCCATCATAAAAATGACCCAATATTGGGATTTAGATGGTTGAGTGTTGCTCATTTTCAGTAGCTCTTTGTCATGTTCCTCCATAATTGGTGACTGCGGTGCATGATTAATTGAATTTAAATTACTCATGTTTGCCTTCTAGTCTTTACCGTGACTAAGTGAAGAGGCAGAGTGCATGGCTTGGAGGAACAGCTCTGGGTCCTACAGTGCTGCCCACTGTGTCTCCCTGGCATGCCCTGGGTTTTGGTCTCAGAGGATACACTGAGCTGATCCTACACTACTCTTTGTACCTACAATGCCCTTTTCTCTCCCTTCTATCCACTAAGAATCTGCAGATTCTCCAAAGTCCAGCTCAGGGGTGCCATTCTACACGATGGGTGACCATTGCTTGACTTACATCTAATCATCCTTCAGCTCTGAGCTTGGACACCATCTTTTCTGGAATATCTCCCTTGATGCGTTCTGGTGATCACTAAAGCTTGAATTTTTCTGCCCACATATTCAGTTTGTGTACAAAGTGTCTCAATTCACCCACTTTCCCCACCTGAGTAAACTCAGTTACAGATATTTGAGCAAATGCTAACCACGAGCCGGATACACAGCAGACGCTCAATAAATACCCTTCACATGGATGGAGAGGAGGTGGGAAGGCAGGGATGGGGAGGCTGAGGTCATGTGACAGGGCTCTTGGCTCACACACCTGAGAACTGAATGGCAAAGCCCTGCTTGCTGGTGAAGAAGTCCGTGCTGAACTGCAGGACGACAGAGTTGAAGGTGCTGTGCAGATCCTTGGGCAGCATGGGGCCGCTCAGCTCTTTCAGCAGCACCCCGCTCTCCACAGGCCCATCCCAAATGCGCAGCACGTCGTGAACTTCCTCCGTGTCAAACACCAGAAAGTGAAGCCTGGATGGAGAGAAGAGGCAGGTGGTCATGCCTGGCTCAGATCCTTTTTTCCATGTACTTTGGTCAGGGGACGTCCTAAGCCTGGGAGGCAGGAAGGCAGTGTCTGGGAGAGTTGTTATGCTTCCCACTTGCCAGCTCCTCCCACTGGGGCCACTAGCCCTGAGACAAGGATAAGGGGGTGCAGATATTGTGTCTCTGTTTATTTATCTACTCCATGTTGATATGGTCCGACTCCAGGGCCCAGAGCAAGCCTGGGAGGCTAAATCATTCTTATTCTATATTGCAAGGGGTCTAGGTTGAGAAAAAAAATCGTGTGTGTGTGTCTATATATATACATATATATAGACACACACACATACAGTTTTTTAAAGATTTTTTTAAGGGGGTAAGGGGAATGTGGGATCTCTACAAAGCTAGCTCAGCTCAGCAGGGCAAAGATGAGCCTGTATCTGAGATTCCCAGAGAGAATTTGCGATTCAGGTTGGGGTTCAGAAATCACTGCAAACCTGAGCAGGCCACAGGAGAATCTATGTGCATGTTGAGGGGTCGTGGTTGAGTTGGGGAGACCTGAAAGCCACACACAGAGCTCTTAAAGCAAGAAGTTCAGCAGTAAACCCACATTCTTCCTGGCTAAGGGTACGTTGGCTATAAGTCTATGTGATTCTATTAATCACTTTTTGGTTCTTTTTGTGTTAGTATTGAGGCTTGAACTTAGGGCCTGAGCTCTGACCCTTAGCTTTTTTGATCAAGGATAGCACTCTATCACTTGAGTCATATACCCTGGTTTTTTGGTGGTTAATTTGATATATGAGTCTCACAGACTGTCCTGCTTGGGCTGACCTTGAACCATAATTCTCATATCTCAGCCTCTTCAGTAGCTATTATTACACAGGCATGAGCCACTAGCTTTGGCTTTATTGATCATTAAAAAATGGAATTAATTTTGAGTTAACAGCAAATTGGCAAAGAGAGAGAACTCCTATAGATACTTCATGCCATTCTCCTATGACTGACATACACTTTTCCAACAACTGAGAAAGCAACCCTGGAGCATGACATGAACTTGAACTCCAGAGTTGCTGTGCATTTAACAATTTTCCATTGATGGCCTTTCTCTGTTCCAGGATTCAATTCATTTATTATGCTTGGTTTGCAAACATTTCTTTTTAAATTATAAAACAGAGATGCATGCAAGACAAACTACAGTACATGTGCTGAAAATTTGAAAGTCTTCCTTTTGCATACAATCATCTACTTAGTCTCCAGAATGTTTCACTTAATAGTAGGTTTGATGTGTATCCTTCCAGACTTTTCTCAATATGCACATGTATGTACTGTCCTTGCAACATGAGGTTGTAGTTTAGGTAGCTTTCTTTCTTTGCTTAATATTCTATCAAAGAGTATTACATCTCCTTGATTTTTCCTACAGAAATGGACATACTATTTCCTATTAAATTGGAAGGGATGGCTGGTTGCCAGTGACTCATGCCTGTAATCTTAGCTACTTAGGAGGCTGAGATCTGAGGATCATAGTTTGAAGCCAGCCTAGTCAGGAAAGTCCATGAGTTTTTTTTATCTCCAATTAACCACCACACACACAAAAAGTCAAATGTAGAGCTGTGGCTCTAGTGGTAGAACATTAGCCTTGTAAAAAATAGCTAAGGAATAGTACCAAGACCCTGAGTTCAAACCCTAGTACCAGAATCCATGTGCATGCAGAGAAAGAAAAGTTAAAAAGGAAAAACAAAAAGATTTCAAGGAAAAATATTGTAAGTATTACTCCATCTGTATCAGCAGCCTAGCTCTGCACAGTTCTGTTGTTGAACTTGATCAGTAGAAATAGTGTGTGTGTGTGTGTGTGTGTGTGTGTGTGTGTGTGTGTGTGTGTGTGTGTGTGTGTATGCGCACGCATACACCTATACTGGGATTGTAATTAAGGTCTCATACTCTTGCTTGGATTGTTTGCTTAGCTGCTTGAGCCATGCCTCCAGCTCTGATTTTTTTCTGGTTATTTTGTAGACTTCTCTGCTCAGATGGCTTCAAACCACAATCCTTAGATCTCAGCCTGTTTAGTAGCTAGAATTACAGGCATTAAGCTACCAGTGTCTGGATGAAATAGATGTTTTAGGGGAGGGGAAAAGTATCTAAATGATTTTTTTCTGATAAATACTGCCAACCTCTTCTCTTAAATGATGATTTATCGCTTTATAGCCCCACCAAACACTATGGATTTTATTTTTTCTAAATTCCCCCTCTCCAGTGCCACATATATGGTTGCAAATATATTCTATATTAAAATCCTCTCCCATCTGCTACACTAAAGTGGAATCTCACTGGGAGTTTGGATTTAGATAACTTAGAATTTTACATAATGTTGGAAATCTTCACACATATTCATTAGACATTTTTATCTCTGCAAATCCTTTATCCGTCCTAATTGAGTTATTGGTCTTTTAAAATTCTATCTACACATTACAAATTTTATTTGTTATGTTTGCCTACATTGATTCCTCTTTGACATGATATATATTTCAATGCTTGTATTTTCTCCTGGTATCTGATTTGTTTTTTCTTTTAAGTTTTGTTTATGGTATCTATTTTGGTATAGAAGTTATTCATTTTATGTATTCAAATACATATATCTTTTCCTTTAAGGATATAAACGGTCAGATTATGCCTGAGCAAGTCTTCTCCTTCTACCTGAGAATGAGGAAATGCTAAAACTTAATATTTCCTCCAGAATTTATGTGTTGATGTTTTCTCCTAGCCAGTATATTACCCCTATTCATCTTTTTTTTTTCCCCCTGGTCCTGGGCTTGAACTCTGGGCCTGAGCACTGTCCGAGCTCCTTTTTGCTCAAGGATAGCACTCTACCACTTGAGCCACAGAGCCATGTCTGGATTTTTCTGTGATTTATTGGAGATAAGAGTCTCATGGATTTTCTTGGCCAGGCTGGCTTCAAACCATGATCCTCAGATCTCAGTCTCCTGAGTAGCTAGGATTACAGGTGTGAGCCACGGGCACCCAGCTAGCATCATTTTTGAGTGTGGGACCAGGCCTTGTTACCTTGGTAGCTCCAGACTTAGGATGGCTGGAGAGTTCAGATGGGGCTCATGAACACCCAAGGCATGAAGACAGGCTCATACCCAAAGAATCCAGGTTTCCAGTTTAAAGCATCCTCATGGTCCTGGGTCTATTTCTATATGCTCTGCCTTCCCAGCACACCCTCCTTTGCCCATACTGGTGTTTCTTATAAACCAGGAACATGACTCTTCAGCTGATGGTGGGTTTATAGGGCATGCTCTTTTTCTATCCCTTCCCCAGAATTTCCTAGCTAATTTCTCAAATTCACTCTATCAGACAAACTTAATGGTTCCTAAGTTTTTAAAACAATCCCATTGATATTTTGATTGGAATTGCACGTATTTATTAACTAACAAAAGGAAGAACTGATCATCTTTGTTATTCATTTCTCCCATTGGAACATGGCAGATTCCAATTTGCATATTTTGGTAATGTCTTATGGCTTCCCCCTTTTTATGATTACCTTTTTCCCACTTCATTTTTATTATTAAGATTCTTATTAGTATATATCGGTTGTACAGAGAATTTCCATTCTGACACAAAGGCATACAATACACCCCATCAATCTCACCCCTCTATCACTCTTCCTCCCTCCCCTTTCTTAGAACTGTTTTAACATGTTTCACTGTTCTGTTTTCATATACACATACAAAGTACATCAATCACATTTCTTCTCATTTATCTCTATTTTCCTACCTCCCTCCTGCTGGTACCAACCCACAACAGAGGCTGATTTTAGACAAACTGTGGAATCAGTTGAGTATCCCAATTGATGAATGGGTAAAGAAAATATAGTACATATATACCATGGAATATTACACAACCATAAGGAAAATTGAAATTATGCCAGTTGCACAATTTGATAGTCTGTAAATCTGTGAATTTTGGTTTTGTCATGAAGTGGAAGTTAATTTTTATGTATGTATGTGAGCCTCTTAAATTTCCTAGGTAGACATTTTACAGATATAGGAGGTACCTCAATATAAAGAGAATTGGTATGAGATTGTGGCCTCACCCTTGAGTGAAAAGGTGGTGGGAAGAGGCAGTTTCCCAGTAAACTCTACTCTGCCCAGCTGCCCCCTTCCTTCCGTACTTTTTCTTGCCACTCAGTGCACTGTGAAATCTGCAGTCAGCCATTATAGCAGCCAAGGGTGCTGTGTAGCTGGACCTGCTCTGGAAAAGAGACTAGAGTGGCTTCACCGGTCATAGAAAAGAAGGGGAAATGAGACTTGATGGTTGTTTGGTCTAAAAGACAATGTGTTTTCTTTCCTTTGAATTAATAGAATAAGACAAGAGTAGGAAGCAGAGAGGAGGTTAAAGCGGCTGGGAAGGAAGTGGTTCCATTCTTGAGCATGGATGTCAGGGGGGATAAGGCAGGAAGAGAATGAGAGCTTCGGAAGGAGCTAGAGAAATCTGGGCTCTGTAGTCTGCAAGCTAAGACTGGCTCCTGAGAAGGTCTGAAGATCCTGAGGGTAAACAACTGAGTGGATGAGAGCTTGATGAATGAGTGATGAGTGAATATTGAACTTGTAGCAGAACCAGCCAGGGAGGAAGTCAGGAAAACCAAGAGTATGGAGACTGAGTCAAAATGAAAGAAAATATGTTTCTATAACAACCACTGTGAAGCCAGGCAAGGCGGAACCTACCTCTAATCCCAGAGATAGGATCAAGAGTTAAAGGCCAGCCTGTACTACCCTAGAAAGAACTGTCTAAGAAACTAGGCTCCCTCAAACAGCAACAACAACAAAAATCGATCAACAACCACTGTCTAGTACGCCATTTTCCATGACCATACAGAATCTTTACATGTAGCATCAACCCTATCCCTTTGTTTTGAGGACTTTTTATCTTTCAAATTCATTTATTTATTTTTATTGTTATGATCAAAGTGATGTACAGAGAGGTTACAGTTACGT